GCTATTGGCCATTATCCTCAGCCCCATGTAAGTTTCTTCCTCCAGGCCCCCCAACCTAACCCTTCCTCCAGCTAAGTAGACTTAGCCAGCCCTTCCCCTGCTACTCACTAGTCGGGTGCTCTGCCACAGCCGTGTCAGAGGCAGGTGACTGCACTGGAGGTGGGCAGGCCTGGAGGAACAGTAGCAGCTGCTTCCAAGTGATCCTGCAGTCCGTGCTGAGCACCTTCTCTCTGGGCCTCAGGTTCCCTTCGCAGCGTTGCTGGGCATTGCAGTTGGGCGGCTGACTTGCTGCTTCAAAGGGTTGCCAGGTGTTCCAAGGAACTAGGAGGTCCTTTGTAGGCTGGGACAGTGATAGGCGACCCACTCATGAAACCTGTTCTTCAAGAGAAAAGAAGAGCCAAAGAAAGACCCAGGCGCTGTCCACCCAGACTGCATTTGTTCAAACCTCTTTTTGTAGGAGTTCTCAACCCTGCTGCCAATGCTGAACCAAATGCCCTTCAATGACCCATTCCTGCATTGGCTTGGAAGGACCACTTGCCTGCTGCTGAGCCCTTCCTGTGGCTCATTTGGTGTGGAGCTGAGCCCAGAGGAGCTTGCCTTTTCTACTACTTTCTGCTGCTCAGGGACTAGGCTGCTTGCCAAGGTTACCTCCAGCACCAACACAGATTGCTTCGAGTTAACAGGTTTGCTGCTTTTTTTTCTTTAGAACTGGGGGCTTTCTGCTGAGCTAGTGGGCAAGAAAGTCCAAAGATGTTGGAATCAATCAAATTATCTTGGATGCAAACTCCACAGGCGAACTGCGTCTCCATCTCTCCCACTTGTGGTGCGAGAGCTTGCAGACAGCAAGACAGCCTTCCCAACACCTCGCAAACGATCCCCTCTCAAACTGGACAGATGCCAAGGCTGAACTTGAGACCTTCTGCCTACAAAAGACACCCTCTAAACAGGGAGCAAATACAGAATTTGTGCTATTAACCACTGGTGGCCCCCACAAATAAGGCTGCATTTTTGCAAAACCATTCTTCCTCCAAATTAGAACCTTGAGTTGAAAGTCCTGGGAAGGGGAACTTTGGAAGGAACAGGATTTTCCAGAATAAGGCTTCAAAATCAGAAGATCTGCAAGTAAAATGGCAGCAGGCCAGGCTCAAGAGGCAGCGGCTGCCAGGCCAGCCACCAGCATCCTCTGACACAGGCTCCCTAGTGCACCTATGATGCAAAACACACTTAGCAAAGACACAACAATCTTTTCCCTGGAGAAGGGAGTGGTGGGAAGTGAATGGCAGGGGAAAGGGCAGGAGCCTCCGGGTGCTCCTCAAGGGGAGCCCCATGTAGAGAGTGTTACAGTAGTCCAGGCGGGAAGTGACGATGGCATGAGTGACCGTGCGTAAGGAGTCCCGATCCAGAAAGGGACACAACTGGCTAATCAGGCGGACCTGATAAAAAGTCCTCCCGGCCACAGCTGCCAAAAGCTCTTCTAAAGACAGCCGTGAATCCAGGAGGACACCCAAGTTGTGAGCCCTCTCCGTGGGCGCCAATGACTCGCCCCCATAGTCAGTGATGGCACCAACTGACTATATCGGGACACCGGAAACCACAGCCACTCGGTCTTGGATAGGTTGAACCTGAGTCTGTTTCTCCCCATCCACATCCGCACAGCCTCCAGGCACTGGGACATCACTTCAAGGGCATCGTTGGGGTGGTCCGGGGTGGGGATGTACAGCTGAGTATCATCAGTGTACTGATGGTACTTCATCCCGAAACCACAGATGATCTCGCCCAGTGGCTTCACATAAATGTTGAACAGAAGGGACGAGAGGACCGACCTTTGTGGCACCCCACATATAAGGCGCCTCAGGGTTGACCTCTGCCCCCCTGCCAACACAGACTGCAACCAGTCGGAGAGAAAGGAGGAGAACCACAGCAACACGGTGCCCCCCACCCCCAACTCTTCCAACCGGTGCAGCATGATACCATGGTCAATGGTATCAAAAGCCGCTGAGAGGTCTAATAGGACCAGGACAGAGGAACAACTCCTGTCCCGAGACCTCCAGAGATCATCAATCAACGCAACCAATGCTGTTTCCGTGCTGTACCCAGGCCTGAAGCCCAACTGGAACAGATCCAGATAAACCATTTCATCCAGGTACTGGGGAAGCTGTCGCGCCACCACTCTCTCAACAACCTTCGCCACAAAGCGAAGGTTGGAGACTGGACGATAATTTGCTAACACTGCCGGGTCCAGGGAAGGCTTCTTGAGGAGAGGCCTCACCACCGCCTCTTTCAAGGCAGCGGGAAAGTCACCCTCACTCAATGAAGCATTTATAATCCCCTGGAGCCAGCCTCGCGTCATCTCCCGAGAGGCCAGCAACAACCAGGAGGGACACGGGTCCAATAAACATGTGGCTGCGCTCAGTCTACCCAGAATCCTGTCCACGTCTTCGGGAGTCACAGGATCAAACTCTTCCCAGATAACATTCTCAAGACCTGCCTCCATCATCCCTCCTGAATCTACCCAGTCAGAGTCCAAGTCTTCCTGAATCTGAGTGATTTTGTCATACAGATACTGCACAAAGTCCTCGGCCCTGCCCTCCAAGGGGTCCTCCTGCACTCTCTGGTGGAGCAGGGAGCGGGTCATTCTAAACAGGGCGGCCGGATGATGCAATAAGAGTGGCAAAATAGTTACATTTTGCCGCTTTTATTGCCACTAGGTAAGTCTTAATATGAGATCTTACCAGTGTTCGGTTGGATTCAGAAAAGCTGGCCCTCCAACTGCTCTCCAGGTGTCTTTTCCGGTGCTTCATCTCCCTCAGCTCCTTGGTGAACCAAGGAGCCAGGTGAGACCGGCGCCAGGTCAGAGGCCGCAAATGCACGACTGAATCCAAAGCTCCAGCAGCCGCCCTATCCCAGGCAGCCACTAGGTCTTCAGTCGAGGTGTGAGCCAGAGCCTCAGGGAATGGCCCAAGCTCCATCTGGAACCTATCACGTTCCATCAGGTGCCTGGGGCGGTACCTTCTCATCGGTTCCGCCTCCCTGCGGCGGAGTGTGGCGGTTCGAAGGTCAAAGCGAAGGACGGAGTGATCTGACCATGACAAGGGCTCAGTCGCTGTATCCCCTATCTCAAGATCACTCAACCACTGACCAGAGGCAAAAACCAAGTCCAGCATGTTTCCCCCCATGTGAGTAGGGCCATGAACTAACTGGGTCAGATCCATAGCAGTCATGGAAGCCATGAACTCCCGAGCCGCCTCAGATGTCTCACCGATGGATGGCAAGTTAAAATCCCCCATGACCATAAGCCTGGGGGTATCAACCGCCACCGCGGCTATAACATTGAGCAGCTCGGGCACGGCTGCCGCCATGTGGCAGGGTGCCAGGTACGTGATCAGCACCCCCATCTGTACCCCATGATCCCACTTCACAAGGAGGGACTCACATCCGGCAGTCTGAGGCACAGTGACCTCCCTCGGCCCAAGACCTTCTTTAATGACAACCGCCACCCCCCCTGCCCCTCCCATGACCTTGGCTGATGAAATGCGCGAAAACCGAGTGGGCACATTTCAACGAGGGCCCCCCCCTCCTGGCCCAACCGGGTCCCTGTAATACCCACCAGGTCCGCTCCCCCCTCCTGAACAAGATTGCAAATGAGGGGGGCTTTATTTACCACAGACCTGGCATTGCATAACATCAGCCGAAGGCCCAGGCCCTGAGGATCTGTGCAACCCAGGGAACGAGCAGAGCATTGGGGACCGGAGTGCGCAATCGTTCGAACACAACGAGTGCGCACTCCCGACATCTATCTCTCTCCCCTCCCTCCCTCCCCCCTCTCTCTCCCTCTGTATCTCTCTATGTCTCTCTCTCTCCCCTTCTCTCTGTATCTCTCTGTCTCTGCCCTGGCTGCTTCTCCATCCCATGCCGTCACCCTAACCTTTTCAGGCCAGGTGAGGAGTGACTGGGAGGGGAGGGTAAGGGGCAGGACCAGCCAGTGGTGGGATCACCTGACAGGGAGCCACAGCAGAGGGCCCAAAGAGCCGGATGTGGCTCCGGAGCCGCAGGTTGCTGACCCCTGCCCTAGGTGCTTCCCATAACAACTTGCTAGGGCTGGGGGTGGAGATGGCTGGAGTGGAGGGTCAACAGAGCTGGCAGAGCTAGTACAACCCCTGCTCCAGTGGTGGGTTTCAAAACCCACACCCAGTTCTGTGGGCGTGGCATGGCTTGATGGGCGTGGCAGGGAAGGATACTGCAAAATCCCCATTTCCTCCCGATCAGCTGGAACTCAGGAGGCAGAGAATAGATGGGGGCAGGGCCATTCAGAGGTGGTATTTGCCGGTTCTCCAAACTACTCAAAATTTCCGCTACCCATTCTCCAGAACTGGTCAGAACCTGCTGAAACCCACCTCTGCCCTACTCCAGGGTTCTTGGGCTGATCTTCTTGTCAGATCTTGACATGGAAGTCCTGCCCAGACTGCTACAGAACCCCGTAGAGCTTTTCGCAGGAGGGAGCCCCATCCGTGGGTTGAGCAGAATTACAAGATCCAGGCCTTCAGCCCTACTAGTAAGGTTGCTATGATTGCTCTTTTCCTGATATCACAAATGTCCAGCAGAACAACCAAAATGACCACAGAGGAGGTTGATGCCAACCAGAGAGGAGTTATGCAATGCTGGAAGCAGCCAAAAGTTGCTAACAGAGCCTGGGCGAATCCCTGGCCCTGCCATGATTGTTATCAATGCAACAGAAATGTAACATTAAAACAGAAAAGGAAGAAAAAAAGACACAGAGGAGTTTTCAATCTTCTTTTACAGCAGTTATAAGTACAATTAGAAATTTTACTCTATGGTTACAACGTATCTTCTTTCTATAATCTATCCGGTCTAATCATCCAAACCATATATCATGAGTTCATTTTTTTTCTGTTTCTCACAAAAAGTCTGTAACAGGTTTCCAGTCAGTAATAAATGTAGATATTGTTTTTTTTTTCTCTGATCAAAGAAGTCAATTTAGCCATGGCAGCTAGTTCCGTCATCTTCACCAGCCATTCTTCCGTGATGGGCAGTGCTGAATCTTTCCATCTTTGTGCATACAACAATCTTGCTGCAGCTATCATGAACAAAAAGTTCCCACAAATTACATACAAATTAGATACTGAAACCACGCTGCAGTCCCACAAGGCAGAGCAGATCCAGAAATTAGCTCCACAGGAAGGCTAAAACTATTTTTTTAATTGAGAGTGACTATAATCACCATCTTGCTCAGCCTTCTTATGTTCCTGTCACCCAGGGTGGTTTCTGTCTGAGCCCCTTCCACATGCCCGTATTTTTCAGAGTATAAGACACACCTTTCTCCCCCCCCAAAAAAGAGTGAAAATCTGGGTGTGTCTTATACTCCGAATGTAGCCCCACCCAGCTTCTCAAACGGAGGTTTCAGAGGCTGAAAAAGGCATCAGAAACGAAGCTTTACAAAAGAAGCCTCCAAATAGAGCTTCAGAGGCTTTTTTTTCTGAAGCTCTGTTTCAGAGGCTTTCAGAGGCAGAAAAAAAACCAAAAAAAAAAAACCAAGGCACAGAGCTCACAGCCAAGGAACCTGTTGCTAAAATTCACCTCTGGGAACAGCTGATTGGGGGTATTCCAGGAGGCCAATCCACCTGCCAATCAGCTTTTTTCTTATTTTCCTCCCCCAAAACTAAAGTGTGTCTTATACTCCAAAAAATAAGGTATTTTTGGTCTGCTGTGGACATAAGATATAGTTCACCCTTCCCAGCCTTGGTAATGGAGTCTGCATACCTCTATCAAGATGATCTTCAATACTTTCTACTATGTCCACAAGAAACAAAAATGGGGAGAATGTGAAAAGAGGCCAGCAGGGAATATGTGCAGAGCCCTCTCAAAATCAGAATTCCAATGTTATCGTGCTCTTAAATGCACAGCACCTCCATATTAGTATCTCTAACTTGGACTGGAGAAGAGTGGAAGAGACGGCAACTCAATGCCACTTCCATGCACACCCCACCCCCCAGGAAAGGCTATGAAAGTAGGAAAAAATACATTTTCTCCCTCTACAACCCAAGAGGAGCATTGCAGGGAATAACAATAGTAATAAAGATAAAACCTGCCGATGTCTTACAACAGGAACATTAAAAAAAAGAAACTGAAGGGCAGCCTTTCCTCTCCCCTCCTACCAGTGGCGAAATCCAAATTTTTTTTACTACCGGTTCTGTGGGTGTGGTTTGGTGGGTGTGGTGTGGTGTGGTGTGGCTAGGTGGGTGTGGCTTGGTGGGCGTGACAGGGGAAGGATACTGCAAAATCCCCATTCCCTCCCCACTCCTGGGGGAAAGATATTGCAAAATTTCCATTCCCACCCCACTCTGGGGCCAGCCAGAAGTGGTATTTGCCAGTTGTCTGAATTGCTCAAAATTTCCGCTACTAGTTCTCCAGAACCTGCTGGATTTCACCCCTGCCTCCTGGGATGAAATGCTCCCGGTTCGGACCGGATCGCCCTAATCCAGTAGTGATGGCGGCGGGTGGTTCAGAGAACCGGTAGCAGAAATCCCTGCCCACCCCCCCATGTCCAGCTGAGCTGCGCGATCATCAGAGGCTTTTTTTTTATTTTTAAAAGCATTTTTTCTACAATTTCTTCGGCTGAAAAAATGCTTTTAAAATTAAAAAAAAGCCTCTGATGATTGCACAGCTCAGCTGGGATTGTCAGAGCCTTTTAAAAGCATTTTTTCTTTTAAGAAAAAATGCTTTTAAAAGTAAAAAAAAAGTTGGCCACGCCCACCAAGTCACATTACCCCCATCACCAAGCCACGCCCATAGAACCGGTAGTAACAAATTTTACATTTCACCACTGCCTGCCTCTTACCCTTCAGGCCACTAGAGACCAGGAACACTCCTGTTCCCCCGCCCCCGTTCCCCCAATAGCTGGTTTGCAAGTCTTACAGCTAACCACATGATTTTCCTCTTGTGGCTGTCGTGGGCAAGTCATCTCCTGAGCCACATCCACATGTTAAAGAGCCAGGCAGAGACCAACATGGCGTAAAGGAACAGCTCCTTCTGGTGCCAACTCCCACTTTGTTCTTCCAGTGCACACAATTGCCAAGAAAGGTCAGACAGCTGCATTTCCAACAGGAGAAAGAAGAGAAAAAGTGACACAGCCAAGGGAACAAGCCACTCGCTGCATTTCAGGGCTTCAACACGGGTAGTTCCATTTTGGTGGTCTGCCACCTTACCTGCTCCATCATCGTCCTAATCTCCAGGGTGCCAAACTCCTCCAGGGATCCATCTGAGACCAAGTTTACCCCCCAGGCACTAAACGGAGGAGGCAAAGACAGATAATTCACTGCTGCATGCTGGGAGGGAGAGCAGGGCTAGTCCAAACTGAAAAAGCTGGCAGGTGAGGGGCAGAACAGAGCTATAAATGGTGGCGGGAGCAGGCCGGAGAAAGAGTCCCAGCAAGACTGGTCAACCTTGGGGATGTGGCTGCACCCCCTGAAAAACATGACCCACTTCTCAGTGCGCTACATGCAGAGTTCCACGGGGTGGTTGGTCGTACCTGATTTGAACCCGCCTGGGCCCCCACAGCAGCTGGAACAGCTGGCGCCCCAGGAAGTGCAGCACTTGGAGGACGTTCCTGGAGGAGTAGATCCTGCCTTCCCCAAAGAAAGCTGGGCAGCTGGGACACGGGTGCAGAAGGCCTGACTCCAGTCTGCAAGGGGCACAGAGACAGAGGCAGAGCTGGAAGCTTAGCAAACTCTTGCTGGCCCAGAGGGAGGACAGGCACATCTTCCCGTGTCTCAGCCATGAAGGAAGCTCACGTGAAGAAAAGAAACATCCTCAAAGAAGTGGAAGGATTTGCCAAAAAAAGAGAGAGGGACCCCAACACTGGTCCCCTTCTTGCATGCTTTGCCTTTCCACATTCCCAGTGAACTGAATGCACTTCAAACCAGCTGAGACAGATGATGGTCTGCTGCAACAGCTCAACCCAGCAGCCCAGAAGCAACATCAGGTGTTCCTTGGAAGCCCCACTGCTCCGGGTTATCCCCCTAGAAGGTGCAGGAAGTCAACAGCTGTGGCCAATGAGGGGCCATCCAGCTTCTGTTTATAAAAATCTCCTAAGAAGGACAGCAACCTCTTCTCATGGCAGTTCCTAAACTTCAACTGACAGAAGTCCCCTTTTTGTGACTGGAATCTTTAATCTAGGCTATCAGAAAGGGGAGACACCAATGCTAGCTTAGCCAGCTAGATGGGGAGGCCGTAAATGATCCCGAGAGTTACTTTGCCTTGCTTACCCACTGCCCCACCCATGCAGCCGGTGCTGCCTCTGGTGCCTGTAGAGCAGTGGTGGGTTTCAAATTTTTTTACTACCGGTTCTGTGGGTGTGGCTTGGTGGGCCAAGCATGACTTCTTGGAGGGCGTGGCATGACTTGGTGGGCGTGGCAGGGGAAGGATACTATAAAATCTCCATTCCCACCCCAATCCAGGGGAAAGTTACTGCAAAATCCCCATTTCCTCCTGATCAGCTGGGATTTGGGAGGCAGAGAATAGATGGGGTCTGGGCCAGTCAGAATTTTTACCACCGGTCCTCCGAACTACTCAAAATTTCCACTACTGGTTCTCCAGAACTGGTCAGAACCTGCTGAAACCCACCTCTGCTGTATAGGGCATCTTCAGCTTACAGATGAAATTTCTTCTCCTAGCAGGGCATCCTTTTTCTTACCTGCTCTGCCTCTGCCTGATCCTCTCCACGGTCACCTGAGGGGGCTCGTCGGACATTCCCTCTTCCCAGATTGTATCCGCAAATGCCTGTTGGACACAAGACACAAAGGAAGGGAACCTGGGTTGCCCAGCCACTTCTGCAGTGGCATCAAAGATCTTCCTCCCAGGGAGAGTAACAGGGACCTCTGTCAACAGCCCCACATGGCTCCCTGGCACAGCAAGGGATGCTGCACTAGGCCAACAGGCCTCAGCATCTGTCACAGAACATTGCACAGACTGGAAAAGGGGACCTCAAGCTAGGAAGCATTGTGCTCATATTGGGAAGGAGGGCATTCTCATTCTTCTCTTCTCTTATTCTCCACCCCCAGCAAGTCACCTCTGTTCTCCCAAGGGCGGAGAGGACAAAGCACTCTCTATAGCCCTCCCTGGATCCAGAAACCTCTGGATTCAACCCATAGCAAGGATGCTAGGCATGGCTAAAGTCCTGAAAACCCATTCTGTTCCTGTCTATCCCCCACCCCACCCCCAGCTCTGGCCCAGAAGGCAATTTAGTTCCAAACACCACCACCTCCTCGGTGAGACCTCTCTGTCATCTTCCCCTCCCTGGCCTTCTGGTTTACCACTAGGGCATATTCTGCATTCAGTACCAGTTGCTTATTCTTCTGGGGTCCAAGCTGGGAGGCAAAGCTGAGCAACTTGTGCTGGCCATAGTCTGCTTTATGGATGGCTGGTTCCAGGAAAGGTCGATCAGCAAATGGACGAGGCTGCTGCTGTGCCCCAGAAGGCTGGAAACAGAGAGGCTTCATTTCTAAGGTGGGGGGAGGAAGGAAGGTGACCCCATCAGCCCCAGAAAAGGAAACCTTCCTAGCAGTGGTGAAATCCAAATTTTTTTACTAACGGTTCTGTGGGCATGGCTTGGTGGGCATGGCTTGGTGGGCGTGTCAGGGGAAGGATACTACAAAATCTCCATTCCCTCCCCACTCCTGGGGGAAAGATATTGCAAAATCTCCATTCCCACCCCCCTCTGGGGCCAGCCAGAGGTGGTATTTGCCGGTTCTCCGAACTGCTCAAAATTTCCACTACCGGTTCTCCAGAACCTGTCAGAAGCTGCTGGATTTCACCCCCGCTTCCTAGGGCTCTTGGGAGTGAATTCTATCAATTCTCACTTCCTCATGGTCTTGGAGGACCCATGGGTCAATTCAATAAATTAACTGTCATCCCACCCCTGTACTTCAGATCTATGGCTGGTTAAGAATTATCCTTCCTTAAGCCAAAAATCTTCTCATAAACCCATCAGCTCCTTGCATTGTTCTAGCTGGAAGGAGAGGGCAAAGGGAAAGGAAAAGGAGCGAAAAAAATTCCTGTGCAAAAAGGCTCTTGTGGGAACAGGAAGGCAGGCAGTTTCTCCGCTATCAGTTCCACTCCTACCTCCCAGGCTCGGGTCTACAGTATGACCCAAGTTAGAGAAGTACACGTCAAGTCAATTACTTCATGCCGCCCAGAATTGCTTTTTAGGAGATGGGCATCAGGAGCACATCTTTCTCCTTCTGTCCTGGCCACTTTTTACAGAGGCACAATTGAGAGGGTTTTAACAAACTGTATCACTGTTTGGTTTGGTGGCAGCAGTGCCTCAGATAGAAAGTCTATACCAAGAGTAGTGAGGACAATGGAGATTATTATAGGAAGCTGCTCCCCACATACCCACTTCAGGGTCTGTTTCTACTGCTTCCCTCTGGGAGGAGGTTTCAAAGTATTTCTAGCAGGACTACCAGATTCTGTAACAGCTTTCTTCCCTAGGTAAACTTGCCTGGTCTGTCTGGTAAACTTGTCTGGTAAACTTGCAAGTGTCATTTTTCTTGCCCTGTACATGTACTGTATACATCTGAACTAGACTGTGTTGTTTCTCTGAGCCATATAATATATACGGGTATATGCATAATTTTGTATTTATTTATTTGTTTGTTTTGTCACATTGATGTAGTGTATCTTGGAGGTGGTGACCCTTTGAGAACTGTATGCAGTAAAATTTTGTTTTAATGTATGCCAATTAGTGTACATTCAAAGTGACAATAAAGTTATTCTAAGTCTATTGGGCAGCCATATCAATACAATGGATGGACGGACGGACAGACAGGGGAACACCTTGTGGCATGAGTTTTGTCCCCTTGCAGCTAGAACCATGCCCCACCTCCAAGTGGCTCTTGTGACTGGATAGACACATCCATTTACTTAAAGGAAGCCATTGTATGCCTCCTAGGGATTCATTGTGGGTCCACCTATCCTGACAACTTCTGCCTTGCCTCCAGCTTCCCTTTCCGGAAAACGGGTAGAGGTGGTGGTGGTATGCCAGCTACTAAGTGACCTGGAGGAGGCAAGTTACCTGGATCTCTTTCAGTCGGACTGCAAGTCTGGAGATGGGATGGAAAGTGCACGGAAACCAGGATCTGGCTACGAGTGCCCAACTCTGTGGGGGGAACAAATAATGCTGCGTCCTTGCATATATGACTCTGAAATGCACATTAGGCAGAGCAGGCAAACTGAACTGTTGCCGTTCCTGTGGTGTGCAGAGAGTCAACATGTGGGCACAGTAAAGGACAATAGTGTTTATGTTAGAAGGCAGGCTAGGTTATGGGGCAGGTTAGGAGCCTCTTTAGAAGACCAGAATGAAGAGTTAGCAGGCCAGCCCACAATAAACTCACCCCATGTCATTATCAGATCCGTATTCCTACAGTAATGGTTGCATTATCATTTATGTTGCCTTTCCATGCCTGTGTATCATTTCAGAGGCTATACAGCCTGAAACTTTGTGAGTTTCAGGGTCTCCTACATTCCCTTGGCAAAAGCCCAGAGATCACTGTGGATATGCATGTTGTCTACGTTTCAACCTATGATTAGTTCATAAGATTATTTACTAAAACATTCTACCTGTAAATGATTAATTTCAACCGTAATAACACAAGGGCCATCAATAGATTTAAACTCAATGTAATTCGCTCAAATCTTAATTGTAGGAAATATGACTTCTGCAATAGAGTAGTAAATGTCTGGAACAGTGTACCTGATCCTGTTGTTAGTCTCTCTAATCCCCATACCTTTTACCATAAACTGTCTACCATGGACCTTTCATGTTTCTTAAGAGGTTCCCAAGGGGGCATGCATAAGTGCATCAGCGTGCCTACCGTCCAGTGGTGGGTTTCAAAAACTTTTACTACCAGTTTTGTGGGTGTGGCTTGGTGGGCATGGCATGACTTGGTAGGCGTGGCAGGGGAATACTGTAAAATCTCCATTCCCACCCCACTCCAGGGGAAGGTTATTGCAAAATCGTCATTTCCTCCTGATCAGCTGGGACTTGGGAGGCAGAGAATAGATGGGGGTGGGGCCAGTCAGAATTTTTACTAATGGTTCTCCGAACTACTCAAAATTTCTGCTACTAGTTCTCTAGAACTGATCAGAACCTGCTGAAACCCACCGCTGCTACTTTCCCTGTCCTACTGTTCCCAATTATATGTAATCATGTTACATATAACTGGGTATGTTTTGCCAATTTATATCCTTTTTTTTTGTGCCCAAAATTTTTCATGTTTCTATGTCTGTGTCTATTTTGTTACTTGTTTTATTTGTTGACAAATAAATAAATAAGAATAAGAATAATAAAGAAAAGATGCTATGTTGCCTCTATTTTCCTTGGTTCCAGACTTAAGTGAGCATTTTTGCACAGTAATCTTTTGATCCTCTCTGCAATGTTTGATACCATCAGTCATGGCAGTCTGGGACCACCACAAGGCCGGGAGCAACGCTCTGCAGCACGTCTGCTCCCTCCAGCCAGTGAGGAAGGTCAGCTGGGGGGGTTGTTCCCTCAGAGGAGATGCAGGATCCAATCCTCTCTTCCATGGTTGGACGACCACATGAAATCAATCTGACAGTTAAAATCCAAAACCATCTTTTTTTTTTTTTTAATTTGATTTATATGCCGCCCTTCTCCGGAGACTCAGGGCGGCTTACAATGCGTTAAGCAATCTGGCTCTCTGCTCCAATTCCGGACAGGTTTGCATTTCCTCAAAGGAGTGGATTAGGGGGAAAGGGCAATTCACAACTTATTGCTAGATTTCAGATAGAAGCCAGCCAGGAAAATATTGTGCATTCCCCAAAAGCTGGGCAATGCCAGTCTGCTTTATGTGTGATGGTCTTTCAAGATCGCAATAACCCACAACTGTGCAGCCCACCTGCTAGCACCTGCAAGTTGTTACAGCCATCCAACTGGTTTTGTAAACATTCCATTGGCTTCCAATACTCTGTGTGGCTTTAGCCTGTAAAAGTTTTCTCAGTATCTTCTCCTTCATCCCACAAGGGGCTCCTCAAGCTCTCCTCTACTACAGCGCCTGGGGAGGGATGCAGGTTTGTTTCTCTCCTTCGCTTTGGAGCAGCCCCTCCCCAGACGTGCAAGGCTGTTAAAAAAGGGGTGTTGATCTGTAATGGCCAGTAATAGGATTGGGGCCACAGTATCACTAAATCCGCAGGGGTCCTCAAACTCAGCAGCTTTAAGACTTGTGGACTTCAACTCTGGCTGGAGAATTCTGGGAGTTGAAGTCCACAAGTCTTAAAGCTGCCAAGTTTGGAGACCCCCGAGTTAACGGCTTCTTGTGCCTTTTATTTTTTATCAACAGCCAGGACAGTCTGGCGTGTGGCAATACATGGAAACTGTGAATTCCCATCCCCTCAACTACTCCCATACCACAAGGTCCCTGCTTTACCTGCCGGAAAAAGCTTTCCAGGGACCTGCATCTGGAAAAAGAGGAGAAAGTCCTCGTCGACTGCCACCTTCAGCCGGCTGGGGACCCGCGTGAGCCGGCTGATGGCTTCGCTGAACTCCGCCTCTCGGTTGGCTTCGTCCAGCTGCGCAGACCGCATAGCCCGCTCTTCTGCCTTCTGTAACGGGAACGATTGCCCAAACGCTCAGCAATTCAAACTCTTGGGTGGGGGGAGGAAGGAGAGCGCCCCCCCCCGTGCGCAAAAGAGATCCTGCGACGCCATTCAGACCCCAGAAGATAGACCTCTCCCCAGGTCGCGGCCGCAAAGCTCCGCCGGGGTCCCCGCGCTCCAGGCGCAGATTCTCACCAGCCAGTCCCGGCAAAGCCTCCGTATTAAATAGCTCTTCCCTTTGCACAGCCCTGCAAGCACACCCGCCAGAAGGGCCTGGCTGCGGGAGAGACCCCCCAGCGCCCAAAGAACGGGTCTGAGTCTTGCATGCGCGCGCGGGCCCACCGACCCCCACACCTACCCACGGGGCCTTTCTGGGGTTCGCAGGAAGGTCAGTTCAGAAGCTCTTGAAAGAGTTTGCACCAGTCAAGGAATCCTCCAGAGTAGCAGGAGGAGGCTGGGAAGGGCGAGGGGGACAAAAGCGGCGGACTGCTCGCAGTCCCGCCTGACCTCTGTCCCGCCCGGGCACTTCCTTTTCCCTTGGGCCCGACTTCAGGCCCCGCCGGTCAGCGCCCTCTGGCCGCGATTGGCCTGCAGTGGTCCGCCCCCAGCTGCGGCCCGCGCAGCGCTCGTGTGCTCGGCCGAAGGCGCTGAATCCCAGTCAGCTGACCCGGCCAGCCTGTGAACCGGCTCGCCTCTCGCGTGTTGACCCGAAAGGGAGGGCCCCCGGTTGCCCTGCCTGCCGCGCCCAAGGGCTCATCTCCGGCCCGCCTGCCGCTTCTCTAGAGCAGCTTCAAGCCGAGGTGCCCGAAAGAGGCTTAGCTTCAGCGGCATCGGTACCTAATCTCGTTAGGCTTTGCTCTCCGGAAGAGCGGAGCATATAATCCAAGCCTTTAAAAGGCAATCTGGCCCCAGCAGCCCAATTGCTCCCTTCATGTCTACCTCATGGGAAGGGCTTCTCCAACTTGACATCCACCAAAAGCTGGAAAAGTACAATCTCAGAGTGTGCACATGCACATGCACACACAAGCACACCAACACGTGGCACACCAACACATCCAGCGCATGGAGTGCCAGGCTGGAGAAGGCTAATTTAGACTTTGAAATACAGCAATTGGAGCAGAATGTGACAAGCAGACATGGTGTTTAAATATGTCCATTGTGCAAACCATTTCTTTGGGCAAAATCACACCATGACCCACCACCACAAAACCCTTGGACCATCCAGCAGGGACAAAGCCTGGGCAGTGTCATCCTTCGCTTTCAGGTTCTTCTGAAGGGAGAGCTGTTCAGAAGAAGGTGTGCAGATTGGGGTCTCAGGAAAGATCCCCTGAGGTTTCACAAGCAGCATGGAAGATGCCAACCTCTCTCTGCTAATGACCCCAAGACCCCATCTGCCTGTTCCAGGCTCACTGGGCCCTCAATGGGCGGAATGGGACAAGTTGCCACAGGCACCAGTCGCCCTTGGCTCAGGGTGGTTGCTACCAGCTTGGTTGGCAGCTCTTCTTCTTAAGAGAGGTAAAATCTCCCTGTAAGGCAGGCAGTGAAGGGAGAAGGAGAGTTGCTGTACTTATAATGTTTGGTGTCTTTTTTTAAAAAAACCTTTTGCCGCTGTCCACATCTAAATTCATGGCTGATCATGATCTGGTTTTGATAACAGTGCAAGAAACAATCTACTACCCATGAGAAATGACGTTTCTTTCCGTTTAAACAAAATGTATAAATACAGTAAAGCAGCATACAGAGTGTCACACAAGGAGAGAATACCTGGCTATGCATTAGCACCATCGAGAAAGAAGTGTGAAAGAGAGAGTGTGTGCTTTGTCCAGGGGAGGGAAAACATCAAGCAGCTGTTCCTTCTGGCAAGGAGAAATCTCCAGGGAATCCCAGTGAAAGGAAGGGAGCTGTGTGGTGAGGGGAGACCCAGAGCACTGAGGGCAGGAGGAACAGGATGCCTCCCTCCATTCAGGGAAAAGGGCCAAAAGGAAAGTCAACTGTTGGGGCAGAATCCCACCAGAGGAGGAAGTGCTGTTGCAGCAGAAGGGGGTCCCCAGCCACAGATGCCCATCCAGAATCATCTTTGGCAGCGTGTTGCTCCCAGGGTCTACCTTTGGACAGCCTCAAGGAGAGGAAGACACAGATTGGGCCAGTGGGATAAGCCTGAAGGGCGAGAAAATGTCCTGATGTGTTTCTGGGAGGGAGGGGCTCAGTCCTTCTCCTCTGCCCTCCATATGCACATAGAAATTACATGCACAGACACAGACACACAACCTTCCAGTGCAACAGGTACATCAGAAAATGGCAATTGCCAACGCATTGGCTTTGTGAATATAAAATTTCACTTTTGCTTTGGGCTGCTTCTCTTTGGAGAAGGAGGCCTCACATCAAGGCTTAATCCATAGACAAAGGCAGCATTCCACAGGGAGAGCAAACAGAGAGGTGGGTTTTCTTCCCCTCCGTTGGTTGAACAAAGCAGTGTCGGGTAGAAAGATAAAGTGAGCTGAGCATGAAAGAAGGATTGGCATTTTCCCATGTCAGATACATGCCAAAAAGGCATACCTGCCCTCCTCCTCCTCAGCACCATCCCAGGTGGCTGGAAAGAGTGGTAAAGCCCCCACCCCACCCAATCCACCATCAGCACCCAACCAAGCTCTTGCCAAAAGGGTGGACATCAAAGGTGCTGAATGCCCCCCTGTAGCAGTAGGGCCCAGCCTCCTCCCTGGGAAGCCACCCAAACCGCCGCTCAGCCGTCTTCCTGTAAAAAGACCCCTGGGGCACCGTTCAGCCATGCTTTCTATCATATCCCTGCAACTAGAACTGCTCCAGTTGAGGGTCCCAGCAACAGCTCAGCAGAAGGAGTGAAGGGGGTGAATGGCACCGGCCACCTATGGAGCACTTGGTGAGGGTGGAGGATAAGGCTGTTCTGTGATAGCATCACCTGGCCGAGAGGATCCGGGGCTGCTACTTCCCAGGAGCATGAAGGGGATTCATAATCTCCTCGTATTTGGGAGGTGGGTCACTGTAGGACACGTTGGGCTCCTCTGCGCCACTGCTGCCAGCACAGTCGGGCTGCCCCGTCACTTCTTCGTAGGAGGGGGGAGGAGTGGCACTGCACAGTCTAGACAGGGGGGGAGCCATGTGCTCAGGCTCAACAAGCGTCCTGGCCAGCTGACTGGGTGACCCCTGCCCCCAATCGCCATTGGAAGCCCCTCTGCCACTTGGGTCCTGCTGGCAGTGGGTTTCGCTTTGGCTGGGAGGAGCTTCGCGGTGCACCCTCACCCTGGGCAAACTGCGAGCAGCTCGGCTGGCCAGGCCCCTATTTTGGGGGTAGGAGGGACGGTGGTGCGTGACTTTTTGCAGCTGGCAGCGCCAGATGATGAAGAGACCAATGACAATGAGCAATGCTACACCTAGCAGGGGCACCACGACGTACATGGCATCAGACCGGTCTGTCCCGTCGGACGCATCTTTGACGGAGTAGGCATAGCCCTTCCAGAACTCCATCTGCCAGGAATGGGAGACACCAGTCAGCAACCATCCACCCTCCCCCCTTAATCCCCCCTGAAATTGGTTAGCTCAAAGGTGCCTAAGGATTTGGGCCATGTGCCAGGAGCACTTCATATGTAATCCCCCAGTCCCATCACTAGGAGGCAGTGCGAATGGCCCTGCTGCCTGGAGAAATTACCAAAAGACTACCCAATATACTTAGTCCTCTGACTTAAAGTGCACTCTTTTTCTTTGGGCTTTAATTGGCGCACAGCTTCTTTGTTTTCCAATCCCCCAACTATTTGCCCATTTTGCTTTCCTCCTGCAAAATTCACCCTGTTGCCCTCCTGCCCACTCCTCACTCTTTTACACCATGGAGCCTCTTATTCCTTGATCAAGTGAATAATAAGCCTTTTCAGACACTTGGAACAAATGGAACAGATGTTATGCTGAGCACCTGAAATTAACATGCTGGTTCCCCCCCCCTTAATGACTGAAGCCCCCATTCAGATTATCCACATCTTCGGAGCAAAGTGGGGAAACCTGGTACAAGGGAGTTCGTGGGTGAAAGACAAGGGATGCCCCACCCCACTCCCGCTGTTCCCTCCCAGACCCACCTACCGTCTTCTCCTTGTTCTCAAAGACCTCCTTTACTTCCTCATAGCTGCAGACCTCCTCCACGCACTCACGCTCAATGGTGCCCTGGCGAAACTCTTCCAGAAAGCCATTGGCCCGTGGAAAGCGCTTCAGGACGGAATGGGCTTTCGGAGCTGTGAGGAAGGCTGAAAGACAGGCACCAACACAGTCACTTTAAGAGGCTGGGAATTGGCCAAAATGTCTGCCAGCATCTCTGCCAGTTCCCATTCTTCTTCCATGGTGGAGGTCTTGCTGCTTTATTGCAGAGCAAGATCAGACAAGCCCCTCCCACCCAAATCTCCAGTGGCAGAAGAAGCAAGTACCGCTCCTTCTCCTTAACCTCTGGCGGGCAAGACTGGGCTCGTGTGGGCTGGTAGCCCAATTCACTTGGCCACGGCATCAACCGTGTTGATGCAAAAAGGGAAAACATTAGAAAAAACTGGAACAGCTAAAAATAACCTCCATCAGCCTCAGTTGTGGGCTGAGGCATTTGGAAAGGCTACCCATCCTGCCCTTAGAGAAGACAAACCACAGGTAAGGGTGAGTAGGCCCCTCCTGGAAAGGTAACCTCAGATTAGGGTGGTTCCAGTAGTGGCCGAAATGTCCTCAAGACTCCCCAATTTGAACAGCCTAAGAAAAGCCCTCCTCCCCTTCCTCTCTGTGTATTTTTAAGCCAATTTGAGAATGTAGAAGAAACCCAGCCAGCCACATGTGGCACAGGGGGCCTTTGAGCCCCTTCTCCCCAGGATGGGTGGAAAACATGCCTCCCCTCCAGCAAAGAATTCACCTACTTGCCATGTTAGGTCTTCACTCTTATCAGTTAAGGGTCTCAGCCAACTGTTAGGAAGAGAGCAAACCAGTTAAAAATCCTCCGGTTTAATTCTCACATTCTTCCCTTCCACCAATCATCCTTGAAGGTGCTTGAGACCCAGTCCCAAAGCTGCCCTTCTTCCTCCGGATAATACCAGCACACAGGGTAACTGTAATGGAAATCATCTCCAGAAGCAGATTTGGACAGATTTGTTGGGAGGAAGGAGGGGGCCCTGAAGGCAGGTCCCTGCATATATATATATATATGGTTCTACATCAGATGATGGAAGAGAAGCGTGATCCCTCCCCGGGTGTCGCCCCCCAACATTGCACAATGCAGGGCTTCTGCGCAAGGAGGGGAGTGGCAATCCCACCGTCCAAACAGGCTCTGCATTTCAGTTACAGGCGTCGCAACTGGTGAGCCAAACGCCCCACCTCCAACCTCCCAGGGCCCCCCCCGCCCCGCCCCGCCCTCCCCTCGCAGTTTGGCTCGCAGGTGCCAGCGCTGAGCGAGGAGTAAGTTTGGCCGAGGCAGCAGGAACGGGGATCTGGTCCCCAACACGCGCGGGAGACTGGGTCGGGGAGGAGTTTCTGCATTGGGAGCGAGCACCAGGCGAGCCGGCCACAGGAACCACTCCGCGCACACTCCCTTCCGCGTCTTCCGAACGGGGGGAGAGCCCTTCCTCGAGCGCACGAAGGCCGCGAGGAGCCCGATCCCTTACCTCTGCCGTCGGGGAAGAGGTTGCCATGGCAACAGCGAGGCGGCGTACGGGATGCAGCGACGATGCTGCTGACGTCATGCGCGCCACCTCCAGGCATCGGGGGCAGCCACGGGTAACGGGCCTGCCAGAGCGCGCCCCTCTTGCCCGGCTCGCCGAAAAAACCGAAAGCGCCTTCGAGAGAACAGAGCCAGCCTCCGCCGCCGCTTCTAGGAGCGAGAGGGGCAAAGCCGAGGCAGCCACGCTGCCCGTCCTCCGTTAGAGCCTCCGAGGCGACCCCTGCTCCGCGACCACCTTCCCAGATCTCGCTTTGCTCGCTCGGCTTCTGGCGGCGGCTGTCCGAGGAGCCCTGCAGAAGCTCGGCGGATTCAGCCGCCAGCCGCGGCCCGTCGGAGGCGCCAAGGGGCGGGTCTTGCCGCGCGCCCTAGCCAGCCACGCTCTGGAGGCGGAGCTCGCACGCATCCCCCGCTCCCTCGCTGCGTTATCTACTGGTCGGGCCAGCAAGCTGGAGGCGGGCCGGCTGCCCATGCATGCTCTAAATTTAACCTGACTAGGTGGCTCAGTGGTTTTGACACTGAGCTTGTCGATCAGAAGGGTCGGCGGTTCGAATGCCTAGTACAGGTCTCCTGCGTGAGCAGGGGGTTGGACTAGATGACCTCCAAGGTCCCTTCCAACTCTGTTCCTGTTATAACCAAATGGGAAAGTCAGTGAGGGGCCTAAAAGGGACCTTTCCTTCTTGCTTGGCCTTCTGGGAAGCGTGGTCCGGGGGAGGACGAGCCTCTCCTGTGGCCGACTCGGGGATGAGCGTGCGCGCGCCCGCCCGTCCCAGTCCCTGGGAAATTTCTCTCTTTCTGAGCCAGGGTCTTCCCATCGCCGACTTGGCTCAGGACGCTGCTGAGGCGGCGGCGTCCCGCTCCGTAGAGAGAATTCCCCAACCGCTTCCTTGGCGGCTCCCGGGCGGCTGCCCACCCCCACCCCGCCAATTAAGCGAAAGAGAACGGTGTGGGGGGAGGGACAGGCTGTTTCGCTGAGCCTCCAATCAGTAGAATAGAATAGAATAGAATAGAATTTTTTATTGGCCAAGTCTGATTGGACACACAAGGGATTTGTCTTGGTGCATACACTCTCGGTGTACATAAAAGTGATATGTTCGTCAAGAATCATAAGATACAACACTTAATGATAGTCATAGGGTACAAATAAGCAATCAGGAAACAATATCAATATAAATCGTAAGGATAGAAGCAACAAGGTTACAGTCGTAAGTGGGAGGAGATGGGTAATGGAAATGGCGCCTTCAGGCAAAACCAGGGAGAAGAGGTTCCGTCGAGGGAGCCGCTCGTGCCTCGGGGGGGGGGGGGGCGAGCTGCCCGGGAGCCCTTCTCCCCCGCCTGCTAGTCCAGGGTTTGGGAAGTCCTGCCCGGATTAGGTGGCGGGCTGGGAGGCCCGGCGGAGCTCAATGCCAGTTTGTGGCCGAACCGTCCTCTGTCGAAGGCTCCAGCCGGGCAAAGGCTGCTCGAGGCCAGGGGAGGGGGCCGCCGTGCTCCGACCTCGGCAAGATTGGGCCGATCCCCCTCGGAGCCTTGCGAGAGTTGAGGGAGCCACCATGGCGCCCCTGAGGAGAATCTTTAGGACGCCCTGGAGCCAGATGGCGTTGCTGTAGGTGGGCAAGGCCACCGTCACATTGCTGGGCAGGCGAGTTGGATGGCAGCCCGCCCCTGCCTGCCTGGAAGCCTGGCCAAGCAGTGGGAGAGCAGCCCGCAGGTGGCTCGGGCGAGACCTTGGCTTGCTTATCAATCGTCCAGATGCTACAACCGCGTTTCAGTTGCCTTGCAAGACTGTGAGGAGGGGGGGGGTTGTCTTGGAGCTCCCTGAGCTTGATTGTTTTCTTGCAGACGTTTCAACCAATCTTGAAGAGCACAAAAAATCCCACAGTTCACCTCTGAGCTACAAATATCCCCTTCGGTCTGTACTGCAGGAGGGCTGAAGGGCAGCAGGAAACACCACTGTCCCCCACCCACCCAACCTCTTGCCTTTTTTGCACCAAAAACAGAATAAATCAGGGCATTTGTGACACGCACATACCCCAGCAACCCTGCTGCCAATCAGTGCAGGCTTGGTGGGCTCCATTCCCACCCCACTCCAGGGGAAGGATACTGCAAAATCTCCATTCCCACCCCACTCCAGGGGAAGGATACTGCAAAATCCCCATTCCCTCCCCACTCCTGGGGGAAGGATATTGCAAAATCTCCATTCCCACCCCACTCTGGGGCCAGCCAGAGGTTGGTATTTGCTGGTTCTCTGAACTACTCAAAATTTCCGCTACCAGTTCTCCAGAACCTGTCAGAATCTGCTGGATTTCACTCCTGGGGCAAGGGATGTATTGAGCCAGCAAAGCAAAGTCATGGTTGACTTTTGAAGATCATGTTACAACCTTGACCAGGGGGGCATTTGCCCAGATTTGTCTGGTGCGACAGTTGCAACCCTACCTGGACCGTGATGCCCTATGCACAGTCACCCATGCGCTCATAGCCTCCCAGATCGACTACTGCAATGCTCTCTACGTGGGGCTGCCAGTGAAGACCACTCAGAGGCTTCAGCTGGTGCAGAATGCGGCCGCGCGGGTAGTAATGGGAGTGTCCCGACACTCTCATGTTACACCTCTCCTGTGGGACCTGCATTGGCTACCGGTTGCCCTCCGGGTGAGATTCAAGGTGCTGGTAATTACCTATAAAGCCCTACATGGCTTAGGCCCAGGGTATCTGGCAGACCATCTGCGGCCAGCGACAGCTCCCCATCGCCCAGTGCGTTCCCACAGGGAGGGCCTCCTTGGGGTGCCGTCAGCCAGACAATGTCAGCTGGCAACCCCTAGGGAGCGGGCCTTCTCTGTGGGCGCACCTACCTTGTGGAATCAGCTCCCCCTGGAGCTCCGGGTGGCCCCTAACCTTCGCTCTTTCCACCGTGACCTTAAAACATGATTATTTCGCCTGGCTGGTTTGGACTGAAGGGGTTTTAAAGGGGATTTTAATGGTCTTTTATAATCCTATTGGGTATTTTTAATATTGTTTTTGCTTGTTTTTATTGTGAGCCACCCTGAGTCCTTTCGGAGATAGGGCCGCATACAAGTTTAAATAATAAATAAATAAATAAAGCCCCCTCCCGTTCTCTCACTCTTTTATCCAAAACTCTGGTCTGGCTGTCCTGAAGCAGTTAAACAGGAGGAAAGGGATTATCTGCTAGCAGCCTGAACTGAACTGAACTGAAGAGAAAAATGCCTCTCAGTCCCTCAGAACCAGTTTACACCCCACCCCCCTTTTACTTGCAAGTGTGAGCAAGTATAAGAGTGGCTCCTCACTCCACACTTCTCTTTTTGCAAAAGATTTTTTAAAAATCAAGATAAACTTTTTATTTTTCTATAGAAGTGTCCAAAATACATAGCAAAGCTTTATTTTATCTTTATCAAATAAAGTATCAGCCATCTCATTCAGATGAGTATATGCTCTCCTGTATAGGCAGGCTGAGGGTCACCTTCTCATCGAAACGGGACCACAATTGCTGTGGGCTCCTCCTTCCTCTGAGAAATGAACAGTTGCTTCTCCTCAAGTAATCTCTCAGAATTTTTGTTAAACTAGCGAAAACAGATGGTTCCCCCCTTTGCCCTATTTATCATAACGGATAGTTCTTTCTTTTACGTTTTCGGACGTAATTTCTACAGATAAGAGGATGGACAAAGGGCACTTGGCATTTTTTTCAGAAGCTAATAATTAATCCTGGATGGTTTCCTTTCAAGTTCCCTGTCTTCTACACAACATTTGTTCCAACCTACACTTGAGCAGAAGGGCCCAGAGGGCAAGGAGGCACCAACGAGCATCAGCCAGACAGCAAGCATGGTATCGGTTGGACTCCAGTTGGTGGGCTACATTTTGGGGCTGCTGGGCACGCTGGGCACCCTGATAGCGACCCTGCTGCCCAACTGGCGGATCAGCTCCTACATTGGCTCCAGCATCGTCACCGCTGTTGGCTTCTCAAAAGGACTCTGGATGGAGTGTGCAATCTACAGCACAGGGATCACGCAGTGTGACATCTACAACTCTCTGCTCAGCCTGCCCACTGATCTCCAGGTGGCCCAAGCCCTGATGGCCACCTCCATTGGTATCGGTTTGCTGGCTGCCATTGTCTCTGTGGTGGGGATGAGATGTACCGTCTTTTCTCAGAGCTCCCCAGCGAAGGACAAAGTGGCGATTCTGGGAGGAGTCACTTTTGTCCTTGGGGCACTGCTCAGCTTCATCCCTGTTGTGTGGAATATCCATGTGATCCTCCGTGACTTCTACAACCCACTTGTGCCCGACAGCATGAAATATGAGATTGGGGAAGCCTTGTACTTGGGCATCCTGTCTTCCTTGATCTCTTTCATTGGCGGCGCCATCCTCTGTGCCTCCTGCCCACCTCGTGACTCACAGGCAACCTGCTACAGTCCTCATCATTCTCAGACCATGGCAGACAGGAGCTCCCTGCCACCTCTCACATCTCCAAAGGCCAGTGCATACAGCCAGACTGGTTATGTGTAGCAGTTGCTGGCCACCCATGGAAACCCTCACTAGATGCACTGAATAGGTAAGCAGAGAGACAGATAGGTTTATTCCTCTCACAACCCTCCTTTCAGCACTCCAGCCCTGTCTCTTCCCCATGCAACTTGGCACTGCCGGAGATGTCATGTTGCTTGTCAACTGCCTGGCGGCTGCAGTTTCTTCAAGGCCCGTGGGGCTGTGTTTTCTCTGAAGACCTTCCTGTGACTAAAAGACCAAGCAAAGTGCCCAATGACTGCAGAGCACAGGAGGAGTCCATTCGGAGGAGTCACAGGTGCCCACCAGGCCTCTACTGAGCACCTTTCAAATCCTGCCTCATCCTGTCTCCCATTCCATACGATTCATCCCCAGAGTGGGAAACGGGACTTAAGAATGGGGGGGCGGGGGGAGGACATAGCTGAGTGATATGGGAAAACAATCCCCATTTCTGAGAGAAACCTGCAAGTCCTTGGTAAGGGAGTAAAAAAAACCCACCCCAAACTGTTGGAACCCAGAACAAGGGGATTGATGGCAGGACAAGGATGCATGGGGATATACTAGGGCCACTGAAACATCCTGAGAGATGACAAGACAGCCCCCACCCATCCCTTGCCCTGCCTTCTGCCAGGGACAAAAGGATGACATTTAGCGTCTGGCTTTGAAGAGACCAAAATGTGCCTGCTCTGTGGGTGGGTACATGCTGGTCTTGGCAGATGACAGAACTCGGTGGACAAGCCTGCTGCACCTACTCTGGGATCAAAGGGCCGCTCCATCCGCCCGCCCACCCACTTCCAGTACTCCAAGCTTGAGAAGCTTTTGGGCTTACAGTGGCTCAGTGGTTTCACTGGCCAAGAAAGAATTCCTGCTCAAGCAGGGAATGGACTAGAAGACGTCGAAGGTCCCTCCCAACCCTCTCATTCTATGTGCTATAAAGGCAAAGGAGAGAGGCGAGGCCGTAGGGCTTAACTGTGTCTGGGAAAGACGACTCTCCAACCCCAAGAAAGACCAATTTCTTCCAGCCTGGGAACCAAGGAAATAAAACTATGGGGATGACCCTGTGCTGGCCCAGCCCAAAGAACTAAGGCCAGCAAAATATGCCCAGGGCTGACCAGTTGTTCTGCCTCCTGCTCCAGAGCAATGTATTGGCGCCAGCATCTGTTTGTCTGTTGGTCTATTTAGCAATATCCTAGAATAGGGATTTTAAAAAGTACATGTGTTCCCAGAAGATGAGTTAATGCTGGGGGAAGAAAAAAAAGGGTGGGTGGGGAGGGAGGGAGGGAGGGCAGGCAGCATGTGAAAGTGAGTTGACAAATGGGTGCAAGGGAAGATGGAGTCTGATACTTGGTTGTCCCCATGTATGGGGTCAGGCAGGTAACTAGAGGGAGGCATGGAGAAGTTTAAAAACTCTAAAGTGGCCGATACTGAACTAGTTGGGAATCCCTGCTCCCTAATCCATTTCCCCCTGGAGGAAAGCAAAGGCTTAGCTTAAAGAACAAACGTGAAGCAAAGCGTGATTCCCAGAACCAGCAGGGGGTAAGCTTCCCGAGGGTGCGTTGAGGACATGGCAGTGGCCACACAAACACAAACAGCGGGGAAAAAAAACAAAGAATCTACTCAGGAAGAGCGCAAAGTAGACAGAGTGAGGACCAACCAATCCCTTCACGACTGAAGACAGGAAGGGTTGGTTAAAGAGCGCAAGAGACAAGACACGCAGTAACCGAGTTCATGGAATGGATTCATCCTGGCAAGTCCTCTCTCTTGCAGGGCCATGAACAGCAAGGGGCTGGGGGAGGGGGCTGGGAACAGTGAACTCGGCAGGCCTTTTCTAGGTGCAACAGCCTAGGAATTTCTTGGTCCAGGTTAAACATGTTGATTTGAAGGTACAAGACTGGGTGGGTCATGGCTTAGGACCTGGTTATCTACAGGACTGCCTGCTACCACCAATAGCCTCCCACCGGCCAGTACGCTCCCATAGAGAGGGGCTCCTCCAGGTGCCGTCAGCCAAACAATGTCGACTGGCGGCCCCTAGGGGGAGAGCCTTCTCTGTGGGGGCACCTATGATCTGGAACGAGCTCCCCCCGGAGATACGGAGGATCCCGGATCTGTGCACCTTCCGTCGCGCGCTTAAGACTTTTTTATTTCATCAAGCTGGCCTGGCCTAAATCTTCTCCCCTTTTTAAATGTAAATTTTAATTTGTTTTTAAATTATGGGGTATTTTAAATTTGTCTCAGCCAAATTATTTAATTCGTTTTTATTCTATTTTAAATTTTTGTATTTATGTGTTTTATTCTGTGGCTGTTCACCGCCCTGAGTCCTTCGGGAGTAGGGCGGTATAGAAATCTAATAAAATAAAATAAATAAAATAAAATTCCCAGGTTGGCGGGCCAGTATGCAGCCATTCCTCCTTGCAATGCTTCAAAATTGGATGCGGCCAATGTGGAGAAGCATTGGGATGTCCTGAAGAGTGAGATGCCAGGATGGAACTCCGGAGCTAGGAGACATTCTAGGAGATACACAAGAAAGTCTTTTTCCATGAATTGAGGGGTGGGTGGACGTATAGCTTTGTGTAACAGTTATAAGCCATGACAATGGTTAACTTCCCATTAAAAAAACTCAGCAGTGTTATTTTTATTTTCTCCCAGTCATGCCAGAGATGGAGGAAGGGTCAGCATCCTTGGGCAAAGGAGCAAGCTAAGCTGTGGGTGATGCAGGAAGCGTCAAGAGGCGGGCTTTGGGTGGGAGCTGTTTCTCCTGCCTTGTTCTGACCCATGGTGGGGAGTGTGGGGCCACAGCTGAGCTCCTTTCAGAACAGCTGGGTGTTCAGTGAATTTACGCTTCCACAGCTTATGCAGGCAAAGCTTTGAGAACAGTTTAGGATTTTGATTAATGCATTGTGGCGTTACAGCCATTAACCTTTGCAAACCAATAAAGCTATTTTACTGATAATAGGTGACGAAAGCATTCTTGTCATTTCCCCACCCACCCCCAGGGGGAAATGGTTCCTAAGGTGAAGGAACTTTTTCTCCCTCTGCAGCCAGCTGAGTCAGACTGAGTGCTCCTTGAAACAATTCATCATGTGGCCACTTTAAAGAGGGCGGAATGCAATCTGGGCAGTCACGCCCAGGAGATTCTGCAAGAGGTGGAACAGATCAGGGTAGCCTTCCCACACCTTGGTCTCCCTTTAATACCTTTCTTGCTGAGCCTGTAATTTTTCCCTACTGCTGCCCCTTGGAATGAGGGCAGCCCAAGCAGCCAGGGGTATCTGGAACAAAACCCGACACCCTGCTGCACTCTTTTACTAACCAAGGTGGGGCCACCAGATTTCCATGACCGAGAGAAAAAAGCAACCAGGAGAGGTAATTCTGGAGCAGAAAGATACAGGTGGTGGAAGTGGGACACCCCTCCTAAGAACATGCTTCTGCCGGGCTCCCTTCCATGCAAGGGAGGAAGTGTTGGAACAAGACCACATCAGAGGTAACGCAGAAAGAGCGGCGTTTGCTAAGCGAGCCTTAACACACCAGTGGCTGTGGTTTTCCTCCTTCAACCAGGTGAGAATTCATTATAAGGATGAAGCTTCGCCAGCCAGCTCTGGGGTCTCTTCATCAGATCAGACTCCCTCCCTTTGTCGCAGAGAGGAAAAGGCAGGCTGGAAGCACCCATCACTTAGTCACATTCCCTGCTACGCTCCCTCCATAACCTTTGCCCTGGATGATGGAGGAGGAGAAATAATCAAGGGCAGCTATGAGCAGTTCAGGGTTCTTCCCCCAAGAATAGACTCTGGTCTGGGGGGAGTGGCTTTTGAAAAGAGCCCAAAACAAACCAGCAAGCCAGGCTCCTTCGTCTAGCCCTGCTCTGGGAGAGTGGAAGAAGAGATACTGGGCTTCCCTGTCAGCTATACACACACATACCAATGGGTCTCCTCCTCCCTGGTTGGCAGGATGCTCAGGCTGCAAACACTCTTCTCCTTCTGCTCCTTACCTCAGAGAGGTAGGAAGCAGAGCTCCAACCCCCAACTGGAGGCTGTTTCTTGGAGGGCCTTGGGCTCCCACTCTTCTCCCCCAAGAGCCATTCTTGCTGCAGCGCTGAGAGGTAAAGAACCCATCTTGCATGCCAAAGGCCTGAAACAAAGCAAGCATCTTTGGCTCCAAGTTAGGCAGAACTACTTTTAAGTATTCATCCGATGGCTCTTTAGGAGCTCAAGAGAGGCCAAGGGGCTTATTCCAGGGCCTAGAAGATCACCTCAGCAAATGCTAAACAACCCCACCATCCCTTAGCAACACTCGCTTATCCTCTGACTGAACTCGGTGCCCCAGAATGCTCTGAGAGGATCCAAACTACACAACCTGAGGAACCATGAGCATTCACACATTTTATGCAAACTGAGCGAGAAAAGATCAACAGTCTCTCTCATCCAATGTTGGCTTAACAAAATGATTCCTGCAGCTTGACCACTTTTCTTCCCTGCTCCCCACGTGCAGTCAGCTCCCTCTGTATGTAGAAGCAAAGGGGCGCACAAGAGCCCCAGTGGCAACAGATCCTGCCAGGCCTCGTCCAGTCTTCTCTGTCTGCAGGCAAAGCCATCAAGCTACCCCAACAGTCGAGGACTTGTCTGACTGGCCGTTGTTGCCCTGGAGTGCAGAGTTGATTCCAGGGTCCAGGGCAGAAGCCGGCTTCCTACTCCGACCAAACTCAAGGATGAGTGGCTTCCCTAGCAGGGGAAACCCGTTGAGCAGCTCCAAAGCTTCCTGGGCCTGGGACACGGCTGGCCAGAGAAGAAGGCTTAGTGGAGGAGAAAAGAGTCTGGCCGGCCCGGCCCCCCCCCCCCCCCCCGCACCCCCACCCCAACCACAACCACCGTGGCCAGGTACTTACTGGGAAAGGTGAGGAAAGCCTGGCCTCTCATGCGCCCATTCAGCAGACGCAAACGAAGAGGGGGGACATCCTTCTTTTGGAAGCGGGAGAACAAGGGCAGCAGGTCTTTCACTGTAGCATTGCGACTCAGATTTTTCACATACAGCACCTAACCCCCCAGAGAAAATGGAGCAGCCTGGGTATCTGCCGCAGCCCCCGCCATCTCCCCAGCACATACCTGTTTGCATACCTCCCTGCTAAGAGGGAAGAGGGACAAGACACCCCTCGTTTCTCTGCGCAACACTACCCAGGCTGAGGGCCACTATATTCTTCTCCCCTGCAGAAGCCAAGCCTTGATATGAACCCCTCATCATCATCCTGGACAACTGTCAGGGAGGGGCCGCTATTTTGCCTGGTTCTGTGCTTTATAAAGAGGCAAATCCTCTCCCTCTGTGGGGAAGCTGCTCAATGGCCCGGGCACCAAGCCGAGCACTGTGACACAAGAGGCAACCGGACTCTCCCAGAGAAGAGCAAAACATCTGAGCCCAGCCCAGCCTGCCTGGCAACTACCTTGCTTGGCTCCCCTGGGCTATAGGAGGAAAATCTGGGGATCCGGTGGATTTCTTCTTTGGAAAGGCGGCTCCGGATTATCTCCTCTTCTGGCACACACTCTACAGGATCCGTCACCGTCACAGGCTCCACGGCTGGTGGAACTGCTCCAAGGCTACTGAAGGGGGTAGAGCAAGATGAATCAGGCACCTTCTGGGGAGACTTTGGTGGTTCCAGTGGCCTCTGGCTCGACAATGGTTCGCTCAGGAGCTCCCGATAAACTGCGTCCAGCTGAGCCATTGGGCCCATCTCAGGGGCAACCTTTGGCTGAGCTTCATCTGTAGCACAAGAGGCAAAGGCAGTTCCTGACCAGTCAGCCCGGGAACAGGAACGAGCCCCACACAATCTGGGGCAGCCCTCGGCCCAGACAGGCACCATACCTTGGCGATACAACATCCGCAGAAAGGAGTGGCGGTCTGTTCCCTGGAAAAGAGCATTCTCAATCTCCATCTCCCGCCTGCTGAGTGACTTGCTGCCTGCAAAGTGCTGTGGCAGGGAGAGGATGCGCTGGCGCTCCGCAATCTTTTCCTGGATGGCTCTGATCCTGTCCTGAGTGGCCTCCGGCGCTGCCCCAAGCCCAGAGGTCTGAAGCAAACAAGAGGGGTGGGGGAGACTCTGACCTCCAGAGCAGGGAGAGTTGGAGGCTGCCTTCCTCTAGGCCTGGGGTGGGGGTGGGGGGGAAGAGGAGAGGGGTTCCTTGAAGGAGTGAGGGGAGGCTGGGACAGTTGACCCAGAAGGGTACCCGAGTGCAGCTGTTTGCAGAGGACCAGGGAGAGGAAGCTCGGCCAGGAAGCCCCGCAGACGAACCAGGAGGCAGTGCCAAGGCACCCGGGCCTGCGGAAACTGGCCACAGCAGCCCCCAGCCGCCTACCTTCTGGGCCCGCTGCTTCCAGAGGCGGATCTCGGCGTCGGAGAGGCCCAGCTCCTGCAGAGAGGCCGCTTCCCCGCTGCTCTCCTGCAAGGCCCGGAACTCCGGCAAGGTGCGGGCGCCAGCGGCCTCCTCCCCGAAGGGCCGGTACACGGCCGCCGGCGCGAAGCGGTGCCGCTTGGCCACGCACCTGCGCGAGAACCCCCGTTAGTCCCCCGGCCTGGCCCGCAGCGCAGAGGTCCTCCAGTCGGGCCCCGGCCACTCACTGCTCGAGCGACGCGCCGTGTCTAGCTGGTGGCGCAGCAGCCGCTTCAGCTGCCTCTCGCCCTCCGTCTCCAGCTCCTCCGCCGCCGCCGCCGCCTCCCCGCCGCCGCACCTGCGGAAGAGACGAAGCGAGGCACCGGCACTGCCCGGAGCCCACTCCACCCATCCCCCCCCCTCTCTCTCTCTCTCGCCCACCCACCCCCCCCTCTTCCCCGGCGCCCACTTTACCCCCCCTCCCCTCTCTCGACAGGCGCCCACTCCTGCCCCCCCCGCCCCCCCCCCACGACCAGCGCCAACCTCACCTCCTCATCGCGACCCGGTTCCGGGATGCCGCGCGGGCTGCCGGGAGCGCATCCATTGGCCGGCGCGCCCCTCGGGCCCCGCCCCCAGCCCCACCTCCTCCGAGGCCCCCTGGCGGTTGGCCGGCAAAGGCTGAGCAAAAGAGACGCGATGGGAGAGAAACTCTTTTATTGAGGGGTACAAAAAGAAGCGGCGGGGAGGGGGGGGGCACCAGGCGGCGCGCTCAGTCGAAGGTGATGCGGAAGCTGCGCTCCTGCTCCTTCCGGCGGCTGTCGCAGACCTTGGTCATCTCCTCCACTTTCCTCTGCAGCAGAGCTGTGGGCAGAGGGGAAAACGGCAGCTGGCTGGGCGTTTGGGGTGGGGGGCTTCCGCCACCCTATAGCTACAAGGTTGCCCTTATGGCCCGCGAGGCAGAAAGGAGGCAACTGACTGGAAAAAGCCCTCTTCAGTCAGCAGAAAGATGGGAAACCCCCAAGAGGTAAAAGAGGAAGTCCAGATCAGAATGGGAGTGGATGGGCTTAATGCTGGACTCAAAACACCTCCTGGGCCATGACACTACACCTGGCTATAAAAAGGGGGACTGCTGCTCCCTCAGAATTCAGAACTAAATACCTGAGTTCTGATCAATCCACTGCAAAGAATCCATGTGTGCGTTCAGAATTTTGCAAATCTGCTGAAGCTGTGAAAGGGGGGGGGGAGAGAGAAAGTCCACACTCTGGTGAGGAAATGGCTCTCCTGTCCCCATGCCAACCAAGGACAGGAGCTTCTTGCTCCCCATTTACATCATATTCCTCAGCAAGGGGGCAGCCAAAGTGTTAGCTCCAGCAGACTTAATGATTCAAAGCACAAAATTGAAGTCCCACCCCGCTCCTGCACAACAAGGGTACTCACGGGGTCACTATTGTCAGCAGGGCCCCCAGAGGTGTTCAGGTGCTCAATGATATCTTTCAGATCCTGGGCCATGCGCTTCAACTGGGCATCAATGTTCTCTGCCAGCTTGTATCTGCAGCACAAGAGTAAAGGACACACAGAGGCAAAGAGCTGTGCAACAGTGCCCCTGCCTCCTACAGAATGGGCAAGAGGATGAGGAGCATCAGAAGAGACCCAGCTGGAAGGACCATAATACTCAACCCTGAGCAAAAGGACCTTTGGCTATGCAGGTACAAAGAGAGCCAAAGAAATGCCCGAAACCTGGGAAAGGGGCTCCTTGTCAGTCAACGTGAGTGCTGATTTACCATCAGCTTATCAGGTACTTAGGAGCCAAGAACACAGGATGGGCTCCAACACAAGTCTGAAAGACTACATCTCTGCTCCCGGTGACTGACCCAGATTGGATTCCCACTGCTCTTTGAAGGAGACCAAGGGAGGGCACAATGCTAGCCAACTGATCCCTCCAGGAGAAGGGAGACAGCCTGCCTTCAGGGATGCTCACGTCTTTTCCCGTTCCTCATCTGCATGTTGCAAGTAGATTGTTCCGCTCTGCTCCTTCACAGATTCCTCCAATGGGATCAACAAATCTTCCAGCTCCTTTTGCTGAGACAAAATGAAGTCCAGCTCTTGGTCCAGCCTATAAGGGAAGGGAGGAAGGGAAGGGAAGGGAGAGCGTGCTAAAATGCCTTGGAAGGGGCCGGTCTTGCATAGGCTAACAATGAGAGCTTCAAAACACTGCTGCTCTGCCTCTTGGAGATGGCACCCCCTTTCTCCTAAAGCAGCCAGTAGGGACAGCCCTCTCCCCTTTGCTCCTGAAAAGCAAGGGAACCAAAGCCAATTCTAGTCTTTTTAAGGCCCAATTCCATACCTCTTTTGATCCAGCTTCACTTTCTCTACTTCTCTGTGTAAGGTTGTGATCTGCGTGAGAGAGACAGAAATGCAGTTGTTTCTTTCCTTGACAGAACCTGCCTTGCTGAACAGAACCAGGCAGCCCCTTCCCCTCCTACCTTTTCTCCATTTTCAATCAATGTCCTGTCCCAGGCGTTGACCTGGGTAGCCTGCTGAAGGAAGTGCTTCTCCTGGTCCTCCAGTTCCAGGCTCCATTTGTTAATCAGGCTCTCCAGCTGGGCATAGGTCATCACAGGGGGAGTCCTGGACAGAAGATGGAAAATCCCAGCCACCATCAGTCTACGTGCAGGAGACCTGGTGCTCCTTGCCCGGCATCTTCACCGGGCACTTTCAAATCCCATCGCAACCGGAGCTCTCTCCACACAACTCACATGCCAGTTGTGGTGGTTGCAGTGGAGGTGGAAGCAGCCACGCTTGTTGTGGCAAGGGGCTTCAGGTTCAAGAGAAATCCTGTAACAGGTATGGAAGCAGCCCCTGGAGAGAAAGTCATCTGGCATCAGACTGTGGCGGGCTGCTACTGCTGAAGTGGGCGCTCTGCTGTGACCAACAGCAGGGTGTGCCCCTGGAGAAGGCAAATCTTTTGATTCCCACCACCAAGCCTAAAAGCCATTGTGGGCCCAGGGATGTTTCCCATTCTTGATCCTGCTTCACTCGGGCCTCTAGCTCCTGCGTGTTCCCTGGGCAGAACAGCAGGGAAGGCTCTGCTCTGCAGCCCTTGGACTCAGCACCGCTCGGGGGGGGGGGGGGGGGGTGAGGAGCCAAGACTGGTTTTGCCCTGCAGCAACACCAGCAGCAGCCCTTATCTCCTACTGATGGTTTCACCCTGATCCTGGTTTCTTTTTGTAAACTGACTTGATGGCTTGCCTTAGAAAAGGAAGCTGTGGGCATATACACAACATGCCCCAAAAGGAAGACAAGGCAGATGGTCAAACCTGCCAGAAAGTTCCCTTTAAAGAGCCTCAGTGCACAAAAGGACACCTCTTTTCTTCATCCCATTTTTCCAACCGATCCTCACCAGCTGTGGGGGGGGCAGCGGCTGCTGCTGTGGTCACTCCAGGCATTTTAGAGCCAAATCCCAAGGTCCCAATGGAAGCCACCCCTGTTGAGGAGGTACCCACTGCAGAAGAAAAGAGACAAATGTTGGTAAGCGACCAAGGATTTAAAAAAAAAAAAACAGCTGAATCATACATTGAAAAATGCTACAATCATTTACATCAGACAAAAACAGGCAAAATATACAAAATTCTCTTGATCTGATCGGAGATCAAGTTCCCAAACCCACACTTCTAACTATCCTACGCTCTCTCAGTTGAGCAAAGGCTGCAAAGAGACCTGCTCCAGCTGGCCCTACCTCCTCAGCTAATTTACCTGAAAGGCTAGTGGCAGTACAGGCAGCTGGAGCCGAAGAGCCTGCTACAGTTGCAAACAGTGTGGGCCCTGATAGGCCGAGGAGGGAAGATGAACTTGTAATGGCAGGTGCCACCGGAGTGACAGTGGTACCTGTGGAGGAGGAGAAGCAGAAGACAGCTGCTGGGGTCTCAGTGTTCCTTGGGTGAGAACAAAATGAACATCTTCTAGAAATGCATAATTTTCTGTGTCACTTAAAGCCACATATCATTTCATTCATTCCATTTCTCTATCTAGAGACAATGCACAAAGTGAGTGCAATTCTATCAATAAACCAAACACAGCAGACATTTTTATAGCAGCACCTCTTCAATTGTTACAAGGGAATCTAGCACTGCTGCTGAACTACTTTGGTGCCATAGTGAAAGATTCCAAATATGGGAATCTTTGATATAGGACACACACAGAGAGAGAGAGACTTATAAAAGAACAGTTGCAACTGAGAAATAAGAATTGCTGGATAGTGCATGTAAGAAAAATAAATTTTTCACAACAAACATTTGCCAAATAAATTATTCCAGGAAAAGATCACCACTCTGTGCTGCACTGGACAGATCACACCTGGAATAGTTCTGGTGAGTCCTGGTCACCAAAAAAGGAGAAGCATGCTGAGGAACTAGAAAGAGCATAGGGAAAAGCAATAGCGATGGTAAAAGGCTTGAAGGCTAAACCTGAAATAGAGCAATTGAAAGAACTCAGTATATTTAGCCCAAAGAAGAGAAAGCCAAGGAAAAACACAGCGGCAGCCTTCCAATACTTGAAAATCTGCACAGGGCAAAGATTTATTCTCCATAGCAGCTGAAGGGGAAGGTTTCAAGAAAAAATAGAACCATCCTTTGGGCCCTCGGCAGGCAAGATCATAGAAAGAGCAGGTCAGCATGCAGACTATGATGCTGAAAGGGATTAAGTGATAGGAAATAGTATCCAGCAGGGATATTTTTAAAAAGCAGCAACGAATAGGAGCAGCAGGCAAGTCAGCCAGGTGGGCAGACCCTAGCACAGCTCTTCAGTACCCAAGCGCAAAACATACCTCCAGGTTTAGCCCCAAAGGACAAGGCTGTGGCAGTGGAAGTGACAGCTGCTGGAGCCAAGGCTCCAAAGCCAGAACCTGCAACAAGAAGAGATGGCGGGAAGCAAAGGGGCCAGCTTCCTGCCTGTTTCCAGAAGGAGGGCCTCCATGCAGCCCAGCTTCTTCCTTTGCAGGCAAAGGGGATCCCTTCCAGATTAGCCCCCTCCCAGGCACTTCCTCCTCTCAAAAGGAGAAACAATGGCAGCCCTTGCACAGGCACACTGGTCTTGCACAACCCGGGACCAGAGGGGCGGCTAAAGCCTCCACCCAGCCAGCCCTCTCACCGGTGGACGCTGTCCCGAGGCTGAAGGCCGGGGCTGCCTGCGATGCGGCTGCTGTGCTCACAGCGGCGTTGGTGGAGGCCGGAACAATTCCGAAGGCCGGGCCGGTAGACACCGTTTGCGGCGCGGCACTCCCCAGCGAGCCGAGGCTAAAATTTGGAGCTCCCGTCTGGGCCGCCCCGCCAAAGCTGAAGCCTCCCGCGGCGACGGGAGCAGCCGGAGCTGGTTGTGGCGTCGTCGTGGTTCCTGAGCCAAACACGAATCCCGCGGGTGTCGCCGCCGCCGCCGCCTGGGTGGCCGGAACGTTGCTGCTCGCGCCAGAGCCGGCCAGTCCGCCGCTACTGCCCAGCCCGAACCCGCCGGTCGCAGTGGGGGCCGTGGTGGCGCCCGAGCCCCCCAAGCTCAGCTTGGGCGCGTTGCCCCTGAAGGAGAAGGGAGGGAGGCGGTGGGGCGGCTTCTCCGGCGGGGGCAGCCCCTAGCTCGGCTCCGCCTTCCCCTCCCGCCAACGGACGGACGGAGCCCCTCTCACCCCAGCGTGAAGACGCCCCCCGCGGGAGTAGCCGCCGCCGCCGCCGCGGACGAGGCCGGGGGCATCCCGAAGCTGAACGCGGAGGCCTGCGCGGAGGCGGCGGGCGTGGCGAAGGAGAAGAGACCGGCGGCGGGCGGGGCGCTCCCGGCGTTCGGGGCGGGAGAACCGAAGCCGAAGGCGCCGCCTGTGCCCGCGCCCGCCGAGATGGCCGAGGAGAAGGAGAAGCCCGCGGGGGCCGCGCTGGTGCTGGTGCTGCTGCCGACCGCCGTCTTGGGCGTCCCGAAGCTGAAGCCGCCGCCGCCGCCCGTGCCGAAGCCGAACTGACTCATGGCGCGTCTGGGCCCGAACAGCCTCGCCGCCGCCGCCGCGCGCCCCGATGACGCCGCGCGCCGGAAGTAGCGGTCCCGGAAGCTGTGCCGTTGCCGGGCAACGCGGGACGCGGCGCTACAGAGCGGCCATGGCGACGCGCGCTCCCCTCCCGGCCAACTCGCTGCTGGCGCTGGCCGAGCTGCTCTCCCTCGGCCCGGGGGACGGCGACGAGGACAGCGCGGACGCGGTGAGGTCCGCGCCGGGCGTCGTGGCGGGCGGTGGGGCGCCCTGGCCTGTCTGCCTGAACCGTCCGGTTTCTCCCCGCAGGCGCAAGGCCCCGCGGGCGGCCGCTCTGGGCCGGGGAGTATCGGTCCCCTGAAGGCTGGCGGCGCCTCGGGTGAGTCGGCGAGGGCGAGAGGGAGGGGCCCGCCTGCCCTTAGCCTGCCCGTCGTCTCCCGGAGGCCGCGGAAGCGCCGCTCATAGCCCCGTCTCTTCCCGCAGCCGCCCCGCTGCCGACCGAGGACGGCAAGGCCATCTGGAGCGCCGCGGAGGTGCCCGAAGGGTGCGCGGGCGACGCCTCGTGGGACCCCCGGGAGCAGCCCGAGTACGTCCCCGCGCCGCAGGTGGCGAAGCGGCCGTCTTCCCAAGTGCAGCGATCCCGCAGGGTGGCCGGGCTGCCCCCGCCTCCCTTCCGTCCATAGCTTTTGTGAGCGAGCCCGGAGAAGGAAAGCCAGCGGGCCCTGAGCCAGCCCGACCCAAACCGGGGCTAGTGGGGCGGGGAGGGTCCAGCTGATTTGCTGCTCTGCCAGCTTTTTCTGTTGGCTTGGGAGTTGCTGGAATGGGGAGGATAAGCAGGGGATTTCTCTATGTGAGGAAGAAGCATAGACTCCTCTAGACCAGGGGTCAGCAACCTGTGGCTCCGGAGCCGCATGTGGCTCTTTGGGCCCTCTGCTGTGGCTCTGTTAGGTGATCCCACCACTGGCTGGCCCCGCCCCTCGCTGTACCCTCCCAGTCACTCCTCGCCTGGCCTGAGAAGGTAAGGGCGACGGCAGGGGATGGAAAAGCGGCCAGGGCAGAGACAGAGAGAGGGGGAGAGAGAGAGACATAGAGAGAGAAATATGTCAAAAGGATTTTGTGGTTCCTGATGTTTTTTAACAACTGGTTCTTTGCCCTAATGACCAGCTGGGTAGGCGTGGCTGGGGGGGGTCATGTGACTGGTGGAAGTGAGTGACATTGAGTTGACCATGCCCACCCAGGTTTTGTGGCTCCCAGTGTTTTCTTTTCTGTGGGAAACTGGTCCAAATGGCTCTTTGAGTATTTAAGGTTGCAGACTCCTGCTCTAGAGAATCTGAGGAAGGCTGCTGTTCTGTGAAGCATCTACTGAAACTGCAGCTGCCTGACTCCCGGTTCTTTACAGATATGAGATTGTGTTCAAGCAGCAAGTGAGGGCTGAGGATCTGTTCCTAGGCATGAGCAGAAAGGACCCCTCCACTGCCTGCTGCGAGGACATGCTGGTAAGAAGTTTCTCTGGGCGGTCCTCCCAGCCTTTTCACAGCAAAAGCTACAGGACCTTATTGGAGTTGTGAATTCCAAAAGTTGGGCAAGTGTGCTTTCTCTGTGCACATTACTATGAAGCATCTAACCTAACATTTCAGATATCTGAGATGACTCTTTCCCTACCACCTGAACTGCTGGGCATAAATATTAGAGGATATCCTTAAGCCTCCCTTTTCCTTGTCAAAGGATGCCCCCAGCTTTGACTGAGGTTGTACATTGATTCCAGAACCTCTCACTTTGTTCTGTGGTTTAAAACAGAAAAGCAACAGCGTTAACACATCTTGCATGCCTCCCTTCCTATTGAAACTTTTTGTTTTTCCAATTTCAGATTAAGATTAAACTGCCGGACACAAAAGCTTCAGACATTACCCTTGATATACAAGAAAAGCTCCTTGATTTTCGGAGTCCCCAGAAGTATGCTGAAAAATTTTATTTTTGTGAGAGTATTGTTACATTGCCTTTAGACAATAACATTCCAATAATATTTGAGATGTCTTGGCTGTGAGGTTCAAGCTTCAGAGCAAGCAGGAGCAGACTGCTGCCTTCTCTTGATGCTGTGATAGGTCTGCCATGCCACAGGCCCATGGAGCTGTGGCCATAGTAATTTCCTATTGGGAAAGTCTTTGAGCTTTATATGCCTTCTCTCTCTGATCCCCCCTCCCTCTTGCTTCTGGTGTTTATCTTTCTGCTAGTACTGGGGAAGGGGGGGGTTCATTTTGCATCTAGCAATCCCCCCACTCTTCATGCCTCCCTCAATTTCTGCTTGGAATGGTCTATTTTCCAGACGGCTCCTTTTGCATCTACCTCATCCAGTGGACGCCACCAATGGGAAAGCCCGTTTTCTGTCTGAACAGGCCACACTGGAAGTCACTTTGAGGATGAAGCGAGAATTGGATTTCATCAACTTTTCATGAAGAGAAAGCGGAATTGGCCCCTCAGAGGCCCAGGGGAGATTTTCTAGTTAAGTAATTGAGAGAAGAAGGAGAACATCTTGCCACCAATTCCAAAGAACTACTGCAGTGTCCAACAGGCCTTCTTGCCTGCACCAGGTGATCTTGAGGTCTGGCTGTCCTGCTTCCTCCTCCTTGAATTCTGAAAATTTTCTAGGAGGCCTCTGGCTTCTCCATTTTTGTTAATTGTTGCTTCCTTGTGGGGTCCATTCCTCCAACATCAGGAGATCAGCATGGAGGGGACAACAGAGGCAAGATGGGGTCATAATGGCTGAGCTGCTGACTGCTCAGACTTCTGTGCTGTTGATAGATAATAAAAGTCCCGCCCTTTCTTGTCTGTGCCCACATCCACCCTTTGCAAAAGTCTGCCCTGGCCAGCACAGGAGGGACTTCCTTTCAATTGATGCCTACCGGCTTCCTGGGCCATTTGCAATGGAACAGGGAGCTAAACAAGCTGAGGCTTGTTCTGAGAGATGCTGACCTCTCTGCTCCAGCAATGCACCTGTGGTTTGGTGAAGAATGAGCACAGTCTTCCACTGCATAAAGTCAGCATTTAGCACAACAGTGTTTCCATTCGGAGGGCCCAGGTTGCAAGCAAGCCTGCCACTTGAAAAGCACACAGGAGAAGGAGCTCCTGCTGATGTGGTCTGCAGCAGAGGGAGAAGGTGTGGGCAAATGAGAGCTTGTTCATGGCTTCCTCAGTAGAGTGGGACAACATGCAAAACATCTGTCATCTTCCAGTAACCAATTAAGCCCTACTTCCTATTGGTTCTACTTAAATGATAGTGTTTAGGTTTCATCAGAGGAGCTCAAGGAGACAAACTCAAGCCAGGTAAAAACAGATGACAGTAAAAAGCAGGGAGGGGTTAAGGAAGCAGGAGGACATTGTTAATATTGACCAACTTTGAGGCAGGGCAAGGAGGGGATGTGACAAATTGGTACCCTGCCTCTTTTGGAAATGCGTATCAAATTCCTGGAGCCACAAGAAACAAAGTTATTCAGCCCAGCACCAAGACGCATTGTCAGGGCAGTGGAAACTTGGACTGGGCCTGCTAAATGAGGGGGGGAGAGAAGGACTTGCCTTTTCACAACAGCAGGATGAGAGGGAAGTGGCAAAAAGGCAAAGAAAAACGATAAACTTTTCAAAATGCCAGTTACTACCTACGCACACTCCCAAAGCCATTCAGCACCTAAAGCCTCTCCTGTGTGTTAACAGGAGCTTGTCTGAGATGGTGACAACAGGGAACCAAGGAGGAGACTAATCCTTCTATCTAGATGAGTTTGCCCAGATCCAGGTCCAAACACTCATTTTTCCAAGGAAGAATTTTCTCACCCAATTTTCTCTTGGGTCACTGGTTGGACTGACCAATTCCAACCTCGTTTTCCAAACCTCTAGCATGACCCTGGCCAGAAAGGCCCCTGTGTGGACTTAAGGGGAAAGCTCAAAGTGCTGCTAAGCACTGCCATGCTCTGCTCTGGCTAGTCTCCAGAGCCCCCTGCTCCCAGAGCAGTGTGACAGGCAGGCCGCGGTGAGCTAGACTTGGAACCTGGAGAAGGAAATTCCAACCAGTGGGACCTGGAGGCCTGGGTGCTTGGAAGGGTTCATGTGGTTCCCACCTTTAGGTGGTTTCCAACATGGTCGAACTCCTGGTTATTCACTTGTGGGTGATTGTGGAGTTCCCTCGCTTTGCTTTAGTTTAATTTGTTTTGCTCCTGGGGGTGTTTTATTTGTTTTTGTTTGCATGTTGCTCTTTTGGTTGACTTTTCTTTTAGATCGTTTTTTCAGGTTGTTTAGGAGTCTAGTGGTCCACTTCAGGAAACTCAGTTCCGCAGCAATTCTTCTTGGCTCCAAGGAGCTTACAACCAACAAATAGAACCAACCAGGGAAGGCTTTGCCTCTCCTTGTTTTGGGTGGGTGGGAGGCAAGGGATTCAGCCCAAGAGCTGGGCATCCTTAGAGAGGCAAAGGAGCAGGTTTATGTCTAGTCCGGAACCTGGAAACAGGCACCCCTCAGCAGCAACCTCCCGCATACTTGGGACATGTTTCCCGGCCAAGTCCCCCAAGTGGCTTTGCTCCGTTTGCATTGCTCTCCCTCCACTGCTGCTCAGGGCCACCTCGTGCCTCAGAACAGACAAAAAGGAAAAGAGGTGCTTCTCCTCGGATCTGCCCCCTCCCCAAGAGCTCCCTTGTCAAGATAACGGGTTTCATTGTGGCTGAAGCAGCAGCCAAGCCCCTTCTGCCATAAGGGCCTCCTCTGCCTTCCTGGGCTGAGCTAGACTACCAAGTATAGTAGCTTGCCTGCCCCCTTAATTGGTGGGGGAAAAGGAGAAATTACTAGACTAGCCTGCTTTCTCAGAAGGGTTGGGGTCTGTCTGTCTCTCTCTCCCTCCCCCTCCCTGCCTCCAATTTGGCTCTTGAAATTAAGAACCCCTGAACCCAGCTCTTGATCCCAGAGCTCATAGCCTCAGTCTAAAACCTAGGAAGAGGGGTAGGGAAGCACAGGAGAGGCGCTCGCGTTTTCCAATCAAGACAACTTAAAATCTACAATGCCGCTTTTTAGGAATGCTGCGCCAAAACATTTTTCTTGAGGGGGGAGGAAAACCACCCTTAGTGCAGGGCCGTCCACAGCAGAGGCGCCATCCACGGGGCCAGAGGTTGGGTGGGTTTCCTGCCGCTGACGTTGGCTCGCTGCCACCTGACAGGCGAAGTAGGGGCGATGGGCCCTCTATCGCGAGGGCCTCCTGGAAGGGATCTTGCCACTCCCACTCCCCCTCGGCGCGCTCCCCGGGGACAATTATTAAACTCTGCTCGCCCCACTGGAATCGAGCAGCGAACGGCGAGGGTCCCGACCAAGGCAGGGAGCGGCGGCATTCGGGGCAGAGAATTCGGCTAGTGCGAGGCGCTTCGGGGAAGAGCCAGGGAGAGTTCTGACGCCGCCGTCTCCCGTGCGCTCTCCGCCCTCCCCGCGCGCGTCAGTCCACCCGCCGCCGCCGCCCTGGCCGCTTAGGCCCGGTGGCGTTCCGGGAAGATTCGCCAACCCTCCACCCCACGCCCCGCGCCGCCATCCTGTCCGAAGTGCCGCCGCGAGCGAAGGCCGAGCAAGGAGCGGCCAAAGGCGGGCATCCCACGCCCTGTCGCAACCTCGCCGCCGTCCCAGTAGAGCCGCAGCGGCGGGAGCGAGTGCCAGGTAGGCCCCGAGGTTCTATCTTTCTCCGTACCTCCGCCAGTCCTCACGGAAGAGGGCTGCTTGGGGCCGTCGGAGAAGCCGTCGGGCGGGCGTCGAGGGGCTATGCTTGGGCTCGAGGGAGCCGCGGCCGTACCACGCCCCCTTTGCGGGCAGCCCAGCCCCTCCGGCTGCGGTCAGTCCCCGGGAAGCCCTCCCGCATGTCGCCGCGAGCTTGCCACGCAGTTCTTCGTGGCCACACCGTTTCGTGGAGCGCGGAAGGCGGAGGAACGAAGTCAGTGATGGAAGCCTTGCCCCGGCAGGCGGCTGCACTTTGCGGGCGCCTCGATTCTCGGGCAGCCCTCGCGGTAGCCCGGGCCGGGCAAGAATGTGCTGGCTTCTCCGGGGACACTGTGATACCGGCTGGTCGGAAGTTGCCGCGGCCCCGCCTCCTCTCTGAGCGGGCCTGTCCCCTCTCTCTCCCGGGCCAGAGCGCTGCGGTCCCCGGAGCCCCTCCCGACCAAAAGAGAAAAAAGGACTTCTCTCCTTGAAACAGCCTTAATGTGAGAGCATCGAGCGGCGGCAGAACTGGGCTGCCGGGAAGGCGGGCAGCAGGGAGATTTACCGCAGGCCTTCTTTCTTGCAGCGCAATTTAGCAGGTGAGTCTCCCCTCCGTTCGCCGGCTCAGCCTGCCTTCCGGTGGCGTGCTCTCCCTTCGTTTCTTAAACTAAATCGCGGGGCGGCGGCCTCTCCCCGTTACCCCGGCACCTCCGTGGCTCGGTGATGCCGGCGCCGGGAAAAGGAGCGCGAGGGGGGCCTCTGGAGAGGCCCGGGGAAGTCAGAAGCATCCTTTGCGGACCCCCGACCTCTCCTCCCCCTGAGAAAGGGGCGGCCTTCACCACCACCCAGGCAAGCGGAAGAGAGCTTGGCGGCCTGGGCTGGCGGTTGCCGCGTCCTTAGCAAGAGGTGTCCTTGTGTTGCTCCCTACCATGCTTCGACATCCTCTCTGGATCTGGAAAACTCCCGGGGAGTAGCGATTTTTTCACCCAATACATTTAAATGTGATGCATAAGTTAGCACAATGCCTGTTGTATCACTAAGTGCCCACTTGTGCATATTTACTCTTTGAGCTTGTTTCCTCTAAATTATATGTACCGGTAAACCAGTGGTTCTCAACCTTCCTAATGTTGGGACCCTTTAATACAGTTCCTCATGTTGTGGTGACCCCCAACAATAAAATTATTCCTAAAACCATTGAAAATATGTGTTTTCCAATGGTCTTAGGCGACCCCTGTGAAAGGGTCATTTGGGGTCCTGACCCACAGGTTGAGAACCACTGCGGTAAACAAATTTAGATGAGAATTTTCTAATAAAAGAAAGTCATTGGTATGGTGGAGTCAGGAAAACCAGCAAGGATCCTCCATGAAGGCCACAAGCCAGGAAGATGCTGAGCTATTGGCTGTGGAGCCAAAGGTGGCTGCACTCTCACTTCCTGGGGTGGAGGGGGGGGGAATCTCTGTCATTTTATTTCAACCATGAAGATTCCTCTCCCCCCCCCCTTTCCTCATAAAATGAAAACAAAAGGTTTGGGGGCTTGCATGAAAAAAGGGAGTTTGAAGCACTTTGTGAACAGAATTGAAATCTTGTTTTTGACCCATTCAACCCTGTTGATCAATGGCTCCCTCCTTTGCACCCCTTCCAATGAACTGAACGGCCTTTTGGTATGTTAAAAACAACTGCAAAAATGTATGATCATATAACTAATAAAAGTATTTTTGGCTGTCAAGAGATGGCTAAAATCCCCAGTTTTGCATTTAAATTGGGTTGCTTTGAATATATATTCTGAAATCTGACACAACTGTAGCTCCCTCCCACCCTCACATACATACATACATACACAAAGGTAGACTTTCTCATGACTGAACTCTCACATCTATCATCCCTAGTATATTCTATGTGTGGGGCAGCGGGAAGGAAGGCACTGGAGAACCCAAGTTTCTCATACCAGTTTACCATTCAGGCTCTTTTTCCCAGGATTGGTGGGCTTTTGCAGCTAGAGACCACCTTCTTCCAGAGAAGAGCAAGGCAGGGAAACCCACCCATCTCCTGCCTGGCACCTCACAGGCCCCCTTTCCCTTTCTGGCCCTTGAAATGGGAGGGCAACACCAGGCTCTGCTGGGTGTGAGAGGGCAGTATCCTTGGTAGAGGCAAATAAACACCCCTCTGCAGTGGCTAGAAAGAGATCTGAAATGCAGAAGATCAAGCAACATCTAAGCTTGAGTCTTCGGATCATGATAAAAAGCTTCATCTGTGAGGCAGCCAAGAATTCAGGCAGTAGCAGAAAGGTTGGAGGCAGAAGGGAGCCTTGGGGCACTACGACCTCCTCCTGAACCCAGCCCACCAGGCCTTTCAAGAAGCAGTTGGAAGCCAGGCTTTTGTTGAGGGGCTACTGGCTTGGCAAGGTGGCCACGGGGCACTGCCTTTGCTGGAAGCTCTCTTCTCCATTGGGGGTCTCAGCAGAAACTGCAGTCCTGCTAATCAGCCCCTCCATGAGGAAGGTCTTGTTGGTGGAATTTGGAATTAGAGTGATGGGGAGGCTGCCCTGAGCAACAGACAGGAAGAGGAAGATACAGAAATCCAGAAAGCCAGGATCCTCCACTTCCCTTACAGGATGTCTGCTGGGCAGAAAGCAACAAGGAGAAGAGGGGCTAGATCCAGGCAACACGAAAATGGGATGGGGAGATTGTGTCAACTTTGTAACTAAATGGGGATGGTGTTGTTGACATCACAAGGATGTGGTTTGGGTCATTGCCCAGCGTCATTCCACGCTTGTGGGGTTCTTCTGAGGGATGCTCGCTATCTCCTCTCTCCTTAGGACTGTAAGGCATCGTTTGTGCAATGGGAAATAAACGGTGAGGAAAGTGATGGCAGTGGAAAGCATTTGCCAGATATGGCCCATTTCTAGCCAGAATGGCTGGTGGGAAAATCTGCCTACAGTCTGCTGCATTGCAGAAGTCTGGCTTAGTTTATGGCCCTTCTCTTGGATTTTAGGGCATACTTTGGAGACTCTGGAGCTTGAATTCTGCCTGCCTTTGGGAAAGAAAGACAGGTCCTGGTGCACCACACCTCTTTGGGAAACAGATGGTCCATTATCAGCTAACAGTATTTAGTCCTGGTCCTAGTCAAGTCAAATTTATTCCTCTCACTGGAGGGAATTCAACAAATAATTTCCTACTATTCCAAAATCTTTTTCACATGTACTGTTGGCAAACCATGAAGATTCTTCATGGCAAACCTTTGTAGACCTCTGGTAATCATCCCAACATCGTCAGATGTTCAACGGTTGGTTGCCTTATGATTTCCTAAGAAATCTTCCTGGCTCTAACTGGTCCATAGTTCCCCAATTTTTCCTCTTCCTTCTTTCTGAACATCTGCCCTTCTCTAGTTATCTGATACTCATTTTCCATAACTTTTCCAAAAGATTTAGCCAAACTCTCAGTAAGTTCCTTCAGGACTTTAGAGTGCAACCTATTTGGTGTGGAACATCTGCACACAAAGTAAATATGGGCTTCTTCACCAGGTATATTGAAGGCTCAAACTGCAATCTATTTTTCATGATTGCCTCGTGAAATATAGACTCTTATTGAAGGAAATAGTCAAAATATAACTTCTCTCTTTCCTTTGTTCCTTGTTATCATTTCTCCATCTCCATGAAGCAACTATACAGTATAATGCTTTACTTTTTTTCTTTTCTTTGAAAGAGACACACACACCCAGCACTCTCCTTCTGGGTTTTATCCTGGCTGATGCTTCCTCCAGCCTGTCCCTCTGGGATCTTCTCCGGAGGCCTCTTTCAACCTCCTCAGTTTGTCTTCCTGTTCTTCAGACCTTAACCAAACTTTTTGTGTAGTCAATTTTGCCTCTTCTTTACCTCCCTGGAACTGCTCATAATTTTATTGTCCATCTTAAGCCCTTTTCTTCCTATTATCATATGGTATCATTTCATAATTGCCCTGATTTTATTAAAAAATTACCTCTCTTGGAATCCAAGCCATGTACTTGATTGCTGAGTTCAGTTTCCCTTAAAATCAGGAACATTGTTTCGAGGCCTCTTTCCTGCTTTCCTGTTCCTGCAGCTTCCACGCAGATGTCCCTCAAATTGGAAGGGACCTTCTAGACCAGGGGTCTGCAACCTTCAACACTCAAAGAGCCATTTGGACCTGTTTCCCACAGAAAAGAAAACACCAGGAGCCACAAACCCCTTCCTGTGCCTGACTATTTCTTGAGCGGCCACAAAACAAGCATATGTAGTTGAATTAAATGTTCTGTTTTCTTCTGAAACTTTTCTTTTCTTGGATTTATCCATGGTTGGCCTACCTGGGGTTGAAAAGCTCAATAAATCGCATGCCAGTGGGTGTCGCACATTGGTGGTTGTGGTGCATATTTTGAATGACAGGGAGCTGCAGCAAAGGGGTGAAAGAGCCACATGCGGCTCCAGAGCCGCAGGTTGTTGACCCCTGTTCTAGACTTCTGATCCTACTTCAGGTGTTCCATCAAGGCACCTCCAGGAAGGGCAGAGGGTCACCCACCCCAGCAAGAAATCTTTGGGAAGGCGGGCCCCGCAGTATTCTTCCAACAGAAGCCTAGGAAGTAAAATTCCTCACCCCACTGTTTCACACCTCTTGGAAAAGTCTGTGATTTGCTTTGGGAAAATACCACCCACACTTTTAACAATATTGTAAGCGCTCCTTTTTCCACTTATTTTTACTCAAATAATTTCTATTCATTCATCAAGTTTGCCAGCCTCATTCACTTTGGCTGCTTAACAGATTTGGATACTTTGGAAATGCAGTATAGTATCATCATCTAATGGGATGTTCATTCTACCAGAGTATTCATGATTCCCTGTTTAAACCTTTAAAATATGTGTTGAAATGAAACTGCAGGGCACACAGCAGAGAGCGATGACAGGTATGGAAATTATTCTACAATACTTGGAGAGCCTTCACACAGATCTATTGGCACTACTGTAGGAGGGGGGGAAGGGCCCCAGGGCCCCAGTCTGCAGAAGCACTTGCAACAAACCAGAAATCCCTTAATCTTTGTTAAGTATTATCTTGGTGATTCAAAACCATCCCTGGTGAAGATTTATCAAGATTTGTGCACTACAGTAAAGTGAACTACCCATCACTAAAACCACCCTCCATTTCTTATGATGAATGTCCCAATTTGGCTCTTCTAGAAGGAACTGGACTATCTCTGTATCAATTGCAAGAGGAAATCCTGGTGATGTTTGTGGAAAATAACCCAACTTGTCCTTCACCATCCCCACAGCATTTATTCCTTACTTGGCACTCTCGTGTGGAACTCCCTCCAATGTAAGATATATGTTCACTTTCACATTGTGTATTTAGAAACTATGGCTGTACATGCAGCCCCGTGTGCATATGTTCATTCATTCATTCATTCATTCATTCAGTATTGTGCAGATGAGGACCCAGATAGTGGGGGCAATAAGCTGACTTTGTATAAATATACAAAAGTATGAAGGCTATTGCTGAATGCATTGTAAGCTGCCCTAAGTCTCCGGAGAAGGGCAGCATATAAATTAAAGCAGAAAAAAAAATAAAATCAGTCCTCACCAGTGATTGAATCTGGAGAACAAAGAGGTGGAAGAATCTGTGCTTGTCTTGGAGCACTGGGTCCTTTTAAGGAAATAGCAGCAGGAAGAGATTTGACTGCATTGCACGGGAGAACAAATAAAAGAAAAACGCCTGAGGGTTTAGATAGAAAATTATATTTAGGTGTCAATAACATTGAAAGCTGCAGATTGGGATGCGCTTTTTTATCCATAGGATGAAAATCTCCAGTACGACAGGGTAAATATTTTGTCAGAATTTTCTAATTGTCTTGGGTTGATAAAGAACTGATTTTCAAGCAACTGAATTCTGCTAACAGTCAAGAATTTGTCACACTGAATAGTCCGTTTCCAGGCAACCTTGTTAGCTCGTGAACTAAAGCAGGTTTTTTTTAATGCACATTGAATAAGTGGAATAAATAAAAACAGGAAATGGAACAGTGGCTAGAAAGAAGTGGAAGAACCACTCCAGCTCTGTAGATAGGGCAAGGACCCCCATGCTGGCAGAAAGGCGAGCTCGGGTGCATAAGTCTCCATCCCCTGCAAAAGGCTTTGTGCATCAGCCACGATTCTCTGGAGGAAAACATGAAGCACTGCTGGCCAGAGTCTTTCCAGCTATTTTAGGCTGTGAAGGACTTGACTGGTGCTCGCCTGCCATTAGCTCTGATACAGGCTGCTTGCCAAAAAGAGGCAGGCAAGGAGGAGGTGGCACTACCTGCAGCCATCCTTCCTCATGCTGCCGGTCAACTGCCAGATCCAGAAGAGGGGGAGGACCAGCCTGTCTGCTGGGCAGCTTCAGGAAGTGAAGCTATCTTGTGGGACTCCAAGCACCCAATAATGTGGCACCGCCATGCCAAGACTTGACCCAAGGACTCAGGTTCTTACAGTATTCAGTCCAAGCATTTGGCTGTAAATGCAGCTGCCCCTGCATTAATAAATAGTTTGGTAGCCTCATAAGAGGCTTATGGGTCTCCCCTTGCTCTGAGCTGTCTCCCCAGATTTCTCTGCTGTAGGGATGGGGAATTTGCTGTCCTCCCCCTTCCCCCCACTGCTGCCCGTCCTCTAGTTTCTCTGGCGCAGAATTTGGACACCTGCAGTCTTTCACAGGCAGCTGGAGGGTTGGCAGTCTCTAGCCCAGATCTGCAACGGTACTGCAGCAGTGAACAAGAATCGCTATGTTCCAGCAAAAAGAAGATCCAGCCTCTCTGGGACGATTCCTTCTTTAGAACCCACCCAAGGGATGCAAAAAATTCTGCGAGGCTTCTTAGGCAGGCTATGAAGTTTCAGAATTCCCTGCAGATCCCCAGGGAGGTCTGGGCAGGTAAATCAAATCCCAAGGTTGAAAGCCTCGTGAAATGAAAGGCTGCTTCTCTTCATCTCAAGAAAAGGACAGCAAACCCATCCCACCTACCCTGAAAAATGTAATTATAAAGAGGAGCATAGTCAATCTTTAAGGCAAATTAAGCACACAGGATCATAAAATGCCAGCATTATAAATACACCTTTTAATTAATTCATAGGCTCTAATAACTTGAAATATTTTTATATACTTATAAAAGGAATAATTTGTGTTGTCTATGCTTATAACTGTGAGATACGTAAAAAAAATTAATGTAAAATATAACAAATGGTGATTGTTTTTTATATATGTTCACTCACCATTTCTTTGAATCCACATTTAGTTTTACACTATACTAAGACAATTGTAACATCTTCACTGAATCTGGCTTCATGCGAAGTCAGCCTTTGCTGAATTTAGCCATGCTTGCTTGAATTCCCATGTTGTCTTAAGCCAGAATGGAAACTTGAAGGAAAAATTGTGGCTGAGGGCCCCTCCCTGCCAGGTCTTTCCCCCTTGCACTCCCTAGTAGAAACTGAGTATCTGCCTGCCGATTCCGCTTAGCCCTTTGTAACTTCAGTTGTTGCCATCCACTCTAGCCCATCCCAGAAAACCTGGGAACTTGTTGCTCCACATCCTAAGCTCCCCCACAGCCTGCAAGGGATGGAGGAAGCCTGCCTTGAGAGCAGCTGTGCCAGAGGACTGTGACACATCAGCTTGCGGATCATGATTGAGGAAGGCGGGTGAGCAAGCAATGAGGAAAGGGAGATGTTGCCTTTGGTGGTCTTTCCTCTGGCCAGCCGGGGTTGATGCTGCCTTGGACTTTGGGGGCTGATATTCCTGGGTGATTCCCAGCCTCCTTTTCCTGCTGCTGCTGAGAAGGGGCTATGAAATAGCAGATGCTCAGAGACAGAAGGAGCAGCAGCAACATGAAGGGTGCCACAGCACCTGTGTCCAAGGGGCTGGAAAGCAAAGCAGGCCAGGAGACGGAGGTTTTACGCATGTGGTGGAGGGGAAGGGAGATGACAGGGATAATAAATTGAGGGATTCCGCTAAATATGAAAACACATCCTTTACCGTGACTATTAAATGAGGCTATTTTTTATATTTATTTTTATTAATTTTTAAATAAAAAGTATTAATTTTAAAAACAATTTTAATTTAAACATTAATAAATTCTCATGCCACCCATCTCCCATATAACGTGATTGGGAACCAGGGACTCTGGAAGCTTGCAAGCAAAATAAATATGAAGCCTCCTGGGATGGCATTGGAACAGGGTTAATTTGCTGCCCAACCCCTGTCAAGTGATGCGCTCCCCTTGCTCTCCTCTTTCTTCAGAGCGCTCCTTGCCACCACAGACTGAACCTTGCTACACCTTCTGCTGGTGTCAGTTCAGATCAGGCAACTTGGAAAGCACAGGAAAAAATGTATTTTAGCTGTCTTACATACTTTGCTCTCAACACTTTCACAGGCAAGCCAAACAGGGCAGGCTTTCTCTGTCAGAAATTAAGCATTTCAGCACCCTGGTTAGCACCCAGGGAACCCCCCGACAAGCATCTGCCCCTTCTAATGGTATTTAAAATCATCCTACCGCATTTCCTTGAGGAGGGATGTCTCCTGTCCTCATAATGTATGCTCCAAGCCCAACTCCTCTCACCAGCTCCTGTCCAAGACTGTTTCTGTATCTTCCGTGGGGGAGGCATTCCCTGGGGATATTGCTCTCCCTTCTGTTATATCCAATAGGAAAAAGATCAGCCCTAAAACAACTTGACTACATTAATCAGAGAAATAACAACCATAAAACTACAGAGAGTCATAATCCAAGATTAACTTGAAGAAAGCCTACATTATTCAGCATGGGTATCCTGTGCAAGGGGTTGCTGAGAAACCAGCAGTCCTCCTCACCTGCCTGTCTAAACCTTTTATATCCTGAAAAGTGTTTAAACAAACTGTCTCTCCCCCCCTCTGATTGCCCAACGCTCCAAGCCACAGCCAGGGCATGGAGCAGTTTTCTTGCCCTCCTTTGTTTGGCTGTTTGATCTCTCCTTGGGAGTTTCGTCCGTTTGAGTTTGCTTCTCTTCTAAGCTCTTCAAGTCTCAGTCCTTCCCCAGTAGATCCTGGGCTTCTCTGGAGGGTGGGGGGGGGGGGGAGAGGAGGGAAGGAAGCCACTTCCCTGATGCAGCTCTGCTGTGAAAGGACCTGTGAACCGGCCAGCAAGCAGCTGCTTGGCACTTGCCACAGTTTCTCCCTCGCTCGCTCTTTGGCCCCCGCCAAGTTCTGGGGCTGAGCCAGGCGGCTTTTTAAGATTCCGATCACAGATGGGGCTGGATTTCGAAGGCTTGAGAGCTCAGAGCCTCCCTCGCTCTTTTCACAGGCGCCGCCATCGCCAATGACAAACGAAGGAAGCAGCAGCAGCAGAAGCAGCAGCAGCGAGCAGGCCAGAGCAAGCTGTCCCTGCTCTTGGCTGCTGGATGCCGACAGTGAGTACTTCACGACCAGAGGAGGCTGCTGGGGGAACGGGGGGGGGGGGTCCAGGCTCAGGCAGCTTCCTTGTGGGGGAGGAGCAGTGGGGCAGTTCCTTGGAAGCACTCGCTTTGGGGTCTTCTGCTATGAATGGAGGATTTGGTTGAGCCCGCATCAGGGTGGACCCTCTAAAGCAGCTTCACCCTCCCAGATGCATTAGGAGGAGCTGGAATTGCTGAGATAGAATTCCTTGTCTGTATCCAACCACAAGCAGGCAGCAAAAACTAGGCATGAGGAAGAAAATAAAGACAGAGACTGGGCATACAGATATTAATGGATTTTTTTGTGTGAAAGTCTTCCAGGAGAGGCAGGAAAGAGATTTCTTTGCCTGGAGCAGCTGGGACTGGCACTTGGTAGGCCTGTTCTTTAGCCAACCAGGAGCTTCCTGCTCTTAATTCCTGGCTTTTATCTTCTGCTCTGGCACTTTGTTCCATCCCTGGATAAGGAGGGTCCACAGCATCTTGTAGGTCTGCTTAGTCCAAGCAAGGCAGTGGAAACCTCAGAGTGCCTCCAGCAGGCAGCTCCAACTGGCCCTGTGGGAGATTTTCCCTTTCCTTTCCAGAAAATGGAAAGGTCTTCTGGTCTATTTTTGGCTGGTCCTGGAGCAATGCTTTTTTCCCCATGGGATTCCCCTCCTAGGAAACAGCCCACCTGAGGACCAGTTCCATGAAAATGGTTGGTCCAGAAACAAACTGCTGAAGGGAGATTAAAGTCAGGCTCCCCACCTTCTGGGCCGGTTACATTTAGCCCAGGCAACTGACTGAACCAGCCTGGGTTGTCCATCAAATCACAAAAGGGTTTCAGTGGAGTTCTGGTGCACAGCCCATGTGGCTCACTCTCTCGCACTTGTGGATCTCCCTTCCTGCATCTCCTGCTGGCAACAGGGCATATGGTCAGGAAGGTCCGCTTGATCTGAATAAGGGCAGCATCTCACAATGAGAATCCAAGAAGCCAGAAGTCTTTGGGTGAAAAAAATTCCTCTTCTGCACATCTCAAGGACTACTGAGGGAAATGGCCAATCTCTGAGCAGGGCTACAAACCCATCCCCCCACAGGCACGCACACCTGGAGCACATCTGTGCCAGCTGTGGTGGCATTGCAACTCTATTTATCTGGAGTAGGACTTGAGCCATTTTGCTTTGCTTCCTGAAGGGGCTGCCTGTGCTGGTCCCAGAAAGCTCTGGTGCAGCCTTCCTCCGGCTGGGGCAAAAAACAGCCCCAGAAGCATTCTCACCTAGAGCTCCACCCAAAGGACTGGGCTACCAGCAGGTAGCCTTAGCAAGGAGTCGCTTCGCCTCATTCTTTTTGGCCTGGCACTTGGTGGCCAAGTCCTGCTGTCTCTTAGGGATGTGCTGAAGTGTAACATCCCAGGAAGATTCCTTGTGATTTGTCAGCAAACTGACAGCACCCATCCACAGGGCTAGCACCCACTGGATGTGTCCCTGCAAGGATCACTCTCAGCAATGTTTCACCCTGATTTTTCTGTAGCAGAGATCTGAGAGATCCAGGAATATCACCGCTCGCTTGTAGGATCTCCATCCAGCTTCATTTCTGGCTATGAGGACATTTTATTTGCATAGAACTCTATAATGATACATATCAATTATGCAAGCTGTTCATCATACCTTAATCAGTGCAATGCACGTTATTTTCTTCCCGTTCCATCATACTCAGGAAGAAATTAAAAAAGGCTACGTCTTTCACTCCTGTGTGCTTGCAGGTTGTGGTGGTGGAGAGGTTGCAGTTCCTTTGCCCAAGTGCTGCTGGCATTTTTAAAAAGGAAGAGAAGGAAAGTGGAGTGAATGAGATCTTCCCTAAAATGCAGATTAGGGAGAAAAGCAAGGAATGCTTCTGTGCCAGAGGCAAGGACCCGGCTGAGAGAGGCTAGCCAAGCCAGCCAGGCAGCCGTGGAGCTGAAAGACAGAGCAGCCAGCGTTCTTGCTCAGGATAGCTCTCTAGCCAGTGGCCACAAGCAGCTAAAAGCCCTAATTTTGCAAGAGTCCCCTGACTCCTTCACCACATCCCCCAAGGGAGGCTGGGGAAGCGGGGCCAGAAGTGGGGCAACCTGGCTGGGCCAGAAGCAAAGTCTTTAAGCAAGTGGAGAAAAGTCCGTCCCCTGCCCCTTCTTACTAATCCTGGGGTCCTTGGCTGCCTAGCTATTCTGCTTGGATTCAAAGGCAGAAGCAAACCAGCCCTCCCCCCCATCTTTGGGGTGGGAAGTGTTAGATTCACCTTAGAGTCTGCAGAAGTGGAGAAGCCAGGCAACAGGAGCTGCTGCTCTTTCTTAGCTGGCAGACCTTCCAGCCAGAGCAGGGGACCTTCAAAGGAGCTGAAGGACAAGCTCCAGCAACTTCAACCTGAGGGCAGGCTGGGCAGCATGGTTGCTCAGCCACCTTGGGCCTTAATGCATCCGTAGCTATATTGGCTATGCCACCATGAACCCCGCAGACCCCCCCAGCCCAGACAAGTGGGCCTTGAAGCAGGTGTCTTGTGGTGGAGTGGGGGGAAGCAGGTGAAGGAAGGAAGGAAGGAAGGAAGGAAGGAAGGAAGGAAGGAAGGAAGGAAGGAAAGAGAGCGCACTTTGGAATATCAGCAGCAAGGGTGAGATCTAGCAACAGAATTTTAATTTGTACTGAGATGCATGAAGCTGCCAGTCAGCCCCAAACACAGCCTTCCCCTGGCAGTGGCTGCAGAGGAGAAGAAATCCCTCAGCCTGACCTCCCTAAAGTCAAAGAACCAGGGACGGCCTCTCTCCCCCAGATCAGCCACATCGGACAACAGAAATCTCTTCTTGGTTTAAGATACTCTAAAGCACTGGATGTACTGAGCATTGGCACCCTGAGAAAATAAGTGTGAGAGGAGCACAGGACCTGTTCCTCTGTCTGAGCATCTCAAAGGGTGAATCCTGCTTGGATTCTTCCTTCCTTCTTGCATTTCCTATTGGAGCTGCTTGGGTAAATCCACCACAGGAGAGCAACCTTGCTTCAGGGTAGGAGTGCAGCCCTCAGTTGAGAGCGCCTTTCCTCCCTCGGGACTCCTTTGCAGATCTTAGTTGTCTGGCATGCCAAAGTGCCAGGAGAATAGGCCAGGCTTTGCTTTGGAGAGAGACGGTTCAGTCTGGGAGATAAGCTATGTCAACTGTGGGGCTGACCTCTCCACTGGCACGGTGGTGGCCCCCTCCAGCCTGGGTGGTGCCAGAAAGGACCTTGTGGTCCCCCCAGACTATGAAGAAGAGCAGAGGCTTATCCAAGGAAGAGGGCGCAAGCAGCTCCCACCCTCGTCTCTGTTGTTTTGTGTCTCCGCATGCCCAGGCATGTGACGCAGGCAGAGCGCTGCTGGGATGATATGGAATGTGACCAGTTGCCTGCAGAGGCCCTCCGACAGGTGAAAGTCCAGCGTCACCCCGTCTATGGATTCGGCTTTGTGGCCGGAAGTGAGAGACCGGTGGTAGTTCGCTCGGTGACCTCAGGTGCGGTGGGAAATGCCCCGAGGAGTGGGGCCAGTGAAGGTCGCAAGTACGAGGAGTTGGGCACAGGGGGCTCTGTTCACTGGGGGACAGCTACATCAGGAACACACACATACACCCCTTCGCCAAAGCCATAAGCGGGAACAGGACAAAGTGGGAATCTGCAAAATTTCACAACAGGCAATTCTGATTGTTCTCAAGTCACACCATTTCAAGATCAAAACAGCTACTTTTAACGACAGAAAGCTTGGGTCAACCCCCCACCCCCGATGGTAAGGACAGCCTGTTCCCAACACCAGGGATTCCAGCTGCAAAGGAAGGCGCAGGCAGCGAGAGCACAGCCAGGCGGTGGCTGAGGTGCAGCGGGGCCACTAGCGCGTGATGGAAACATCAAAAGCCACATGGGAACTGCCATGCCCCCGGTTCCCCTAGCCATGGCTCACAGCGACTACCCTTTCTTTGGCAGGAGGGCCATCTGAGGATAAGCTGTTGGCAGGTGACCAGATTTTGGCCATAAATCATGAAGATGTAAGTGACGCCCCCAGAGAGAGAGTTATAGAACTTGTCAGGTAAGAGTGGGATACCAGAATGAAAGGGGAGGAAGACTCGGAGACCCTCCAGGGCAGCAAGGGCAGCTTTGGAGAGCCTGGACTGCTCCAGAAGGGGCTGCCTTAAGCCCACCCAGGGCTCTTCCCAGAATTGACTGCTGGGACATTCTGCATAATCTTTGGGGCAGGGAGAAGTGCAATCTGATCCCACGCCCTGAGATCAAAGGCCGAGGCATCCTAAGCAAATCCATGATTGGGGGTGGGAGTAAAATAAAAACTTGGCTTGTGAAAAGGAAAAATGACTCCATCGGGGGCAGGGGGCAGCCGACTCCATCTCTTGCTGCAAAGCTTCGCAGAATTCTCCTGAAAGCAGCTGCTTCTCCCTTCTCGTTACAGAGGCGCCAAGGAGGCCCTGGTCCTTACGGTGCTACAGACTCATCAGGTGGGAGCCAAACTTTGGGGTGGGAAGGGCACCACCTTTACGCCAGCGACTCTTGTTCATGTCACATGCGAAGAAATGGCTGGTCCCCCACAATAGGCTGGACCACAGGCTTCCTGATCCCACTCAGCCCCCATTGCCTTGTTGTGCAAACAGGCCGGCTGGATGGCTCTGGCTGTCTGAATGTGCTACCCACCCCAAGCCAAAAAACAGCCAGGGCATCAAACTGAAACTCACCCCCTTTTCAATGATTAGCAGCCGCCGCCACCAATCTTGGCTACAACGGTGGTGGTGCCCCTGGGAGGGCCAGGGTCTTGAGTTCACACTTTCGCAAATGCCATCCAGAAGGTGATGCAGCTGCTCTGTGGTGTAGAGACAGCACTGCTTTTCTCCTCTGTTGATAAACTGGAAGTGATGGGGAGCCACCTGGCCACCCACTATGGCATCCCTAGGACATTCTGGGCCTGGGTTTTCTCCTGCCTTCTTGGGGCTCCTTCACTCTGGGGGCAGGGGTGTGTGGAAGAGACAACTGCTGGCATTTCTTTCCCAGACCACCAGCAGAGCAGCAGAGCAGCAGCCCAAGTGGCAGTACGGCCTTTAGTGACGAAGGCCCTGGACAGCCAGCGCCTTTCTCCTTCAGAGGCTGCAGCTCAGGGGAAGAGAGCCAAGCAGGCACTGAGCTGCCATCCTTTGGAGAGCACCATGGCCAGATGCACCCCGGCCTCAAGCAGCAGAGGCAAAGCCCTTGGGCCATCAGAACCTGAGGGGGCGGGAAGAATGTCCAGCCCAAGGAAACTTTCCTCGGCTTGTAGGCTTGTTTGGTTGGGCAGAGCTGATCTGACATGTGTTCTCTTTACAGTCCCCCAAATCAGCCTTTATCAGTGCGGCCAAAAAAGCAAAACTGCGGTCCAATCCAGTGAAAGTTCGCTTTTCGGAACACGTCACCATTGGCGAGACGGATCCCGTGAGTGCCTCCCCAGGGGATTCTGTGTAGCTCCTGAGAACGCTCGGCTCATCTCCCCCTCCCTCGCAGCATGGTTGGGGGAAGAGCTCCGCAGGGGCCATCTTTTCAACTGATGTAGGAGGCACAGCTGAGGCCAGCGGATGGAACAGGCATTATGTACCGATTCCCACGCCCAGAAACTCCAATGTGGGGTGGAAAAGGCCCTTTGAAACAATTGAGACAGTCCACATATCTCAACTTGGTAGAGAAGTAAAGGGGGTCAGGCTGTTTCTGGGGACATCTGTCAAAGTTCCCCAGGATCTGGAGGCAACTGTTTCAATTTATGTTCCCGTCCATGTGAAAGGTCATGGTTACAATTCTTTTGGGCCAGTCAGGAGGCAGCTGACATCTCCCCACACACCCCAGCAGCAGCTCCCGACAGAGACCAGGACCATGCATGCTTGCAGCCACCTCCCTGCTTCGAGCCTCTGCCCATTGGGGGCCTCCAGCCTCCTTCTCGTCTGCCGGGCCAGCTGAGAGTACCCCTGGAGATCAGTGTGGCAGGGGTACACATTTGGCCAATCCTCCAGGGTCTCCTACCACAGTCGGTTCCCCTACGGTGGCTGATCCTTAAAACCCAAGTGTGGCTGATGCAGTCTCCTCTACCCCCTCCTCCTTTCTGTTCCTCTACCCTCTCTTCTCTCTGCCCCCCCCTGCTCCGTGGGTGGACGGGCTCCCTCCTGTTCCCCAAGGACATGCTGAAGAAGGAAGCTCTTCTCCTGATTCCAAATGTGCTGAAGGTTTTCCTTGAGAACGGACAGATCAAGTCTTTCACCTTTGATGGCCGAACCACTGTCAAGGTAGGGGATCACCACAGGAGCCAGGCGACCCGTCAGCCTAGCCCTAAGCAGGCTTTCCTTGGTGGGGAGAGGCACAATACAAACGATCCAGCCAAGATGAAATGGGGTGGTGGTGCTAAACTGCTGGACCTGTCCCTGGGGAACCATACCACGCTGGGCCTTCCAGGGAGAGGGGGGACATCTCTGAGCATTGAAGCCTTCCCTCCCATGAGCTCCTCTCTTCCTCACTGGCCAGGATGTGATGATGACCCTGCAGGATCGACTGTCCCTGAGGCAGATCGAGCATTTCTCCCTGGTCCTGGAATACTCCAGCCCTGAACAGAGTCACAAGTTCCTCCTTCTGCAGGACAAACAGCCCCTGGCCCACGTAAGCGCCCCCAACCCCACTGGTTCATTCTTCTCTGCTGCAGGAATTTGGCCTCCTGCCTGCTCGGCTCCTGGCATGGCTTGCAGGAGGGGGATAGAGGGGCTGCAGATAACATAAAGGGGTGTGTGTGGAATGCTTACACCTCAGAAGACCAGCTCACGGCTCCATATTATTGGTGGAAGCCAGTAGTGTGCTTTAGCTTCTCAAAGAGCCAGTGAGGTGCTGGGCTGCATCAGCAGAGGTAGGATGCTGAGATGATGCCACCACTGGTCAACCACACCAGGAATACGGTGTCCAGTTCTGTTCCACAAAATACAAGACAGATGCTGAGGAATTGGGAGGAGAACAGAGAAGAGCAACAAAACTAGTTAAGACTAGATGCTACAAAGAACTGGGTATGTTTAGCCTAAGAGAAGGCCAAAAGCACACGACAGCAGCTGTCAAAACTTTAAAAAGCTATCCCAGGAAAAAGAGGGGGGGTGCTTTATTCTCTGTAGGGTAAAAGAACAACCAACCATCGGGTAGGAGCTTTCCAGAGAGATCCAAGCTTGAAATAATGGAGCAATTTGATGGCTACAGGAGCTATTAAGGACAGCTTGACTTCTGGAGTCATGGAAACTCCATCATGGAGGCTTTCAAGCAAAGATTGCAATTGGAGAGCTGCTCTGGAAGGCTTCCAGCCCTGGGGAGATTTTGTAAGGCAATCTTGCCAAGCGTCTTGCCTGGGAAGGAAGCAGAGCACTGAAGGAGGCTTGAAGCTGGCACAGTGTTTATGGAGGCAGAGGATGCCATCCCGGGCCCTCCACTCTGCTTAGAAAAGGCGAGCCAGTTCCCATCCGGGTCTGCAATGTAGCGACCACATCTGCCAGATGCAGGCCTCCCGATACCAAGGGTTGCAGGGAAGCTCCCTTCTGCTTCTCCACAGGTGGTGCAGAGGACACACTACCAAGGAATGCGATGCCTCTTCCGAGTCAGCTTCTTTCCCAAAGACCCCGTGGAGCTGCTGCGAAGGGATCCGGCAGCCTTTGAGTACCTGTATATCCAGGTGAGAGTGGGAGAGCCCCAGGTGCAGGGCCTTCTTGCCTACCAGCAGCGCAAGGTTCCCGCTTGCTTCGCAGCAGAGGGGCAGGCCCTCTTTCTGCCTTGGCCCAGGGTGGTCTGCAACCACTAGCAAGCCACCCGGGGAGCCCAGCGGTGCTGCTCCACAGCACTCCCAGAGGGGCTGCCAAGACCTGGGCAGGGCCTTCTCAGAGGGGGATGCAGGGAAGCAGCTGTTCTGAGCAGCCTCACTCTCTTTCCACAGAGCCGCAACGATGTGATCAGGGAGCGATTTGGAATGGAGCCCAAGCCAGAAATGCTGCTTGGCCTGACAGCCCTGCATATTTACATCACGGTTTCAGCCACACGGCCAAGCCAGAAAGTCTCTCTCAAAAACGTGGAGTAAGTTCAGCAGCGAAAGCTGCAGCTTCCCCCTCCACCCCCAGCCACGCACAAGCCCCTTCTGAGTGTTCAGTCTCCCTCCCTCCCACACACTAAGCTGGCCTTCGTAGTGGTGTTCTAGCAAGGCCTTCGGCCTTCTCTGGCCCCAGGATCTGACCCAACAATCCTTCCCTGGCCGTTTGCTGACCATTTGCCCTTCCCGCCTCCCTGGTAGTAGATGCCACATGCCACAAGCAAGCCAGAGGGTCCTATGCCTGTCCCCACTAGCCCAGGGAGGGCAGGGGGAAAGGAGGGAACCCCGCCTGGCCTGCCTCACCAGCCCTCTCTCCCTCCTGCTAGGAAGGAATGGGGCCTGGAGCCTTTCCTGCCCCCCTCGCTGTTGCAAGGCATCAAAGACAAGAGCCTTCGGAAGGCACTGTCTCAGCAGCTGAAGGCCCATCAGAACCAGCCCCCCTGGGGCACCAAGGCAAGGCAGGGTGCAGGGAGGGTGGATGGCCTGCTGGGCCCAGATGGCTGCCTGGGAGGGGGGGGCAGAGTGACCCCTCTGGCCCAGAGGGTGCTCAACAGGCTGTGAGCAAAAGGCATCTTTGAGCTGAAACAGAGGATTCCCAGAGCCCTTCCAAAGTGGTGCTGCCTCCTCCCCACCCCCAAAGTCTCCTCTCCGGCCAAGTTGGCATCCTTTTAAACAAGGCTCATAGGAGGAGGGCTAGAGGGCACCTAGATGGACCTCTGTGGTTTTATTGCTCTGTGCAGGCTGTTGAAGGAGCAACTTAAACATATAGCAATCCAGTCAATTTCTTGGTTACTAAAACCAAGTTTCTTGCTGAAAGGTAAACTGGATCTGGAAACAAATTATTCTCTGGTGCCAGGATTTGGGTGCTTTTAGTCCTGATTATTAGGTGGGTCATGTGTTTAGACATGCCATTACATGTGCACAATCTACTAAAGAAAAATTGTACAATGGCTTTCTTTTTTCTACAAACTGTCTTTCCCCTGGACATTCCTCTGTAAATAGCGGTAAATGGCATAGGAAGATTAATAGGCAATTCTACATAAAATGTAAAATAAGCCGATGCAGAAAAACCTTTTTTTTTTCTTGTCTTTTATTATTTTTATAGATAACTCAAGGTGGCAAACACACTCCATACCCTTTCCTCCTCCTATTTCCCCACAATATCCCATGAGGCGAGTTGGGCTGAGAGAGATGAATTGGCCCACCCAGCCAGCTTTCATGCCTAAGGGGGAATTAGAACTCACCATCTCCTGGTCTCTAGCTTGGTGACTTCCCTGTGAGATGGTTACTTAACCCCTTTTTCTCCATTCAGAGAAGGGGCCGGGATACAAACTTCTTAGAAAGTCCAAAAGCAGATTTTTCTTCTGGAAAAAAAATCTTTCCTACCTTCACACAAGCGGGCTAAGGCTGACAGGAGAAAGCTGACCAAGCCTCCCTCCACAAAAATGCGTTTCCATATCAGCAGCCGTAAACCCGGCACAAGGGAGGCCTCAATCCAGCATGGGTCAGCAGTGCTACAAAAGAAGCCACCCCCTCTGCACTCAGCAGCAGATTGGCCTTTGGGAGGGTGCCTCCTGCTGAACCAGTCAAATAGTCCCTCGGGCGGTTGGGCCACAAGCCATCTAGACTTAAAAGGTCAATGCCGGCATTTGATCTTGTGCTCAGAAAACAGCTGACAGCCAGTGCTGGTCTCTCACTGCAGGACTAGGTTGTATCTGTTTGTAGCTTGGCTGCCACAGCAAAACCCAGGCAGAATCCATTGCATTAGTCAAGCCAAGGAAGTTTGCTAGAGCTGAACTGCTTCAACTTCCAGAAAAGCCATCCTTACCCTGCATTGTTGCCAGGGCCAAATAATTCTTGAGGGGATCTTGGCCCCTTGGCACTCTGACATAGAAGGGTACAATTTCTCTCTCCCCAGATCACCACCACCCAAGCGAAGCTCCACTACCTGCGCATCCTGAACGAGCTACCAACCTTTGCAGGCGTCCTGTTCAGCACTGTGGGACTGGTACAGTAATGCTGGCGTGTAAGGGAGGGGAAGAGCGCAGCGACGGGCCTCCAGCCTGACCCCAAGGCCTGCCTCTGCCCTTCTGTCTCTGACTGGCATCTCGTCCCGCACAGGATGAGAAACAGCCAGCCACCACCCTCCTGGTGGGGCCTCGCCACGGCATCAGCCACGTCATTGATCTGAAGACAAACCTCACCACCGTGCTGTCCGAGTTCAGCAAAGTCAGCAAGATCCAGCTCTTCAGGGAGAACCAGGGGGTGGCCCGGGTGGAAACAAGCATCCTAGACACCAAGGTAGCTCCAGCTGCTGCCACTGGCTGCCATCCTGCTGGAATTGGAAGGCGAGCCAAGGGCAGGTCTCCTGAGCAGGACACCTGTGCAGCCTTTCATGGCCAGGCACGTCACCTTTCCCACTTGAGGTGGTTATCCCGTGGCTGGGCAGGCTTCTGACCCTTTGGCTTCTCTTCCCTTCCCAGCCTTTGGTGCTTCTAATGGAATGGCCAGAGGCCACCAACTTCACCTGCCTCATCGCTGGTTACTGCCGCCTTCTGATGGACTCCAAGCGGATGATCCTTTCCCGACACACCAGTCAGCCACCACCGCTTCCACTGACCAAGGCAGGTGCGTTTCATCCTCCGAGATTTGTGCCCCTTGGTCAGGTTCTCATGTTATCCCTCGACACGGGTTCCAACGATGGGCCTTTCCCCCAGATGGCTCTGTAGGCAGCAGCAGCCCAGTTGGGACATCTCAAGCATGGGGATCCCCTCGCCAGGCTGAGGTGGAGGCACCCATGTGTTGGGCACGGAGCTTTTCTGCTCAACAGAGCTGCAGGCAGCAGCACTCCCTCCCCCACTTTGCTTGCCATTTCCTCATCCTGCAACTGTTCAGACAGGCTCACTGAGCATGTGGGGTGTGCGTGCAGAGTGTCATTGGGAGGAGACAGAGGGCAAGAGAGGAGCCAGGAATCTGGTCTCGCAAGGGAGCTGTGAACATTCCCCAGCAATCACTCTGCGCTTCCACTTGTGGCTCTTCTGAGTGTCCAGAAGGGTCTTTGCCCAGGTCCCTCGAAGGGAAGCAGCAGGCTTGCCAGGACAGTGGCCACCCCCACAAGCAGCACACCCTCAAGGCCCCCCGCGCCTTGAGCTCAGCTGTTGCTCAAGGGAGGGACCAGTCGAGAGAGCCTGGCCAATGCAGGGGGAAGAAAATCCTCCTCTGGCCACGTAAACTCCTGTCAGTTTGGGAGAACGGTGGCCAGGCATCGGCCCTGCCTTCTTCTTTCAATGCATTTGATCTTCCTATGGGTGTGTTGGAGGCAGTCCATCCCTTGACATCCCACCACAGCTCCAAATCTTCCAATGGGAAGCCATTTGCCAGCAGAGCTCCAAAACTAGCCATTCTGTGATTAGCCGCCCTGAGTTTTTGGAGAGGGGCGGCATATAAATTGAACTGAATTGAATTAAGATGGAAGTGCAGGAAGTGCGGAGGGCGGCAAGGAGCAGAGGGGAAATTTGTGGCAAGAGAATCTTCTTCAGCTTATTCTGCTCACAGGGTCCCTTGCTGGTCCTCCCGCCAACTGGGCAGGCACTGGATTCTTTGGCTGCCTGTCCACCAGTCCCCTTCTTGGGAGCCACGGCAGGAGTGCATGTTTTAATGGCCAATGTGTGTTTTGCTCCAGACAGCAGCCCGTTCTTCGGCCATCAACCTCCGGCACCAGCAGGGCACCTGGCTAAGAAGGAGAGCAGGCTCCTGGGAGGCTCTCTCCCTAGCCCCGGAGGGGGCAGCCCCCCAGATCCCCTGGGCTCGGAGCTCCTCAGCTTTTGCTACCTGCACCTGCGGGAGCACAAGAAGGAGCGCAAGAGCGGGACTGACGTCAATGAAAACCTGATCCTCTTTGAGGAATCCCGGCCCCGGACCAAATCGGATCCCACCTCAGAGAGCTCCGGGCGAGACTGCCATGGGGCTGCCCAGGACTGTGAGCCCCACGGCCCAGACCAGGAGCACTGGGCCAACAGAGCCAGGGCGTACACCCTGGACAGCCAGCAGGGCAGCCAGCCCCAGCAGCTGTACTGTGACTCTTGCAAGGCCAAAGTCAAGCGCCAGCAACCGACCCCCCACCGAAGCAGCAATCCCGGCCCCACACAAGACAACATGGTGGACCTGACCTCCCTCCCCCCTCCAGGGAGCGATGAAGAGGATGATGAAACCACATCCCTTCTCCCCATTGCCGCACCGCCTCCTGGCTTCCAAGACAACAGCTCTGATGAGGACGATTCTAAACGCCGGGTGGCAGCTGCCGCCATCGCCATGGCAAAAGGGCAGGAGCCAGGACGCCAGCTCTGCGGCCTCCTGTACGAGGAAATCCCTGTGACGCTCATAGATAGCATGCAAACACGGACTGTTCGAGATCACGCCCAGGACCTAGACGATGCTCTGGTTTCCACACTGCAGGCCCTGGAAGCGCTGGCAGCCTCAGAAGATGGTGTGCACCCTCAGCCGCAGCAGACGGCAGGTACCCCCCTCCTTTTAAGGTGGTTCCCATCAGAATGCACTGATCAAAGCAGCAGCAGCCCCCAAAACCTGCAAGTTTAGTCCAAAGAGAGGGGCACTGGCAGCAGCATAGCTGCATATGGAAAGGGGGGAGGTGGCGGATGGACTGTCATTCCCAGGTCAGAGGTGCAGTCAATGGCTGGAGCCTTCCCAAGAGCTCTGAGGGCAGCCATTGGCTGCACATTGGATAGACTGCCTTTGCAACCCCATTTTAGAAAGAGAGAGGCTGCAGCAGTCCATCCTCAGGGAAGAGGCCAGAATGTGGCACAGAAAAGGGTTCTTAAGAGACATTAAGACCACCATACCATCCCCGCTAGCGTAGGCACATTCAGGGGCAGCTGGGCTGGTAGCCCAGACAACCCTGTAAAATTCCTTCTGAGCCCGTGCCAGCAATAGCCAGCATACGTGGCTCCTCCTCCCGTCTACCGCTTGTTTACAGCCCCCCCATTTCCCCCTCAGCACAGATTTGCCTTTGAAGCAGTGGCGCGCGCGCACACACACAAGACATATTCCTTTCATTTAAATTAGCGGTACTCTCCCCTTCCTTTTGCCCTCTCTGGTTGGCTAGGCCAAGCAGCCAAATTTATCCAGTGGCTGAGGATGGCCTTGAGCCTCCTTCAGGAAGAGAGGGGCTTTCCCCGCCAACTAAAGAGCATGCCTTCTTCTCCTCTAGGCCTCATCGTTCTGGCTGCCATCACCCCAGAGTCATCGATGGATTCTGGCCAAGAAACCAACTCCTCCGAGATCCCCCACGTCCCCGAGATTCTCGCAGCTGTGCAGCAACGTCAGAATGCTGCCTTCTTCCTGACTCAGCAGCTCAGCAAGGAAGCCCTCTTGGCCCGGAAGGACCTTCCTTTCCGCATCCAGGCTGGTGGCACCAAAGGGCCGCCTTGGTATCGAGAGCCAGACCAGACCTCCAATGCCAACTGCGCTACAAACAAGCAAGAAACACAGAAAGGCTGCGCCCAGTCCTCGCCCTCTCAGCAGTTCAATGAGCCCAATGCCAAAGGGGCAGTGCCGGAGCCGAAAGGTTCCTTCCTCTGTGAGGCAGCTGCAGCCCCCCACACCATGGCCATCCCTGCCCTGGGAAACAGCCACCCGGAGAGTGGGCGGCAGGACCAGAGAGCAGCTCCTGTCCTCGTCACATCAAGTCTGCAGACAGTCGGCCACAAAGCCTCCCTTTCTGCAGCACCCTCACCAACTGAAGGCAGTGCTCCCCCCTGGGGTCCTGACCACAGGCTGCTGTCTAGTCCCCAGCCCTGCTCTGTGGACCGGCTCCCCCACAGCCTTCCCTGCTCTCAAAAGCAGCCAAGCGGTGAAGTCTGCCAGCAGAACCCAGGACCCCCGGGCAGCCCCGCAGAGGCGGTTCCCCCTCCCCTGCTAGCAGCAGAAGAGAAGCAGGTGCTCCAGAGCTGCCAGCCAAAGGAAAGGACAGAGGGGGCAGGGCAGCTGGGGGAAGAGGAAGAGGGTGGCAGGCCACCTGGCCAGAGGGAGACGCTCATCAGCCAGGAGGAAAAGGGACAGCATGAAATGGGTGCCAACAGCCACAGTGCCCTGAGGCCTCCACCCTGCAAGAGCCCACAGACCTTCAGTAGTCCCGGAGGGGAGATTCTGAAGGGGAAGCCCCCCCCAGGTCCTCAGACTGAAAGCCTGCCCTCCACTTCCATGCTTTTAAAAAGGTCTGAAAAGGTGCTGGCCATTACACCACCAGACTCGGATCTCCCGGCTAAGCCTAAAGTACCCAAAGCATCGTTCCGGTTCAAGAACCTCATTTCTGCCACTTTCCCAACACGACTCAAGAGAGAGACCGATGAGCGGCAGGCTCAGCTGCAGAAAGTGAGGCAGTACGAGCTTGAATTCCTGGAAGAGCTGCTGAAGCCAAAGACCAGGAGAGACCCTGTGTCTCCAGACCGTCTGGACCCCTCGGCTACAGGGCGCTGCGCCTGCCAGGTCCGGACCAGCCCTGTGCAGACTGTGCCAGGGATGTCCAGGGAACAGAGGCGGAGTTGTGACTGCAAGCGGCTCAGCCGTGGCACCAGGCCCCTGCCCGGCCAGTCCACAGCATCAGGCCTGGAGAGGCAGAGCAGGGGCAGAGAGCCGCAGCAGGCAGAAGGGCCAAGAAAGTCCTCCACCGGAGCCCCTCTCAAGGGCAGCCGGATCAGGTCCACGAGCCTGGAGTCGAGGGATTGCAGGTCTGACCTTGAAAACAGCCTGTCGTGCCTGACCACGTGTGCCTCTCCTGGGGAGTGCGTAGGAGCATCCCATTACAAAAAGTTGATGCGGCGCTACAGCGTCAGCGAAGTTGAAAAGATGGAGCAAACATCCCCAAGTTCTCCAGGCTATCTGAGCCATTACCTGTGCAAGCAGAGGGAGGCCACTAGCCAGGTAATGCAGGACCCCCACCCCACAACGGCAGAACCCTCTTATGTTCAAGTGACTGAGAAGAGCCAGAAAGGCGGTGCTATGCTTCCTTTTCAGGAGGACATCTATCCGAGCCCTCACAAACTGCCAGAGGAGGATGGAGACGGGGAGAGGTGCTGCTCCTTCCGGTACTGCTTCTACTACAGGAAGTGTGACATGACCGATGATGGGAGTGAAAAGGATGAGCTTTCTTACGCCATTCCCATGCCAATCCTCCCAGAAGGGAAGATCGGCCACCAGCCAATCCCAGTGGTCAGCAGAACTCTCCAAGTTCTGGATGCCAGCGTCTGTAGCACTCCAGACAACCAGACCCAGGAGATAGACCTGCGGACCTCCTCCTTTGAGGGCAGTTTGGCCAAAATCCACGCCCTGAAGGGCCGCACCTACACCTGGCCCAACGGGTTCCTGGCTGTGCAGCTGGACACCAGTGAACTCTTGACAATCCTTCGGCAGTGTATCGTGAGCCCTGAGGCCCAGGAAGGCAAGTCATATCTCCCTCAGTTGACCGAGTACAAGCAAGAATTGGCCCTTAAGTTCAAGGACTTCCGGGCCTCCTGCCGCAGAGTTGCTGCGGTCAACAAGAGCCCAACCCGCATGCTGTCGGCAGTGAGCAGCAGCTTCCAAGTCCTGGGAAGCTTGATTGAGACCTTTGTGCGGCTGGTGAACGTGGTGCGCTCGGGGTCTCAGCGCCAGGCGCTCTTGGCCAAAGTTGAAGAGATTGTAAGGAACTACACCTTCTTGCTGAGAGCTGCTGAGGAATCCACCGCCCGAACCGGCCACCGAGGGGATCAGGAAGCTGAGCAGCTGAGCCACCAATCGGCGGCCTCCGTGGTGAACACTCTCACACGGTCCTTGAAGACACTGATGAACAAGTAAATCAGTGTCTGTCGCCGGAGCCCGCCGCCTGCCCAGTCTAGACCAAGTGCCTGAATGCCTGTAGGGCTACGAGCCGCTGGGAGAACGAGGAGGGCGTGGCCGGTTGTCTCCGGCCTGCAACGCCTCATTTGCCCCGCGAGCCCCATCTCCTCTCCCGGCCCGCCCGGGGTCAGACCGGCTCGTCTCAAGGGCCGAAACCGCGAAAGGCCCCGGCTCCGACCAGGGGAAGCCCAGTCGGGAGCCCCCGCTCGCCCCCCCCCCCACCGCCCCCCGAGGCCTCGTCGCCCTCCGGCCGCCAGAAAGGAGCAGATTCGGCCGGCAGCCGCCTCGGCATCTCAGCGGGAAGCGGCTTCTCCCTCCGTCTGCCACGGCCAGGAACGGCTACAGCTTCGCGGCGGGAACTGTTGCTGCTGCCGCCGCCTCCGCGCGATGCCCGCGACCCCGGACGGGATTCGGAGGCCCGGGAGGCTCTCGGCGGCTTGGCCAAGCGGGATCCGCCCGCGGCTTCCAAAGGGAGCAGAGCACAGCGCCTCGCGCGGACTCTGCGCCCCCGGGGGCCCAAACCTCCTTCCGCCGCCCCGCTCCCCCCCCCGCCAGTGTACGGAACAAACAGGTTTTCTTTTGCAAACCCGGAAGAGTAAATCGATTCCTTCCGCATCTGCCGCGTGGGAAATTTCCTTTCAGCCGCCCCGCCCCCTCCCTGCGCGCGCGCTTGCGCGTTGCCAGGCGAGGAGCGGTGAGGTGACAAAGGGGGCGTGGCACCAAGATGGCGGACTAGCGCGCGCGGCCCTTCCGTCGGCGCCTGCGCGTTCGAGGGCCGCCCGTGCGTCGCACCGTCCTTCTAAGCGGAGCCGGCGCCCGGAAGGCGGAGGCCGTGCGGCGCTGCTGCGGCTGCTGCTGGATCCTGAGAGCGGCGGGCGGGAGCGCCGCAGGGAGGCGGCGGAGCTGCTGCCGGTGCCGCAGGAAGGCGGCGGGCCCGCGGAGCGCGCCTCGTCCTCCGCCGCGTCGCGCTGCCCGCCGCCGCTGCTGGCCAGGATGCCTAACATCAAGATCTTCAGCGGCAGCTCGCACCAGGACCTCTCGCAGAAGATCGCCGACCGGCTGGGCCTCGAGCTGGGCAAGGTCGTCACCAAGAAGTTCTCCAACCAGGAGACCTGGTGCGCGTGAGGAGCGGCGCGTGCGCGGGGCCGGGCCGGGCCGGGAGGGAGGGAGGGAGGAGGAGGAGGAGGGGCGGAGCCTCACGCCCCGCCCTCACGCCCCGCCCCGCCCCCCCGCAGCGTGGAGATCGGCGAGAGCGTCCGAGGCGAGGATGTCTACATCGTGCAAAGCGGCTGCGGGGAGATCAACGACAACCTGATGGAGCTGCTGATCATGATCAACGCCTGCAAGATCGCCTCGGCCAGCCGCGTCACGGCCGTCATCCCCTGCTTCCCCTACGCGCGCCAGGACAAGAAGGACAAGGTGCCCCGCGCCCCGCCGCGCCCTCCTCCCGCCGGCCCGTGCCCGGCCCGCCCTGACCTGCCGCTGCCTCTCTTGCAGAGCCGGGCCCCCATCTCCGCCAAGCTGGTGGCCAACATGCTCTCCGTGGCCGGCGCGGACCACATCATCACCATGGACCTGCACGCCTCCCAGATCCAGGTTTGGGGCCGTGGTGGGGCGGGGGCTAACTCTGCAGGGCTCTCCCCCCCCCCCCGCCTGGAGAGAAAGCTCCCTGGGGGCTCTTGGGCTGCTCTGGCCGGTTGGGGGCTTCAAGCCTCCGGCTGGATATGAGAAAGGGGGCGCTCTGCTCCTTTCCTGCCTTCTGGGAAATGGCCCCAAAGCCCAGCGGAAAGGGGGCTAAGGAGCTGCTTCCTTTCCCCAAGGGCTTCTTCGACATCCCCGTGGACAATCTGTACGCTGAGCCAGCTGTCCTAAAGTGGATCAAGGAGAACATTGTTGAGTGGAAGAACTGCACCATTGTCTCTCCTGATGCTGGGGGAGCCAAGAGGTGAGACACCCGGAGCGACTGGGGGTGGAGGCAGTGGTGAAATCCAAATTTTTTTACTACTGGTTCTGTGGGTGTGGCTGGTGGCCGGGGCAGGGGAAGGATACTGCAAAATCCCCATTCCCTCCCTACTCCTGGGGTCAGCCAGAGGTGGTATTTGCCGGTTCTCCAAACTACTCAAAATTTCGGCTACCGGTTCTCCAGAACCTGTCAGAACCTGCTGGATTTCACCCCTGGATGGAGGCTTATTTTGTTGAATGTTTTCAGTCTCAAATTGTGACCTCCTTCAAGGGATGTGGCCAAAATTCATTTTCCAAATTCAGAACACACTTGTATTTTTGTTGGCATTCACTGTGATGTTTTTCCTGGCTCTTGACTTTTTGTAGTGCTAGGGATCAAAAAGAACCTCAGTCAGCAGAGGACAGTCCTCTGCGTGACACCCAGGTTCCCATCTGACCATTGGCCTTTAAAAACGCAGTTGCAGGAGGCTGTTTGCATTCATAAAAGGCTTTGACTGGGAAACCCTTTTGAGAAATGAATTTTCTTTGGCCAGCTGTTGGCTCTGCTGCTTCTTGGAACCTCGGAATTGGAGCAAGTGGGCTCTTCTGATCATGTAATGATGTGCCTGGCACCAAAGAAAATTCATCTAGGCATTCCTAAATAATAAAAGCGGGCTCTGTTGTGAGAATTGCAGGACAGCCATTGTGCTCTATTTGTATGTCGGTTACGTGGGCTGCTGGCAGAGTTCACAATAGCCGTGCTCAGCCTGGTATTTTTGGATGGATTTGAGGTGGCAGTGCTGATAAGAATTCAGGGAGTTGCTGCCATGTAACTGGAAGGCATAAGAAAACCTATCTCTCCACAGAGTGACCTCCATTGCTGACCGGCTGAATGTGGACTTTGCCCTTATTCATAAAGAGAGGAAGAAGGCCAGTGAAGTAGACCGCATGGTGCTGGTGGGGGATGTGAAGGACCGGGTGGCTATCCTTGTGGATGACATGGCAGACACCTGTGGCACCATCTGCCATGCAGCAGACAAGTGAGTATCCTACCAGAGTGTAGGCAGCCATCTGGGGTCTAGAGGGCAGGTGGCTACTTCTGTCCTGGCTGATTCCTCGTCGTCCTCCCTGGCCTCATCCTGCTTTTTTGAATGCATTTTTGTGTGCTGAAAGCAATAAGGTGCTTGTGGACAGTAAGGCTATGGCGAAGGCCCCTTGTTTTACTAATGGCAGAGTAGAATGCTTGCTTTATTCAGAGATGAGCACCCAGTAAACACTGCCTTTCTGTCTTCCACGCAGGCTGCTTTCAGCTGGTGCTACCAAAGTTTATGCTATCCTGACTCATGGGATCTTTTCTGGGCCAGCCATTTCCCGAATCAACCACGCCTGCTTTGAGGCAGTTGTAGTCACAAACACAATCCCCCAGGAGGACAAGATGAAACACTGCCCTAAAATCCAGGTGAGGCTGCAGAAGGAAAAGAGTCTGGGCAGCTTGTGTGCTCCAGATAACTTGACTTGTGGCTTCCTCTTCCTTGCAGGTGATTGACATCTCCATGATCCTGGCTGAAGCCATCAGGCGGACTCACAATGGGGAATCTGTCTCTTATCTCTTCAGTCATGTCCCTCTATAATTGTAGATGCTGCTGCTTGGGTGGCTTTTTGAAAAACCAAAATTTGTTTTAAGTTCAGTAGATGTTGCCTGTTTGATTGCCACACTCTTCCTTCTCAGTGTTTGGAGGGGCGTGGGGTAGATCCTGATTCACATTCTCAGCCTGTCCATTGATGGGGGTGCTTTTATGCAAATTAGGCTTTTGTGAAATTATCCACCTCTTTTAACTTGGAGAATAGAACCAGTGGTTTTCGGCATCCACCCTGTGTACTTGGAAGTGTGTGGTGGCTAGTTGTGCAGAAGATCAGGATTACGTTTTGGTTAGACCTAGAGTGGTCGCTTGGTGCAAGAGTATGCAGAGAAAGGCCTTTCTGTGCCAAAAAAAATGCCAGCATTTGGGGACTTGACTGGAACTTGCCTGCCTATTCCTCCCTACCCCTTTTAGGTCCAGTTCATTTCCAAAGGAACTGGTTGGAGTTTCCACTCCCCAGCCCCCACCCCCACCACCCCTTCCTTTTAAAGTCTTCCCAGGCAGCTTGTGCTCCTGGGGCATTCTCTGTCCTGTTGCTTTCAGGTGTGTCTCTTGGCGCCTACTTTTCTACCTGACAGTTGCAGAAATCATTTCAGAGCAATGGTGCCTGCCTCCCTTTGAGAGGCAAAAGCAGCAGACCATTATCCCCATCCCAAAGGTTTTCAGAGCGTTTAAGGAGAGGAGAAATACGGCTCCCAGAAAAGCAGAGGTCCTTACAGCCTGGGCATGATCCTACGGCACTTCAGCTGGGTTCCGAGCAGCAGCTCTCTTGATTGTATGCCAGTTGCTCTGGCGTGTGTGCGTGTATCTATATACCTACATATATATCTTTACTTTGCTTCTTATTTGGGCCCTTCCTGCTGCCTCTGTTTCGCTTCAGCTGAATCCCTAGGATACCACTGTGATATTTGTGTTACTCAGAACTTCAGAGCAGGAGGAATTAAACTCTTCCTTAAAACTCAAGAGCTTTCTGGATGCTGTTCCCACACACACCATATTCCGGCAAGATTCTTTGGGGCGCAGCACTTTCCACCAGTGAAAACAATAAAGGAGAGTGGGGAGGAATAGATTTCGATATGGGTGAGCATACTCATAGGTCATCCTTGGGACTATATACGAAGATATCTCTGTTGGAGCCGAACATGTGCTGCCTCCTTTGATGCAATGCAAGCTATTTTTCAAATTAGCAGCCATTATTAACTGAAAACCACCTCCAAATTCAATCCATGGAGATATCTTTTCAGGGTGCTGGGGGGGCTGGCAACTGTGATTTGCCCGCATATTCTTTTGCTGCGGCACATATGAGGCAACTAGCCACGTATTCCTTCAAGTCAGCAACTGTGCCACACCAAGGACATATATATGGTATAGGACCGTGATGGCGAACCTATGGCATGCAGAGCCCTCTCTGCGGGCATGCGAGCTGTTGCCCCAGCTCAGCTCTGCTGCGCATGCGCGCCTCCCACCAGCCACCTGATTTCGGGTCTCTGCCAGACATGTGTGGGGGTGGGGCGCATGCAGGAGATGGGCGCACATGTGCCGGGGGTGGGGCACATGCGTGGGGGTCACGTGGCATGTGGGGAGGGCACACATGGGGTCATGCATGCATGCGCAGGGGGCGGGGGGAGAGCGTGCATTGCATTGCTTTTGGCACTTTGCGCCAAAAAGGTTAGCCATCACTGGTATAGGATCTCCTGCTTGAGCAGGAGGTTGGACTAGAAGACTTCCAAGCTCCCTTCCACCTCTATTCTGATTGACTGACTGCCAGTACATGAGGAAGGCTGCTTGTGGAAGGGCATCTCTCCTGGGGGGGAGGGCATGCTGCTCCTGTCTGTTTTATGGGCTTCTCTTCTCCCGGGAGGGACAAGTAGCCATGGGGACAATGGCTGACATGGCTGGAGAAGCTTACTAGGCAAAGGACAGGGCTGGACGCAGGTCTCTTGTCTGCAGAGTTGGGGGGCTGTGTGCCCTCACCCTTCGCAGTCTGGAAAGCACATAATCCAGGAAGGCAGGAAGTCAAACTAACATCCCATGGATGTGTGGTACTCTGCTCCCCTGTGGCAGTAAGACTGGTGTTCCTTTGGGAGGCTAGCATCTTGCTATTTAGGGTGCTGATTTTGCCAGGCTGAGAGTGGGGCACTTGGTTGAGGGAGTGCTCTATAATTTGATGCCTGCCTTCACTTCAAGGCAGTTCAGGCCCAGAATTTGGGTCCACCTAGTTAGGAAGCCTTGCTGTCTTGCAGTATCCTGAAAGGTTCTCTGGGTGTGATCAGGGGTCCCCAAATGGACTGCAGAGCATATCTGGCAGAAGCAGGTGGGCTGTTGCTGAATCAGGCCCAATTTTATTAGCAAGGGGTGAACCAGCTCTTTGAACAGGAGATGCCTCGCTGCTTCACAGGCAGCCTCCTTTGCTCCAGAGGAGTTCGGCCAGAAGAGTATTTCAAGGGGGCTCCCTTGAGCTTGCAAATATGACTAGAACTAACTCCGTTCTCAGTGACAGTCAGTGGCAAAGGAACTGTTCTTATCCCTTCCTCTGGCTGAAACGGAAGTATTGCTGACAAGGCAGAACACATCGACTCTGTTCTGTTGATGTGTTCTGCACATCGAGTTGTGGAGATCAACCCATGCAATCGACCAAGGCAGAACTGGGAGGAAATGGCAGCACAGTAATGGGGTGTGCTCCTTGCTGCATCCTCTAAAAAGCCCCAGTTACCCCTCTAGCCCTCTACGGTCCTAAGGTTCTGGTAGCCCTCCGGACCCAGGTGTTTTCCCTTCGGCAGTTCAGAGTATAGCCTTTTCCACTGTTCTCTGGCATCCCCTTGGGACGGGTCAGCAACCCGCGGCTCTGGAGCTGCATGTGGCTCTTTCATCCCTCTGCTGCAGCTTCCTGTCGTTGGTCGGCACCACAATTTTGAGAGGAGCTTCCGGTTGGGGGTGGCATGGCGTGCCAGGAGGAGAGACTATGGCAAGGGGCAGATTTTCCAGTCGGCTCCACCATTGATAGGGCTTTTGGTTAGGACAAGTAGAGGAAAAAGGACACCACACTAGGAGGAGACACTATGGTGGTGGATCTGGACTTCCAGTCAGCTCCAGAATCGAACGGGGGGCTTTTGGTTAGGACATTTGTGGCTCTGAGGGTTTAAGGTTACCAACCCCTGCCTTGGGAAGCCAGAGATGCTCCTTTCCTCTCAAGGCTGCTGCATTCACTACAGAGTCTTCCATGACACTAAGAAAGTGCCTGTCAGAACCCAACAACACGAACACAAACCCAAACAAGCAAGCGCTGTTGGGACGATCCAGTCTCTCAAAACTTTATTAAGTACATCATTTCAGCACAGAATGAGTGCAGAAGCAGCTCTGGGTAATTCCTGGGCAGTTTAGTATAATTAAAGTATAGAACCTTCCCTCCCCCCATTAATGCAGGTCACATTGTCCAATTAGATGTCATCCAATCTCTTTTTCCTCCCACCCCCCAATCTGTTAGCAAACTGAAGCAGTCAAAACGAAAGTAGCCTGAATACACTTTGAAGTTTGACAGTGCTGTGGGAAGCATCTGCGCCACACCGGAAGCCCCGGGGGTGGGGCTCTCAGCAGGGAGGATGCTGTGCCAGCCAGATGGTCTGCATCTCTGTGCAAAGGAGCAGAGACACGTGCTGAAGAAGGTAAGGGCGTTGGGCTGCTGCAGGGAGGGGGGCAGCGTCCCTTGGGGCATTTCTGAAGGAAGTGGGATTAAAATTTGCTTCGGGTCTGGAGAGTGGTCTTGGCGCACTCAAGGCTAAGCAGCTCTGGAGAACATGGGACTGGCGGTGTGGTACCCTGGACCAGGGTTGGGGGAGAAGCCGTTCAAGGAAGGGTGGAGTTGAAAAATGGGCCAGATCAGACTAGGGACTGCAGAGGATCTCGCCCCCCTGCCCCCACCGGGAGACTCGGAGGCCTTTGGGCTTCAGCCCTCCTGCTGCTGCCTGGGTGACCAGAGGGGAACTGCAGGGAGGAGTTTGGAAAGCAGCTCAATTTGAATAATTTATTACAGCAACAAAGACATAATTATTCTTAGGGTTTCCCTGTGCTCCACCCCCTGGAATTGCAGTACTGTGACTGATGATGGAGGGGAGACTGGATCCAATCCCTTTGAAGAATTCCCTCAAAGGCCGGGCTTACATTGACTTCCATCTGTTGCCTGAGAACCCTTGGGGGGGGGCAGCAGTTCTCCAAGGAGTGGATTTCCCCAATTGTTTTTTTAAACCATGTTGATTTGAAGTGGTCCCTAAGAAACACAGAGGCCAAACCTATGGAGAAAAAAACCTTTTTTAGCCAAAAATGGTTGAGAAGGGACCAAGTTCTAGCATCCACCGAATCCAAACCCATTTCCAAACATAATGCAGTTTTTTCAGACTGCAAGAACTGTTCTAATAAACTTAGTTTGAGGAGTTTCAAAAAACCAGTAGAATTGGTAAGAGCAGATTTGAGTATTGTGGTTAAGAAAACCCCACAGGCTGCAGGGAAAGAATCGGCAACCTTTAATGAAAAAAATATGCTGTGCAATGCTAGCCTGGGAGCAAAGATCAGGAGGTGTAGAAAGGCCCTGAGCATCCACCTGCTCCCTTGGAGTCCTGCTAATTTGACATTTATTATTTTTATGACAGCATTTTGAGCCAGTACTAAAACTTTGATTTTCTCATTATCTTTTGAACCAAAAAAGGCCCACCTGCTTCTCATTCCTGCTTTTGAAATGGACATATTGTTTTTTGCTTAATGAAGGGCCAGAAACACTCCTGCTTGAGCAGGGATATAAAATCAATTGGATTTATATCGTAAAGGGTCTAGTAGACAACTTTGGAACAACTTCAGAAATATGGCTCCAGGAGAAACATCCGATTATTGGAGCATAAAGAGACTGAAGTAGAAGCAGCCTTTTGTGAATAGGAGGTTGCCTCAGCAAAGGTTGCAAAAGAGGGGGTGTCTGTGTAGAGAATATCTCAAGTCAAGCTTCCCTGGCAAAATGCCTGTGGCCCCAATTTCAGGCATAAGGGCACAGATTCCTCTTTATTTAAGGATTATATTTTCATTAAAATTAAAATATTTCCTCCGCTTGGCACCACAATGGCAACTCACCCATTCAGAACCCAGGGCTGTGACTCCTGCATTGCCTCTGTTCCCACAGAGAAGTCCGACGCTCTGCATCGATGGAGGACGAAACTAAGAGGGGTCAAAGGCAAAGGGCTTGCAAGAGTTACTTTGTGGGCGCTGTCTCCAACAGTCTCTCCACCCTGGTATCCTTCCCCATTTACAAGACTATCTTCCGCCAGCAACTGCACACCTTCTCCAGCATTGAAGCGGTGCGCCAGCTGTACCACGAAGGCTTCCCCCAAATCTATCGCGGCGTCTTTCCACCACTCATGGTCAAAACGCTGCAAGGAACATTGATGTATGGCACCTACGAAAACTTCTACAGCTTCCTCTCGACTCAGCCCTCGGGATCCTGGTCCCAGAGAGCCATAGCCGGGCTGTTTTCTGGCTTCTTGGAAGCCTTGGTTTTCTGTCCCTTCGAGAGGGTGCAGAATGTGCTCCAGGATGGGAGGAAGGTCCAGAGATTCCCCACCACACGTCACATCCTGACCACCTTCTATTCCTACCCTCTCGGGGAGAGCTTCAGCCTCGGCTTCTACCGAGGCCTCAGGCTCATCCTGATACGCAATGGCCTGGGGTCCTCCCTCTTTTTTGCTTTGGAAGAGCCCCTGCGTAGCAGCCTCTCCACTCAGAGCTTTCTTGTTGCAATCCCAGCCTTTCTGTCGGGTACTATTATTGCCACTTTGGTGTCCCTGCTGCTCTACCCTCTTGGCATCCTCATTGTCAATGTGCAGTCCCAAGTGGGAAGGCAGGAAACCCTCAGCCTCTTGGCCACGATGACTGAGGTCTGGGAGGCCCGGGGAAGGCAAGCCCGGCTGCTGTACAAGGGCGGATCTCTCATCATTCTCCGCTCAAGCCTCACCTGGGGAATCCCAAATGCCATCTATCGGTACTTGTCCATGGACAGAAGCTAAGGACTGGTTGTGAAGCGGGGGGGAGGGGGCAGGAGGGCCTTCAGTGTCCTTGGAGCAACCTGCAAACATGGTGTAAATGGAGAAAGTGACAACCAGAAGGAAAGGAGACTTGCCCCACATGTGGGAATTGAACAGTATCAGGCGGAGGAGAGAGAAGCGCAGAGCAAACTCAGAATTGGGGAATTTGGTTCTTTGCAGAAATCTGAAGGTTGCAAGCACATCTGGACTAACTTGATTTCATCGGAGCTCCAGAAAGCTCTGCTTTGCTCTCAACTGGATCACAGCGGGCCATCTTAAAACATGTTTTACTTTCCTGCAAGGGCTGGGGGTGGGTGGGTGGGAAGAAATCATGATTTCTGCTCTTACATGCATGTTGCAAGCCGGACATCACAGCTGAATTAAACCCCAATAAATAATACTGGGGGTGCATTATTTGTAATCCTAATGCCAATTTGTGAATGAAGCTTAATTATTAGAACCATGTAATCAATTATATCAGCCAACTTGTCTTGGAGCCTTTGGAGAAAGGGCATTTTTTTTTCTAAGTTAATAATTAATATTATTTTTATAAATTCTCTTCAGCTGAGCTGAATTTTAGTGGCTTCCATTAATTTTGATACTTTGATAAGCCTAGCTGTTATGAGTTAATAAGATGGTTATGCCTGGCCTGTTTTGTTACACCCACGGTTTCCAGTAACCACTATGTCGATTGGAAGCCCATAAGCAGGACAGGTTGGACAATTTTGGCATGTATATTTTATCACCTGTGCCTTTATAAAGTTTCCAAACTTTTGTAGACTTCTCTTTTTTATACATACACACAAGTGCACACTTAACTTTTATCGGCATAGAAAACGAGTACAACTACACGTCTTCCCACAATTCACTAACAAATTGTTTGCAACTTGCACAGGGCTGTCTTAACGCATGTGCCTGATGGGCACTTGCCCGTGGCTCCCACGAGCATAGGGGCCCCATACTAATCTGAGTATGTTAACCCTTCAATGCACCTTGTATCCTATAAATACAGCAACTGTATGGCTTACTGAGTATTGCTTTTTCAAGCCTTCTGTATCGCTCAAATGTTTATCATGTTGATTAGTTGTTGCTGCACAGCATGTTTTTGTTTCAACACCGATTTTGTTGGCAATGTCAATAAAATAAATATATGCTTAATTTTATCGATCATTTACATTTTTATTCCTGTGAGTAGTTGTCCTAGAGGCCCCAGTACACTGCGTTGCTCGGGGCCCATAATCCTTTTAAGACGGCCCTGGGATAAGATCATACAGAGTAGATATGCGCTTGTCTTGCCGCAATATCTTATTACTTTATTTAGCTTGGCTTTAAGTTCAAACATCCATCACGAACTCGCTACGCTTCCTTAAAAACAAATCAACCAAGAAAAAGGCAGCCGAGCGCGGACCAAACTCGCAGGCTCGGTTCCCCCGCTGGGCGGTGCGCAAACCCGCATCTCCGGCGCGGAAAATGGACCTCGCCGGCCGGCCCGCTCACCTGCGAGGAAGCCGCGCTTAGCAGGGCAGTGGCTTGAAGGTTGCTGCCGTCCCTTTCCCGTTTCTGGCGGGGCGAGGGAGGCCGGGGCTGCGGCGGCCTCTGAGCTCATGTGGCGGTGGTGGTGGCGCTGGAGTTGGGCACGCTCAGAACTGCAAAGCAGGGCTCAATGAACGCAGGTCCCTGGCTTGGCCGAAAAGCCGGGAAGGCTCGCCTGTTACAGGGGAAGCGCCCGCCAAAAGCAGCCTCTTCACATCAACCCACCGTGGCAACCTTCAGCAGCCGTCACTTCTCTGAACAGCCTCAGGCCAGCCGCCACCCCTCCCGAGCCCCGCTCTCCGCCCTACGGCCAGATGTGCGCCACCAGCTGCTCTCCCGCCGAGGCTCCGGGGAGACCCCACCCCGCCAACGCAGGCTCGCTCGGAATCGGCGGCCGTCAAAGGCCCCTGAATTACAGTTCCCATCATCCGCAGCGAGCAGCCTGCGAGAGCTCCTTTAGCAGCCACTGGGTTCTGCCGAGGGCGCTAGTCTGGGCAGCCGCGCCCTGCTAGTAACCCGGGGAGGCCTGGAGAAAAGGCGCGGGGCGCGCAGCCCGGGGGTAACGCAGGGCGCCGCTGACCGTCAGGCGAAGGAAGCGGCCAGGCCGGGCGGACATCGCTCCTCCGGCACGCGGCCCGCCGCGGGACCCCTAGGGGCGAGTCGGCTACCACGGCGCGGCGCCTCCCCGTTCAGGAAGAAGAAACTACACTTCCCGAGGTACCCCGCGGTCCCGCCGCCAGATATAAGAGGCCGCCCCGACACGCTGGCTCAGAGGGCGCGGAAGTCGGAGGCGGTTTTGCAGGTGAGCGGCGGGGCAGCTCTCCCAGGCGGAGAGGCGCTTCCTCCCTTGCTGGGCGCGGCTCGGCGTGGAGGCCGTGGCGGGCTTTGAGGGCCTGTCGGGTGGGCTGCGTTAAAGCGAGGCTCGGAAGACGGGCTGGCGGAGCCTGGACTGGGGCGAGCGGGGCAACGGGCTTGCTTCCCGCCCCCCCCCCCACACACACACACACACACTCCGGGCCCCTGGATCTGGTTCTCCTCCGCCCGGCCCGTCTTGGGGCTGCGGGCCCCCTTTTTTTCCGGGAAGCCCCGCGAGGAACCCTGTGGCTTTTTGCAGTTCTGAGAGTATCGACGTAGCTTCCTGCCTGGCCAAGATGTGCGACAAACCGGATCTGTCGGAGGTGGAGAAGTTTGATAAGAAGAAGCTGAAGAAAACGAATACGGAAGAGAAGAACACGCTTCCTTCCAAGGAGAGTAAGTATTTGGGGAGGGGCCCTCCGGCAGCTGCAACCTTAGGCCAAACTCCGACGGGGGAAGGGGGGGAGCGAGGCTTGGGGAGCCCAGCTTTTGGGGACCAGCAACTTCCGAAGCCTCAGGCAGGGCTTTCTCAGCCTATAGTTGAGCCCTGCCCAACCGCGCTACGCCAAGGCGGGAACTGGGAATTGGCCAGCCAGTCTCGAAGGCCAGGGCCCCCTGCCCTGAGATGGGATTCTCTCCCAGTAGTTCCAGCCTTGGCAAAGTATGGGGGGTGGCTGCCTTTGAAATCCTGGGAGGATGAGCTGCCTCCTAAGGAAGGATGAGTGGCCACTGGGTTCCTTCCTGGAGCATCAAGGCCCAGACTTACGCAACTCCTTCCCAGGAAGGAGCTGGAGAGCCAGAGCTTGAGGGCCCCACTTCCAGAACTTGGGCCAGGGTGGGGGTCATGTTGGGAGGCAGCAGAACTAGGGTGCAGTTGGTTACCCAGCAGACCTTGCCAATAGGCTTGGGCTACCCAGAAAGTGTGTTCTCTTACCCCACCCCACCCCACCCCAGCCAGGGACTAAGGGTGGGTGTCTAGAAGGCGGGCTCAGTGACTATTAATGCTCAAGGTGCTCTCTCTCTCCTCAGCCATTGAACAGGAAAAAGAGTCTGCCAAGTCATCATAGACCACCGGCATGATGATCTCAGTTGTTTCTCTAAAACAACGTATACATAAACTTGCATCTCAAGAAATGCTGCAGCAGCCCATCAGCGGCTGCTACCTCTTTGGGCCTCCCCCCCCCCCCTCCACCACCACACACACCTTTCAGGGCTTGGCCATGCCCTCTGCTTCCATCACAGAAGAAAAAATAATTCACAGGAAATTTCTGGGGTTTGCCCAGTATGATTCTCATCGTTTGCCTTTCTTGTCAGATGGGGTGATTTCATCAGTTAAATCCTAATTAGTAAAATTGTTTGTGATTGGTTTTGCAACTTTAATTTCCAAGAAATGGAAAGAAAAATCTATTAAAATTTTTAAAATGAATTACCTCATGACTGTCTCTTGTGATTCCTCCCCAGAGCCCCCAGGTTTTGAAGGCATCTTGCTGGGGACTTTTTATATCCATTTGGCCCAGTCTGTGCTGTGAGTTGAGAGACAGTGGTACTTTTGAGGGGGGGGGGCAGAAGGGTGGAAGAATCTGGGACCAGCATCTCTGCCTCTTCCTGGCGGAGACATCATCTTTGGGGAAGTCAAAGGTCAACCTGAGGGATCAGGTGAGACAATCCTACTACAGTTCTGGGAAAACAACTGCAAGTAGCCACTGGTCCAGGCTCAGGGCTTTGAGAAGGTAAATTGAGTCTAAGCCAATCCTGAATAGGGAATGTAAGGTTAGAGACAGGCAGAGACAGGTTTTAGAAACAGAAAGAGAGCTACTAGCTTGCAGCTTGAGGGCTTCCAGAGGTGGCCTTTCATATTCTGACTGGCAGAAGATGTGGTATGTTTGCAGAGCAGTGCAAGAGGGCATCTTTGTAGCCAGAAGGAAAAGATCAACAAACACTCAGATTGAGAGCTGTGGTCTTCTAAAGAGGCCTCAGTGTTTCTTAGATACTCAGATGGCAATTTACACTGATGAAAGAAAACTAACATCCACAGGAAACAGTAATAATTGAGTGCCAACACAGCAGTGAATTTTGGAGGCACCACTTCTGAGCTAACCACCCGTTTCTGTGCAGACACACTTGCTAATAGCGGAAGGATTTGCGGAGATGCCAAAAGCCTGAAGAAAGAGGAAGGGAGCAAAACCTGCAACTTCCCCTCAGCGCTTTAGGCAAGAAAGTTTGTTTTGGGTGTGCCTTCCTCAGATGGGAGCAGCTTGAGGGAAGGCAAACTACAGGAAAAGCTACTTGCACTGAAAGCTTCACCCAAGACAAGAGCATCTGGGAAGGTTGGCGGCAGCCCTGCAGCCTCTCTCCTCGAGAAGGGTGTACAGCTTTAGAAAAGCAAAGCAGAGAAGAGCCAGACATTTCCCTAAACTATGGTCACCCTGCAGATGGGTCAGAACTCCTGGGGCCTCTGTGGTCAGGGCTATTGTGCGTTGGTGCTAGTTTGTTCAAGGAGGAGGCAGGCATCAGCCAGAACTCGGCACAGCAGCTGAGTGTTGGATCCCTGGGACTTGCCCCCAACAGGGTGGGGACACAGACGGGCATGCCCAAACCAAAATCCATGTTCTGCTCAGACATGTGTCCTGATTTAGTGCACAGGAAAAAGGGGTGGGCGGTTCCGAGGAGGAGAAAAATTGCCAGCTAGACTCCTCCCAGCCTGGGACAGGCAATTAGGGACATGTAGCCACTCCCCTCCTCTCCTTGAGGGCAGAGCTGGCCCCCACCTCCATCCTTCCAGCAGCCTTCAACCTGACCAGCCACAAGAGGAGCCTCAATCTCCATCTAAACATGGACAATTTTGCATGCAACTCCTGGAGCCAGAGTTACGGTAGAACCTTGGGAGGAGAAAAGCTACTGGATTTCCTGCTCCTTAGTAATTCACTGGTGCATTTTAGGAACTCAGGGACACTTTGGCTGCCTCTTCAGTAGGAAGCAGAAGCCCCATTTCCACATCCTGGCTACAAACAGCCCATTTCCTCTTGCACCGCTGCACTGGTTCACTTGTGCTGGGAGATCAGAATGATTCTCAGCAGGATCTGGGTTCCATAGGAAAGAGCACACTGCAGTTCAGTCTTGGAAGCTCAGCCAGCTAAAAGGGGTTTGGGAACAGCTGTTTCCACACAGCACAGAGCTGGTCTGCATTTACTCCACTTTGGCCAGTGCTTACTCTTAAGGATGGGGCGAGGCCACCTGGGAGAAACCCAGCCTATGTAGTTAATTTAGGTCTGTGATCTGCATATGTTCAGGAAGCATGTGCCTTCAGGAACCATGCCGAACTGCTCCACAAGGCCGTCAGGGTTTGCTGTGGCCGTTAGAGAAATGCAGCTGCCTGGAAGCCGTGGGGACCCCTGGCTGCAGCAGCCTGCTGACCCCACCCATCACGCTTCACCACCAGAATACTCCAAAGTGCCCCTTTGCAGGCCCTGCCCTGCCAGTAGCTGTTTGCTTTCCAGGTGTGGGCTTCAGCTAACAAAATGTGCCTCAGACTAGGGCAAGGCCTGCCTCCTTCCTGCTCTGCTCCCCAGTGGAAGGTCAGGAGTGGGAATGCAGAACAAAGCGATCCGACAGGTCCGGGCTAGCTCGACAAGGGAGACGTCACCAGCTGGGACACGCTGCCTTTTTCTGTATTGCCAGCCAAGCGTTTTTCTGAACGCCACAAGAGGAGGCCCCAGAGCAGAGCCAACCCCGCCTCTTCCCCCTGGAAGACCGACTGGGAGGGAATTATCCGGCGGCCCCAGGCTTCGCTCTGTGCTCCGACACATAACTGGGAGATGGAAAGCTACCTACAGCGACGCCACTCACGGCCGCCGGCCTGAACTTCCTCCCTTGCAGAGCTGAGCGCGGTTGGAAGCCGCGGGGTTGCAGTAGAAGAAAGGAGCTGCCGCGGCTCAGTCTTCGCTCGACATGTTGGTCCAGGCGGAGCCTCCAGCTCCAGGAACCTCATTCTCTGCAGCCGAAAAGCCGCGCTGGCTCCGGGCCCCGCTCAAGGCAGGGAGCTGCTTGAAGGGAGGCGACGGGTCCGCATAGCTAGGCGGGAGGGAGATGCTTTTTCCACACCTGGCCTCGCGCCGCCCCCATTCCGCGGGCGGCCCTTCTGGAACTCCGCCAACGCTCGCCGGGGAGGGTCGGAGCCGCCCGGTGGCACCGTTGCCTGGCTCCCTTGGCGCGAAGCAGGGCAGGGCGCCCTTTCGCTGGAGGCGCAGCCGCCGCCCGAAGCCGCTGGGCGGACTGTGCCCGGGAGCCGCGTGCCGCGAGCGCATGCGCACAAGAGATGTCAGGCTCCAGAAGGCTGTTGCGGGCCGGCTAGGCGTGCGGAAGCTACGGAGTGGCGGGTTCGAGCCCAGCCCGGCTGCGGGGCAGGTGCTCTGGGACGAGCCACAGCCTACTGGTGAGGAAGACGTCGGGTGGGGACGGAGAAGCGTCTTCCAGCCCCGCAGCTTTCCGCCGGCGGGTCAGGGTTGGCTGCCTACCCGCTGCTGCCGGGCAGAGATGCCTGGGGCATAACAGAGGATGCCAAGGCGCGTCGGCTGGCCTTGGCCATCCCCCCTGGGACCCTCGGCCGCAGCGCCGCCTTCCCCCCCCCCGGCCCAGATGCAAGCCCCGGACGCCCCCAGGCAACAGCTGGGTGGCGTCGAGGCGCTTGGGCCCCTCAGAAGGGATTTGCGGGGAAGTCAGAAGGGCAGGGCGGAGCGGCTCTGGGCGCGGGCCTCCCAGCTTGTAGCTGGCTCTGGGGCGCGGGCCTGGGCTTGCGGGGCGCCCGGCCGACTGGCTCCTCGGCGCAGGTATTTGGCAAGCACCGCCCAGGTCCAGCGACAACTAGACAACTGGCTAGGTGGCTCAGCGGCTAAGATGCCGAGCTTGTCGGTCGCCGGTTCGAACTTCGAATCCTAGTATAGGTCTCCTGCGTGAGCAGGGGGTTGGACTAGATGACCTCCAAGGTCTCTTCCAACTCTGTTCCTGTTATCTGTTACTTATCTGATTGGCCTTCCCCTGAGGCTCTTCCGGACTTCCAGATGAAATCCTGAGACTTGGCAGGAAGCCCTTCCGCAGGCCAGCCAGGTTGTCTGAGCCGGGGAGAGCTGAAGCCAACAGGCCAAGGTGCCTCAGACCTGCCAATCAGGGAAGGACTAAAGCCAGCTGTGGGTTGGGCTCCTGGGAGTTGGCCCTGCCCGCCCCACCTCTGCCAGCCACAAGCACTGGCTCCTCTTCTTCCAGCCCAGCTCCCAGGTTGGAAGGAGACTGCTTGGTGCCCAGAAAAGTGTGATTCTGAGCCAGGGACATCCTGCCTGCCTCCTCCAGGGAGCTGGGCCTGGCACCCGCCTGCTAACACTGTGCTCTGCTCGTTTCCAAGCTTGCTGCTGCCGGAGCCATCATGAGCGGGAAGTCTCTACTGCTGAAAGTCCTCCTCCTGGGCGACGGGGGAGTCGGCAAGAGCTCCCTCGTGAACCGCTATGTCACCCACAAGTTTGACTCCCAGGCCTTCCACACCATTGGAGTGGAGTTCCTCAACCAGGACCTGGAAGTGGACGGACGCCTCGTGACTCTCTAGATTTGGGACACGGCAGGACAGGAGCGCTTCAAGAGTTTGCGAACACCCTTCTACCGTGGTGCAGATTGTTGCCTCTTGACCTTCAGCGTTGATGACCGCCAGAGCTTCAAGAACCTGGGCCACTGGCGGAAGGAGTTCGCCTGCTACGCCAATGTCAAAGATCCAGAGCACTTCCCCTTTGTGGTGCTGGGCAACAAGGTGGACAAGGCAGAGAGGCAGGTGGCAGCAGAGGAGGCCCGGGCATGGTGCTTGGCACATGGTGACTACCCTTACCTGGAGACAAGTGCCAAGGATGATACAAATGTGGCGGTGGCTTTTGAGGAAGCAGTGAGGCAGGTGTTGGCCTTGGAAGAGCAGCTGGAGCACTGCGTCCTGGGCCGCACGGTCGATCTGCACCGCAGTGCCAAGCCAGGCTCTTCGTGTTGCTGAGAGGTGCCAGACTAGAACTGGCTGCTGTTTACAGAGGGAGGAAGGGGAGAGCAACCCAAGGGGGACAGAGGGACCTTAGCTTTTCTCTTTAGCCCACTGAGCCCTTCACGGGTTGAACTGCCCTAGAGTAGCACCTCAGCTTCCTGATCGTGCAGTGTGGGATTGGGCTCTTGCGGAGGGCACTTCCTGTTCCCTCTCCTCTCCCCCTGCCCTGGGAGTTGTAGAGCCATGGGGTCAGAGCCCTTTGTCTGTCCCATATCCCTCAGCTCCTGAGCAGGACCAGGGAGAGCGAGAATTGCTGGGGCTGTTGCACAGTCACCTTGTGGCAAGCAGACTGAGTCCTGTGGGACTTTCTGGCCAAGATGCCTTGTGCTGATGGGGGGCAGGGATCAAATGGGTGGGGGAGCTGAGCAGAATCAGCCCATCTCTATGGCTACTGTTAGTGCCAAGCAACAAGAGGCCTCTGTGCTCCCTCTTCCACCTCTCCTGCCTTTGCTCCTGTTGATTTCCCTGGTGGTTGCTGCAGGTGCCGCACCGGGAAGTGGTGGATAAGCCTCACTTTGATTTAGGAAGCAGATGGCTCTGAATTCAATCTGTGGGGACAGAGACTGTTAACTTGGCTAGCATATATGTAGGTGTGTATGCTTAAACTCAGTGAAGTGTGGCCCATGTATGTGGCCATGTCTGATTAGAACAAAAGTCAATACCATTCCCTCCATTCTGCTTTGGGAGGGCGCGGGGGGTGGGTGGGCAGAAAACTGGCCAAATTGTGCATCTCCAACAGTTGCACCATTCATGGGGAAGTTCTTAGCTCTCCAAGGTTGCAGATGCCTGGCCTCTTTGGCAAGGGAGGCCGGGGTCCTCAGAAGTACACTTTCTGTGCTGAACAAATGCTGGAAGAGCTCTGTCCCCCTCAGGCTGTTCTGGAAATGAGCACCTCCCACCGCCTAGAAAAATGGGTATAGAAAAAAGGCCAGCTGCTCCTGGGGGCTTTTGGCCAAAGAACTCAGCCCACGAGAGCACCTTGTGACACCTTGCTGGCTTGCCATTCATGTTCCCAATCACAGGCAATCGCCCTTCTCCTACTAGCCACATTCTGACCATTCCCCCACTGTCTTTGGGGTTCAGCAGAGGTGGCTTCAGGAGCAGGGCAATTGCAGGTGTGGCAAAAGCCTTGAGTTAATTTTGTGCATAGACCTATGATAAGAGAAGCCCCAGGCCAGCTGCATCTGACGGGGTGTTCCAAGAGGGGGTGTAATAGAGGTAGCTTTTCTGACAACTGAATGAAGAAGGGAAAGCTGCCAAGCGCATGAAAAGAGTGGTGTGTAGTCACACCTCCCAAGTGTGTTCTTTGTGTCTTTTGCGACAAGATTAATACATGTAAGGGAGAGTCCAAATGCAGTAACTTTTTCATTCATTTCAAAGGAAAATGTACTCCTAGTGTTACAAGCATGATTATTTTTTCAAAGCTGTCTCCAGAGAGAGTCGCATCAGTCTGTTGCAGCCAAACCAAGCCAGTAGCACTAATAAACATGGGTTTCAAAACGATCTTAAAAATGGCAAGTTCATTATCACATCAGAAAAGAGCCTGCTTTGCCCAAACCGTCTTGCCTTCCTGCGTATCTCACCCTGCCCGCTGACGAAGACACTTGATCTGAAAAAGTGGGCTCTGGTTCCTCTGCCTGCCTGGCATTACAGGGCACCCTGTTGACTCTTCTCCTTACCAGGCAGCCTCTTCGAAAGCCTGCAAGAAAGCTGGTGTATTGTTCACATTTTCTCCTTGCTGGCCCAACAGCAGCTCTTCCAGTTTTCTCCTTGAATATCTGGGGTTGCTATAAGTCAGGTAGTCGTGAAGCGGCAGTGTAAGAAGGCAACAGAGAAATGTATTTTGGGGCAGCAAACGGTGATTATATCCACAGGATGTCAGTTTTCATGCTGTTTTGCCCATTTAAAAAAACAGTGGAGATGTTATGTTCAGAGCAGTGGTGAAATCCAAATATTTTTACTACCGGTTCTGTGGGCGTGGCTTGGTGGGCGTGGCTTGGTGGGCGTGGCAGGGGAAGGATACTGCAAAATCTCTATTCCCACCCTACTCTGGGACCAGCCAGAGGTAGTATTTGCTGGTTCTCTGAACTGCTCAAAATTTCCGTTACCGGTTCTCCAGAACCTGTCAGAACTTGCTGGATTTCACCCCTGGTTCAGAGCACATAACAAGTCCCTCAGAATTTGTCAGCAGTTACAGGTCTCCTTCCTCCTGATGGAGACTTGGGAACCTGAAAGCTGACTAAAGGAGGGTGGGACGTTCTGACCCACTTTACAGAGTGGCTCAACCGATGAAGTTAAACCAGGCCTTAAGGGACTGAATGATCCATCCAACCAATAGATTAATCAATTCCCACAGAATGCCTTACAAAAGCAACTTTACCAGCACATGTGGGTGAACTCGCCAAAATCCAAAGATTTCAGGCCATTTCAGAAGGTCTCCACAAATGCAATGTGTGCTTAACTACTGTTTTTGTTAGTTGCAAAAGAAGGAGCTTTGTTTGTGGGTCATTCCTAGTTCTGAGCCAATCTGAACACCCACCAGGTCTGGAGGGAGGGAAGGGCTGGCACCAGGCGCTCTGTGCTGTGCCTGGGAGAGGGCCCAGCATTCCTGAAAGAGTGGGTGGGAGTGTGGAACAGCCATCTGGCCACAATGGGGGAAGCCAGAGACACCAGGCTTTTTCTCAGAAAGCCTGCAGAGCCAAGAGGTTGAGCCAGGCACTGTCCAGTAGAGCCTGAGGGTAATCACACCTGCAGGTTCCTTTGAAGAGACAATCCCCACCCCCACATATGGTTTATCACAGGAGATTTCATTCATGTGGGTGGGTGGATAGATTGATAGATAGAGATTGCCCCATCCCAGGGGTTGGCAACCTTAAACAGTCAAAGAGCCACAAAGGTCCTAACCAAAAGCCCCCGTTCAATTCTGGAGCTGAACGAAAGTCTGGCTTCTTCATCCTAGTCTCCTCCTAGTATGGCGTCCTTTTTCCTCTGCTGACCAGAATTCTGGTTCCCCCACCATAGTCTCCTCTTAGCACGGCATCCTTTTTCATCTACCTGTCCTAACCAAAAGTCCTATCAATTGTGGAGCCGACCACCAACAGGGAGCCGCAGCAGAGGGATGAAAGAGCCACATGCGGCTCCAGAGCCGCAGGTTGCTGACCCGACTCATACCCTCCATCACAGATGCTGAACACGTTGCCAAGTATTTCCACGCCAGCATTGGCTCAATAACCAGAAAATGCCTTGCATCCAATATCCCACCATTTTAGGACTCCTGAAATTGCAAGGCTGGCTTCTGTTTCTGCAGCACAGAACTCCTCGTGGTGCGTTTTTATCAAACTGCGAAGAAGAATCCAAGCATTAAAACCTGAACTTTGGTCTGAGCTGCGGGGGATTACAAAGGCCATCAGTCTGTACCCCCATGATGCCATTCTGAAAGCCATGCCAAGGAGGGCCAGGCGTGGAAGCAACTCTGAGAGGCCTGAGCCCTGCCAAGAAGTCCTGCCCCAACTTCCCTGGCAGGGAGAGGGAGAAGAGCAGCCAAGGAGGCTCTCGTGGTGGGAAAACAGGAAGAGAGCAGAGAGTTCTTCAGAACAGTCGTAACTTTTATTCCTTGAATATTACAAAATACACCTGCAAGGTGTAGGCAAGGTAAGTCTCAAAAAACAAATTTGTCATGCTTTGTTAAAAATGAATTTCAAAAGGAGAAAGAAACACACTTAGCTTATTAGCTGGTTCCCCAGTGTTTATACCGAGGGATTTTGGAGGGCTCAAGTCCCAGTTATATGCATTTCGATCAACGTGAAATATCAGGTATAGACAACTTCATTTGCCCCCAGTATTCGCTTCTGCTTTCCAGGTGGGCTCTGTTCACATGTTCATCCGGAGTGGGTTTCAGCTGCCTGGGCCAAGCCTGCTCAGCAGGGCTGCCCTGATTGTTAGCCATCCAGGGAACTGGCCCCTGCCTAGCCATCTCCCCCCCCCTTGCTGACACAGACCCCCAAGGCTGAAGTCCAGCACTGGCTGGCTGAGCCTGGTAGGCCAGGGAGCTCACGGCTAGGGCTTTGCTTCCGTGGACAAGAAGCCCCTCTTCAAACCAGCCTCCTCGCCGGGCCTTTCGGGGTGAGCTTCGATGACACTTTCAGTCCATCCCTTTTTTCCGCTTGATATAATTGTGGGAAGTTCAGGGATGCTCTTTTCCCACAGAGACCAAAGCAATTTTGTCTTGTTTTATGAAAATCGTGTCCAGAATGTTCAGTGCGTTTCTCTTCTTTTACCTCTCTATTTGGACCAAGTCACCAAGACAGGAGGCTCCATATAACTGGGATGGTTTTCAGTTTGCCAGAAATTGGAAAGAGTAATTATAAGGAAAGGAATACGGGTTATATTCTGCAAATGATCCCTAATGAAGCAGACTTATGATAGAAGCAGCAGTCACTGGGAGAGAAGAGCACCAATATGACGGTCAGAGACTTTGGGTTCCACAGCTAGTGGCAAAAGGGAAAGCACACGGCCCAGGGTTACGATCCCCTCCTCTAACGAAGGAGCTCCTAGCATTAGACACTGCAGCTTCTGGTTATGGGTGCTCCTCTGCCCAGCTGGTGTGGCCCAAGGAAGCTGGAACCAATCAGCCTAGCTTTGCCTGGTCCTCAAAGGATGGATAGAAGAGCCCCTTCCCCAGGTTCCTCGGGGCTCTTGGGAGGGTGGCTGGGGCTCTGGGCAAGATCACCTCTCAACAAGACAGCGGCTCAGTGCTCTCTTTCCCTCCTGGGAAGATCCTGGCTCTAAGCCCTCTTGCCCAGGAGATGGGGAGGTTCTTCTAGGGGCACCTTTTGTTCTCCGCTGCTTCTGGTGCCACCGCAGGAGAAAGCTGGTGAACTAGCATAGCTGGCTCTTCTCTCTCTCAGGGTGGCTCAGCCGGCTGACCAGACCATCTGGGCCTCCTTTGGAGCAGGTAGCTCTCTCCCTCCCGGTATGAGGCAGAGAGCTCCCGGTTGGGTAGTCCCAGAGAGCTACCAGGAGATGAGAGCATGAAGAACTGTAGCTACAGTGCTGAAGAGTTTCTCCTCCATCCTTGGGACACAGCCTGCTTCATTGGCACAAGGGGGAAGGGCAGTCAGATGGTGTTAAAGGTGGAGGAGGAGGAGGAGGAGGAGGAGGCCAGGTGCAGCGTGACTGCCTGGTTGGGTTAAAGCCTGGTAGTTAGAGGAGGAAGAGCATCTGGTGAAGGATAACGGCTCTCTCTTTCGCTCATGCTTAAAACTTTGTGCCTCTTCCCATCAGTTTGAGGACTGCAAAGTTGTAGGTGGCAGCAATGATGAATGTGAGCTGGAGGGCAGAAAGTGGGAAGGGAGGAGGTGAGATCAAAAGGTCCTGTGAAAGACACCCCTCTTCCCAAGCTCCCCTCGTGGGCCCCGAGAGCTTCAGGCATCTTCTGCACCTGCCTAGAGGTCTCCAGCCCCGCCCGCACTTCCCTGGCAGAAGAGACAGCAACAGCCCCAGTTGTGATTGTGAATTAATTGGAAGCTCCTTTCAGTGGTGCTGTCATTTCAGAATGTTGCTGTTTTGAATATTTGGGCTGAAAGCAATAATAACACTCCTGCCTCCTCCCTAACCCTAACCCTTGAATCAAAGGGGAAAGATCCAGGGGACCCTTGGCTAGACTTACCAGGGCCACAAGAGTAACGGCGGCCCCCACAAATGCGGCAATAAAGAGATGAAAGGTCATCTGGAACTGCAAGTAAACAACACAGAGAGGTCTAAGCCCCAATCCCTGGAGGATGGGGGATCAAGGAGATCTCAACCCCTCGGAGGACTGAACCCAGAGGTTGAAGGTCTGGCCAGGGTCATCCATGGAAGCACAGGTGGGTTTGCATTGGCCTGTGACCAAAGGAGGCAGCACCTTTCTCTAGGGAGTCAACCAACTGCTGGACAAAAGAGGCCTTCATTGATCTAGCAAGGCCGCTCTTCAAGATGGCAGATGGATTATCTTACCCATCATGTTGAATATTCAAAGTTGCGGGTGGGATCTTCTTTTCTCATCCACATATAAAAGTGAATGTCACCTCCAAAATAATGCCCAGATGATAACTTACATCCATTTTGTCCATCCATATAAATAATATGGATTGTTGCAAGAAGAGAGAACTTTTAGAGTCTGCATCAAGTCAAGAGGTTTACTCTTCTGAGCTGTCGGACTCGTGCTGGAGCCCATCCTCAAGGAGTGTGGATTGTCTTCACAATGATGGTTTTTACTAAACAGCAGTAGCTGACTAAGCTACTAAGATGTGTTTGGTGACTCAACTTTGTTTTTAGCAACCTGCTGATTGTCTTGAAACACAATGGATTATCCACAAACAGCAGATTGCCAGTACAAATTAGTAGTAACTTGGTTTTGATTATTGAGTTATCAAAGAAGGGTTTGAGGAGGGCAAATGAACATGAAGGTCCCAGTAGATCTTTGTAACCTGAGAATGGTCAGTTATGAACTCTCTGATACAAAGAGGGTGGGAGTCATCAGAATCACAACAGTCTGTAGCACTCTTGGCCTCTACCCCCTTTCAACCATCAGCTGCTGCACCTAAATTTCTCTTCTTGTTTCTCTGATCCCGGAGATGAGGTTGCCCCCCCCCACTCTGCTGGTTTTTCAGAAGAGCATGAAGACCTGGCTCTAACAACTGGCATGGGACCCAAGAAGGAGACCCAACTCTGAGCAATGGGGGGCTTAAACATGGTTTATTTTTGTACAGATTTCTATGTGGACTTTATTGATTGTTGTTGTTGTTGTTTTACTTTTTTACCACCCAGAGTCACTTAGACAATGAGATAGAGGAGAGGAGAGGGAGGGAGAGGAGGGAGGGAAGGAGGGAGGAGAGGAAAGAAGGAGAGAGGAGGGAGGGAGGGATGGAGGAAAGGAGAGGGAGGAAGAGGAAGGAGGGAGGGAGGGAGAGGAGAGAGGGAGGGAGAAGAGAGGAGAGGAGAGAGAGAATAAAACTCTTTTTTTCCTTAAGGAACCTCCCCCCTGGTTCTTTTGGTTTGCTGGGGAAATCTAGCCTATCCTCCACTCCTTTGTGAAGCCGAAGACACTCACCTCAGCAGTCTTGCAGATGGAGAGGAGACTTTGGCCGCAGACTCTTCCTGGAGATGCATTCCAGGGCAGCACACCTGGGTGGAGCACAAGAGGTCCTGAGCACAGAGCAGCCTACCTCCAGCAGGCCAGGAGGACTACACGGATACGGGAAACCCCCGGCCTGAAACCCAGGCAAGAGCCCGCTGGACTGCTTCTCCCTAATGAGCTCCTCTGTCTGTCTGTCTGTCTGTCTAGAGACGCCAGGGGAGAGGGCTGGGGACAGTCGGGAGGCCTAACCATGTCCAGGCTTAACAACCCACTAAACCAGGGGTCACCAACCTTTCAGACCTCAGGAACCACTAAATTCATAATTTTAAATCCCGCGGAGCACTACTATGATCTGCCTAATGACCAGCTGGGTGTGGCTAGGTGGTCATGTGACTGGGTGAGTGTGGCCAACTCGATGTTACTCACGTCAAGGGGCATCTCGCCAGCCTCTACTCACCCCTCCCTCCCAGAGAACCAGCCAGGCCTGTACAGCCTCTGGATGATCTCATTTAGAAATCTCCTGTTTTTAGGAAGAAAGTTGCTTTTGCTACTCACCATACATTCTGGCATCAGCACACAGGTTGCCAATACTGGCTGAGGTCTTGGTCGGGTTGGCAATGGAGTTGCAGGTGGTCCAGGTGCTGAAGTAGACATAGACAGGGACGGCAGAGCAGGCCAGGACCAGAAGCCAAAGGACGGCCAAGATGTAAGTGATGCCCACAAACTAAAACAGTCAGAAGAGGCAAGGGTCATCACAGGTCAGGACCTTTGGCCAGAAGAGCATGAGACTGGAGATCTGCAGTCTGAGATGACTTCCCCACCTCTTTCAGCCGGAAAGGGAAGAAGAGACCCCTCCAGCACCAATGGGACTGCCAGGCATTGCAGCCCCCTGCTCACAGCTCTTGCTCTCCTCTCCCACCCAGGTCCTCTCAGCACAACTGGTGGCCAAGATGCTCTGTAACCTTCTCTCAAAAGGCTGAGTGTCTGCTGGGCCATAGCAGTTGACAACATGGAGCAGAGTTGTGACTGGGTGTCACATATAATCTGATCTATGAGCTAATTTAGAAAGCAGTGCATTTTAAGTGCAGAGATGCTCCCTTAGTTGCACACTTTTAAAACAGGGAATGCTAGTAAGTCTCTTCCCTCATCCCTGACACCTGCGCTTTCCTTTTCAGCGGCTGCTTTACGCTGAACCTGGCTGCAGTTCACAAACTTTCGCCCTTTACATTGGACCTTCAGACACTGCGTGCATCTCTGCAGACTTTTTGAAAGGAAGAAGTCGGCTCTCTGTCTTGCAAAGTGCGACCCCCATCCTCCCCTGGCCAAACTGTTTGAATATACTACTTGTTGGTTAGAGATCACAGCCGCAAGTATCTGAGCTCGTGCTTGATTGTGCAGAGAGCCCCCTCCCCAGGTGCCAACGACACTTTCCGGCTGGGACAGATCCTCAAAAAAAGGCACACTCAGTATGCCCAAGTGTATCAGGAACCTGCGTATAGCATCCAAGGGAGCCAGCCTTCCCATGCTCTGCTATGTCTGCTTCCAGGCTGCAGTGGTGAGAGAGTCTGGGGCGGGGGATGTGAAGCGTGTGTGACATTTAGCTGAGTGCAAGAAGGCATACTGAGCGTGCCTGAGGGTGAGCATTTGTCCAAGAGGTGCAGAAGTAAGTGATCTTGAAAGAAAACAGCACTTGGTCTGCTCTGTCTTTGTCTGAGCCAGGGAAGCTGCTGGGCTCTTCCAATGCAATTGAGCAATGCCTATGCTACGGATCCACCCCGGCTCCCCCATTTGCAAATGGCCCTCTACTCGTCCATAGTAGTCCCCCCACCCCCAGTCCCTCTAGCTCCCTGTACCCATGTGGCTGTTCTTTGTCCCTCCCCCTTGGGGGCTCTTGAGGAAGGAAGGCCAGGACTTCCAGGGGCAGAGTTGCCCAGTGCCACAGGCACTTCAGCTGGTGGGTCAAATATCGCTCAGAAGTACCCATTTGAGGCCTTCCCCATCGCTCAATGAATGCTTGGCATCTCCGCCCTCCTGTTTTCTGCAACACGTCTGGCATGACTGAGACACCCCAGCTGGAGTGCTTTGTGGGGAGGGCCCCATGCCCGACAGCCAGCCTTGGGTTGCAAAGGGACAGGGGTGTATCACCAGGCAGCCGAGGCTCAATCCTCCGGGTCTTCCTTGCAAAAAGGGGAGCACGGGGGGGGGGGGGGGGGGCCCGCCGAGGGGGCCCCCCGGGGGCGGCGGGCCGGGGGTGCCGGGGAAAAGGGGGGGGGGGGGGGGGGGGGGGAGGGAGCCCTGCAGAGGATGCCCATAGGTTGAGTGAGCCAGTTAGTGCGGGCAAAGGCCGAAGTGAATGGGGCAGCTGGGGAGGTGTTAGGAGGGGCAGCATCCACCTGGCTGCAAGGAGGGGTGGGGTGGGGGAACTGCCGCCCTGTGCGGTTTTCTCTCTAAGATGCCACTGTCTCTTCCAGTGCAGCTGCTCCGCCTGTGCCTGGAGCCTTCTCAGGACCAGCCACCAGGCTGACCAGGGTTGCAGTCTCATGCCTTTCCTGCCCACGCCCAAACCAGCCAACCTGCCCCAGAAGACGCAAACTGCAGATAGATCACCTTGTCAGGATGTCCTAGCCATTTGCCCAAACAGTGACACACCAGCTCCCAAGAGTGAGCTTGACGGTGTCCTCTGGAACCCCTCCCCTTGTGGCCCCCTGTTACCGTAGCGCTGAGGCCCTTGCCACAGATGGTGGTCTTGTAGTCGCCAAAGATCTGCCTGACAGCGCCGGTGGTATAAAAGCCTTCGGCCAGGAGGAGGGCTCCGAAGAGGAAGAAGAAACCGGCGATTCCGTAAATGGCATATTGGAAATCATGGATCCTACAAAGGAAGGCCAAGTTCAGGAGTGGGGAGAAGGGCAGGAGTCCCATCCAGAGCCCCCTGCCCTCCTGGGAGTCAGGATTTACAAAGTGCTTGGTCCAAAGGCATACTCTGCATCAGGGGAGCCCCCTGTTTTGCAGACCGGAGATCCCTGGCAGAGCTTGGCGTTGGGTCACAGGACTCTGCCTGTCTCACCCCCCCCCCAAGGCATAGCTGGCTGCTGCCCTATAGAGCCCTGCCTTGCCAGGTGAGCCCTAGTCACCATAGAGACCTCCAGCGGTGGCTTTGATGCCCACTCTGCCCTTACCAGTCCAGGATCTGTGAGCAGAGCCCGCTCCCTCATCTGGCTGGCCACCATTGCCCGTGGGCTGCCTCAGCCATGCCAGAGTAGCCATGCCAGCACTCAGTCCTGGACACGTCTACACTACCAACAGCTTTTGAAGTGATGGGTGCTGAATCAGGTGGCTGTGCCTTAATAAACCCTTGAAAGGAGCCCAGTCTGCGCAGCTGCAGCTCAGACGTTGGGCGTGAGAAGTGCAAGTTCTGCGGCCACCTGGCATCCCTGGCACAAGGCTCCGTCTGCCCACCCCGCTCAATGGTGACATGAAGGGGGCTTTGCAAAGGGTGCTTAATGGCACGGGGAGGGGCACGCTCCCTATAGAGAACTAGCCTGCAGCTATCTACTGTTCTATAGTAGATATATTAAAATTTGGAGTTTAACGAATAGCAATTAAAATTGATTAAAAATTAGTATTAAACTCAGGCATTCATATTTAAGTTATTTCTCAACTTGGTGTGCGTGGAGTACAACTATATTTTCAGTTGAATAAACTTAACAAAATTTCTAATTTTAAATACCCTTTTAGATCATTCTCTCCTTTTTTGGAAAATCACAGCCAACCCCTAACCCCTAGCCCAGGGCGGCCCAGGCACATGACTTGCCTCTCGGAAGTAAGGACGAGGGGAGCGTCTGGCAGAAGTTTGTGGAGGGGAGGCCCAGGCTTTGCTAAACCCCTGCCCTGCCCAGAGTACGCAGCCTTAGAGGGGAATACTTACACATCTACCAGGTACTCGTAGTCTTGGTAGTTTTTGGAAAAGTAGGTCTCGATCAGGTGCTCAGTGCCGGTTAGCGCTTCGTGGCCACAGCCACAAAACAGGGCTACTCCCAAGAAACACAGGCCTGTGGCTACCAGGGAGGCAAAGGGGGCTCCCACCAGGCACCTGGCACAGCACTCTAATAAACCTGGGCAGAGAAGGGTGGGAGAGAGAGACTGCCCGTTAGTCCTGGCGGCTGCAGCAGCAGCAGCAGCTGACAAAATGTTCTGCCCTGTGCAGAGAAGAGAGAACTTTTAGAGGCTGCATCAAGTCAAGAAGCTGAGACTGGATCCAAATCTGTGGGGCAACCGATCCTGGATCAATCTGAACAGCAAGCACTGGGGCGGGGGGGGGGGGGGGGGGCAGACAGAGCAGAAGCTGCTTCCAGAGAAACTGCCCCAGTTTTACAAAAAGGGCCCGAAGGACCGTTTTTCGGTTTGCATCCGGCTTTCCTCCCAAGGGGCAGTCAAAGAGGCCGATAACATTTTTTTCAGAAAATCCAGCTGTGACATCAGTCAAGGGATACCAACTTCAGAAATTTAGCCAGAGAGCCACATTATCCCCATCACATATTTTGCTTCCTGGCCAGTCACTGGACTCCCCACCTTTTCCTGCAGGTGGGAGATCAAGAAAGAAGCAGGCAACCTCCCTTGGGAAAGAGCCACAGACTTTAGGACCAGGGGTCTGAGGGGGGGCAGCACCTTTACTGGCACCGTTTTGGCATGACCTCTTCTGGGACATGCATTTGTGCATAGGGCAGCTGATTATTTGGGGGATGTCCACTTTCAGATAATTTTCTTCTGGTTTCATCTGGTGTCAGGTATGTGTTTTAGTTTTCTTCCTTCCTCTGCTGGTCTTAAAAGTGACACTTGCTGAAAAAGGAGGAGTCCTTCAAGCAAAATTTGCTCTGGGATCAATGTCACCATTGTTTATTGTTCTTGGTGGGGGGGAAAGGGCAACACCTCTGGCTGTGAAGAACAGTTAGCAGGTTGCCTGACATTTAGCAAGATTTAAATCAAGTACTGACTTTTTCCCTGTCCGTCAAAGAAGTTGAATTTTGGATTGGTCAGAATCTGGAAACCTTGACATGTCTGTTTCATTTTAACTTTCTATCTGTTTGATGACGGCCTCTTCTAATGGCTCCAGGCAGCCCTGTGGATCCTTTACTCAGATGGTGCCCTCTTGGTCTTTCTAGCAGACACGGCTGCCTTTCAAGCTGAAACCAAGATGTGGCTTGACTCTTGGGGCGCTCGAGTGATTGGCCCATGCCTTGGAAGAGCTCCTGGGATCTACCTGAAGACATGAAACTCTGCATTTCCTCTGAATTGGATCACACTCTGCCCTCCCTCCGGCATTTTCACTGGCAGGGAGGAGCAATGCCTGAGCATTGGTGATGGACACAGGCCAAGGCCAGGACGGAGTTTTGCTCTCTGCCCTGGGCCAGAAACTGGCCTCAACTCCCAAAGAGCTGCTCTCGTCTGTCTGATGAAAGCTCGCTCAGAACTCCAAGCTCCATCTGGAAGAAGAAAACCTGGACTAGAGAAGCAGGACAGAGATCCTTGCCAGACTGCTGTTTGTGGGTTTCGGAGACCCCGATCTGGGCCAAAGAGCCAAGGAGAAGCATGTTGCTTTGGACTGGAGAGGGTTGAGGTTAAGAAGGGCAGATTGAGAGAAGGGGAGCTACCTGGAGACCTCGCCTGTGCAGCTGTATCCAGGTTGGGATTCTGAGGACCAGAAGGTGGTGGATGTGTTTGGCTCTGGGGTTTTGGCTCAGGCACTTCACTAATATTATCTATATTACAAAAAATACAACAGTAAACCTGAGAATCCTCTACACAAGGCAGAAGCCCACCCCACTCCAGTGGCAATTCTGTGGCGGCTGGGTTTCCACCATCAGACTGAGAAGAGAGCCGGTCCTCCCCCACTTGGCCATCTCTCCGCATCTGTCCCCCCCCCACTCCAGGCGCTTTCCCCATTCCCCCTCCCTCTCCTTCTCCACTCCCTCTTTGTCCCCGGGTGTTTTTCTCAGCCCTGAAGAATGAGCCCATCAGAAGCCGCTGGGGCCAAGGGGCAGCCTTGCAAGCTGTACTGATCTCTGGGTGGCACGGAGGAAGACAAGGGGGATTTGTTCTGCACACTCTTCTCTCTGCCTGGGCTGGGGAGGAAAGGGGGATCAGCAGAGAACAATGGGGCTCTCTTTTCTTTGCCCTTCTTTGGGACCAGCCTTCCCCCGTTCTCCTCAAATGGGGTGTGGAACAAGTGCCCGAGGCCTCAAGCCAGCAGGTTCCCCACTTGGGACCGGCATCTGATAGGCGCACTGCAGTCATGATCACCATCCTGCCGCCTGATAAGCCCAAGTGCCCTCATCCTTCTGCCTCTTCCCCCCCCCCACCTGTCCCACAAACGCCATGCGAGCAGGGCCCCATCTTCGCCCAGTGAACAAGGAGCCTCCAGCCGGATACCTAAGTCACTTCGTTCAGGGTTGTCCAGCTGAGCCTGCTCCTGCTGTCCTTTGGGAAAGGTGTGTTGGAAGCCTGAGCACCCATGGAAAAGTTGTGGACGGGGGCCTCCGCCTGTCCCTCCTTTGCCTACTGCACCTCTGCAGCCCCTGCAATGGAGATGATCTTCACACATGGGAGGAAGCTGTCTCTAGGCAATGCTTCCTCCTCCACCAGAGTTCCAAGAGGACAAGGAGGGACCCACCATGGCCTGAAGACAAGGCAGAATGCCCTGTTTGTTCTCTGGAGCTTATGGGAATCAGCCCGGTGGGTCTACGGAGGGGCTGACTGGGGAGTCCCCTTTGGGGCTTTGAGCCGTGAGCCGTATGCAAAGACGGGTGTCCTGCACCCACAGGGGGATTGTGACGGGAGGCTGGATGGAGTCCCCTTTGGGCACAGGAGAGGTCAGAGTGGCTCGACCATGTTCTGGCTCGGCTGACCTGCCTGGCGGCTTCTGCTTGGCCACTCTGGGGGGAGAACGTTGGGCTGCAGATGCTTCGGGGGTTTTGTTATTTTGTTCTTGCAGGCTAAACTCAATATCCAAGCAAAAAACTGGGTCTAATAAAATATGGAAGTAAAGGTGAAGGATTGTTCAACTCTGCTGGGTCTGCTTCCAGCATGAGATGGATGGTTGGATGGATGGATGGATGGATTGGTTGATTGACTGATTGATATCCTGCTTCATTATTTTTACAAATAACTCAAGACAGTGAGCCTACCTAACATACCTTCCTCCTCCTCCTCCTATTCCCCACCACAACTATCCTGTCAGATGGGTTGGGCTGAGGAAGAGGGACTGGCCCAATGTCCTGCTTTTAGTTAGGACTCATACTGGTCTAAGCATCTCTATGCTCTCTAACAGATTTTGGATAGGTTGGTGGCCCAGAGGGAGCCACAGCTGCAGCATGGCAGCCAAAAGGCCCTTCTCTGCCTCCCGGGGCTTTCTCTCTTGGCCCACCTCTTGCCTTCCACCAGCCTCAGGGGTAACCCACTAAGCTTACATAATGGCTTGGGCGGTGGGGGGGGGTTGGTGGAGAAGATGACAGAAAGAGGCTCTTGTGTGAACACAATCTCCAGCCTTGTTGTGGAGGGCAGAACAATGGACACAAGAAGACAAGCAGGATGAGCCTCCCCAAGGCTTGAGCTCAATACTCCCCCCCCCCACACGCATACACATAGGGCTGTGTTGAATCCAGAGGAGCTCTGGCTGGTACCAGCAGTGGGGAGAAGAGGCGTGGGTGCCATAGGGACAGAGATGGGTGGGGGGACAGCTTGGAGCTGCTTTTCCAAGGCTGTTTTGACAGAGGCCAAAAAAGACACCCTCAAAGTGTTTCAGGGAGGAGGAGGAGGGATGAGGGCTGGGTTGATGCCAATTCAGAGCTTTCTCCTAAATGTTGTGGGAAGGAAAGGAGGCATCTTTCAGCCTGCAGAGAATTGGTGCTGAGCTCACTCTGACCTTGGCTTCAGCAGGAGAGCGGAGTGGCCTAATGATCTCTCCGGTCCTCTTCTGGTCACCTTATGTCCTCTCACTGTCCAGAGACACAGTGGCAGGAAAGAGCACATGGCAGGAGCCCCTTCGGCCTAGCTTTACAGGCCCTCTTAGGATGGGAAGATGCCCAAAGGACCACTTTCCAGGTGCAGCCACCGCCTGGAGGGGTCTGCAGGGCCAGGCATTTCCACTAAGAGCCTGGGGAGCAATGGGAATTTCTGAGACCTCCAGCAGATCTTTGGCTAGGCAAGAGAAAGGCAAGGCGGCTGGAGCCACTCCACATGGGACTAAATCTTTCTGCCTGGGCAACCACCAGCCCAGGGTCACTGGGAGATTTGGTGAACCTGCACATCTGGCCACCTGCCACCCCAAGGACACTCACATGAGAAAAGGGCTGCTGAAAGGGCCTTGCCTCCCCCACCCTCTGTGAAATGGAGCGGAAGCTGCTATTCTGCAGCAGGGAAGTGGGGGGCCCTTTTGGCCGATCGGATGGAAGACTCCCCGGCCAGGAGCACTTTGTGCCTCCCTAGCCAGCTTTCCCCCCCCCCCAGAGGAGTGTGTGGCCCTCAAATGGAAGTCCCTGCACTTCAGGAAAGTGAACAAGCCTTCTGATATTTGCAGATAGGGGGTTTATCATGACTTAAATTGGGGTGGAAGCCGTTCCAAGAATGTGTTTGGACAGCAAGGTGTAAAATAAATAAATAAATAAATAAATAAATAAATAGTAATTAAAACAAAACCCCAGAAAACAATTCAAATGGAGGTGTTTACAATGAAGTAGAAAAGGTGCAGCGTAATGAAGCCAGAAGGAGCACTTGGGGGGGGGGCATGTTCAGCTCATCCCGTACCCTCAGCACCACCACCCCCAAAAAAATTCTGCCTGCAGCCTGCACACAAGGACGTCTCTTTCTAAGTGAGCCCATTGCAGCCCTGTTTAGGCTCAGCTGAGCAGGCAGGCACAGCCGCTGCAGAAGAGCCCTTGGCTGGCCCACCCACCCAGATACCAGGCTGGCTCTACGCAGCTGAATTAGATACTCAGCTGCGTGGCCCCATCTGATCAGAGACGCTCCGATTTGGAAGGAAGTTTAAAGTCATCTGGTCAACTCCCTGCTCTGTGGAAAATCCACTCTGAGAGAAAGCATTGCTGTGAGTGGCCTTGATCCTAGACTGCAGAATGGGTCCAATGAGCCCCTCCTGTTCTGCTGATGGAGGAGATGATCTAACCTTGTAAAGTATTCCAGACCTACAGAGGGCACCTGCAATCTTTGCTTCTTATTTCTTCTCCTTCTGGGGCACATGCTTGGCTTACTTTTAAGGGATGGGAAAAATACTGGGGGAGGGAGGAGGAAAGAGTCTGTGCAGGAAGGAAACGGGGGTATGAAATGCTAGGAGCAGGTAAACCGTCTGCAGGAGCAGGGCAAGCATAAGGATCACTCCTCGCCTTCTGAGGGGGGTTGTACATGGGGGGGGTGCTCTCTTCTTGTTCAGAAAAATGTAATTTTATGTGTCCATTTTATTTTTACAGCCATATATTCATGATTTAATATTGTACTGATGTTGGCTGTTTTGTTTTACATCTTGGCACACATCAGGCAGCCTGGCAGGGGTGGGAGGAGAGCTAAGCATCCCTGTGCAACTTGGGAATTGCTGGCAGGGGTGGACGGAGACTAAGAAGCTGCACCCTCTGAACATGGGAAAAGCAGAAGCCAGGAGCTGCTAAGAGCTCCTGGGTGTCCTGAGAGGCCTGGAAGATGCTTGAGCTGCCAGCTGCCTCTCGAGTGGGGGGCATCGTGGGGCTGCTGCTCTGGCCAAGGAATCCCGACTCAGAGACCCTGCAAGAGCAATAAGGATGTCAACAAATTCAGCCAGACTGCATGGAAGGGGCTGAGAAGAAAGGCCTGACGGGGGTTAATAGGGATGCCCATTCCGGCAGGAGGAGGAGGATGGCGATGAAGATGCCTAAGTTTAGTCTGCTATCCCTACAGAAAGAACTCCTGTCTGGCACAGCATGACAACCTCCTTCTATGAGCTCTAAGAATAAAAAGACCCACAAAGCTTAACTACCCATCCATATCTTCCCCGGTTTCCCTTCCCTTCCCTTTCCTCATCCAGAACCCTCTCCCTGCCTCCTGCTTGCCCCCCATTCTGCAGCTTCAGCTGAGAACTTGGCCTCCCTGAGAGCAACTCACTCGGACTCTTACCTTCCCTCAATTGCAGTGCACCCAGACCTCCAAAGAGATTTTTGACACCGTCTCAAAGACCCCCTTCCTGGAAAGGGATCAGGTTCAAACTAGAGGACTACGCAGGAGGGAATGCTGAGCCTGGATGGAGATTCGGGAGACACTTCCTAAATAGTTTGCCAGTCACTGCCACGTCTTGGGTGCTAAAATGTCAGTTTTAAATTTTAAGTAAATTAAAAATCCCAAGTGTCCAAAAGAAAGGGCATTAAAAATCCCTTCAGCCCTGCACGGTTTTTAAATGGCAATACGGTGATAATAGCCCAGCTTCTTAATTGTAAGTTCTCCCTAACGGAGAAGGATTAGAGGCTTCCTTGGATTTGCCAACTTACCCATGGTTTCAGGATGCAAGTCACGGTACCTTTGGTCTTTTCCCGCCTTTGCTCAGCTAGAAGAACCCTTCGTGGTGTCCCGTTGCCTTCTCTCCTTCCTTCCCTCTGGTGACTGTCCTGTGCACCAGCAAAGAAAAGGGCTCTTGGGTTGACAGCCAGCCCCCTTAAAGAGCCAGCCCCCCTTCATCCGCTCCACCCCTTGGACTCTCCCCTCTCTCTTAACCCTCCTTTGGACAGTGAGCGTGTGCATTTCTTAGTATGGCACAAGCCAGTTTGCTCTTTGTGTGCTTCCAACAGCCTTGGGGGCTACTCTTTGTGATATGCCTTTGGCCACCGTAGGAACAGAAAGGGCAGCCAGATCCAGCTTTGGGCTCTTCTGGTGCTCCCCACAAACATTTGGGGTGGGGGTGGGGATTGTAAACTCTGATAACTGTGCTTCACTTTGGTCTTTCTATGGCTAATCTTTTTCTGGCAGCATCTCTCCATGTTTCCAGTCTTCCCTGTAGAAACCACCAAGGTTTGGAGGCGCAGGACCTGCACTGCCAAATGAGCAGTGGTGAAATCTAATTTTTTTTTTACTATCAGTTCTGTAGACGTGGCTTGGTGGGCATGGCAGAAGGATGCTTCAAAATCTCCATTCCCACCCCACTCTGGGGCCAGCCAGAGGAGGTATTTGCCGGTTCTCCGAACTGCTCAAAATTTCTGCTACCAGTTCTCCAGAACCTGTCAGAAGCTGCTGGATTTCACCCCTGCAAATGAACCTCTTGGATGACAGGCAAAGGCTCGACAGGCCAGGACTTCAGCCCCAGAGAGGACTTTGGGCGTTGAAGGCCATTCAGGAGTCCCCATCTCCAGTGGCATTCAGAGATTCCAGTCTGTCTTCTGTTTGCAGTTAGCCCATACCAAGTAAATCTAGTAAAGTGAAGGGAGCAAAACAAATGAGGGAAAGTGCAAAAGGAAAGTTGCTTTGGAAGCAGTTAAGGCAGGGATGTAGAGCTGGCATGAAGCCAGGTGGGTGACCCGGAAATAAATACCCGCCCCCAAGCAAGCAAAGGTGGCCACTTCCGAATATCTCACTGGGACAAGCCAGTAAATTTTAACTTTTTGAGTTAACTTTAAAGATTTTAAAAAAACCTCCTTTGAAATGCCAGCAGTTTATGCTAAGACATCAGCTAATGGGGAACGTCGGTCCAAAAGTTTCTTCCAAAGACGGGGGCCCTCGACCCTTCCAAGACTGCTAGGATCTCCCGGGTGGCGCATTTCCCGAGACTAACCCTGGCCTTTCGGGGGCGGGAGCGGTTCTATGGGAAGGTCCCGCCTTGGCTGAGAACGGGGGCTGTCAAGAATTCGAGCCAGCAAAGACATGATCAGGGGTCGGAACAGCCGTCCACGCCAAAGCGGACTGTCCTGGGGATGGGAGAAGTAGATCCGGGCTACGCTTATCCAGACGACCGTTATGGGGCAGCTGGACTTTAGCTGCCTTCCGTCCTCATTCCTTCTCCTCCCGGATTAACAACGTCTCCGGTTGCAATACTTGCTCCAAGGGGAGCCCGCGGGGCGGAATGGGGGGCATGATGCTGCCGCCCTCTTTGCCTCCCCCTCCCTGCCTTCCGCCCTTGCTCCCCAGAGTTCTCGAGCCCAGCGCGTCCGTTTGCTCTCCAGGGGCCTCTGGTTGCCTCTGGAGGAAAACCTGCCCACCCCGGCGCTATCCCTAGTTTATCCCGGCGACCCTCTCTGGGGTCGGGGTCGGGCGCAAGCACTTCGGATTTCCGACCTGCGACCGGCAGGGGGCAGCAGCAGCCGTCGCGCAGAACCAGCTACTGTTTTAGGGCATCGCCGGTGCTGCTGCTCCAGGGACTCCTGTGTTCTGGCGTCCATTCTTGGGGGTAGAAAGTCTGAGGCAGGGGTGAAATCCAGCAGGTTCTGACAGGTTCTGGAGAACCGATAGCGGAAATTTTGAGTAGTTCGGGGAACTGGCAAATACCACCTCTGGCTGGCCCCAGGAGTGGGGTGGGAATAGAGATTTTACAATATCCTTCCCCCAGGAGTGGGGTGGGAATGGGGATTTTGCAATATCCTTCCCCCAGGAGTGGGGTGGGAATGGGGATTTTGCAATATCCTTCTCTCAGGAGTGGGATGGGAATGGGGATTTTGCAGTATCTTTCCCCTACCATGCCCACCAAGCCACAGAACCAGTAGTAAAAAATTTTTGGATTTCACCACTGGTCTGAAGGATCTTTGACGAGGAGCTTCCTTCTGCAATCTAGCTGTCTCCATGTACACACATGGAGGGGAGGGAGGGAGAAGCAAGCAGCCCCCTCCCCACTCTGCCCTAAGGCATTGGATGCACAGGCTGGCATCCTTCCTTGACTCCCATGCTTTTTCTCCATAGAAAGAGAGCTCCAGCTATAATTGCCCCCTCTCATCAGTGCCCCCCCTAATGTTGCTGGGGTCTGAACTAAGGGCCATCCACAGTGAAGCCTGCTGCTGACCTTCCCAGGACACTCTGATTCAGCAGGCAGGCAACATCCCCTCTCCTCCCTCCCTCCCTGGAGCGGAAGGAACCCCATCCTGCATGCATGTGCCCACCCTGGAAAGGAAGACCAAAGACCCTCTGCACTAAGTGTGGCTCTGTGTGCTAACTCCTCTCTCTCTTCCCTTCCATCCTTGGAGGGAGACCAAGCCATAATGGGGGGGGGAGGCAGCTGCGTATGAGGCACCAATTAATTCAAGACACATTGCAGAAACAGCTGATGAGAAGACATCGGTCACAGGCACTGGAGACCTTGGATGGCAGGCAGGACTGCTGAGAGCAGAGCTCTCTGCCCAAAGCCACCCAGCGAAACACCATTAGGAAGCAGAGGCAATAGGGCTGCTCCCACTCTTGCTTGGGGGGGGGAGCGTCAAGGCTCACTATTTGCCCCATAATGGGAGGTGCTCTTCCCGAGTCCAGAATATTAAAGGGAGACCAGTTGCCCCCTCCCCCCTCCCCAGCTGCTGCAAAGCCGCTCTGAGCCCCATAAGGGCCCAGTCAGTCCCACGGCTGCTTCTGGCTGGTGGTCTTGAAGCTCCAGGCTCATTTGCACTGCTTATCTCTGGACCCAGGCTCACCCTCGGAGTGGCCATTGTTGGAGGAGGGGGAGGAGGAGGACTGCTTGGCCTCTACCACTACAGCTAAGAATGATTCTTGCCTAAAATCCAGGCAGCTGCTACCAGCACACCAGATGTACCAAAAGTCACTCTGGTCTCTTCCTGAGCAACAGAAAATGGGGGCAGTTTGTGAGCCAGTGGAAGGAGGAGGATGCTTGAGGGAGTAGCACATTTACACCTTGAGCAGGGCTCCGCCCCCCCCCCACATGCTCCTCTTCTGCACCTGTCTGAATGGAGAAGGAAGACCTGGTTGTCTTTTTAATTGAAGGCATCTGTCACAGCCATCTATTTAATAAGCAAAGCTGAGCTTGGTGAACAGTGGAATGGTGGGGGGGGGAGGAGGAGGGAGGAATGGGTTGTTAGGTTGCCCTCCTTTTCCTCTTGACTCCAGATGGCATAAAAATTACACACACACACACAAACACACCCTTTTTCAATTGCTTCCTCCATGGGCCTGGACACATTTGGCAGAAATAAAATGAGAAAGGGAAATGAGAAAGACAAGACTTATTTCAACAGCAGCCATGGAAATTCTCATCTCTTCTTGGTTCCTCCATCCTTGGGGCTTACGAATTGCCATGGCAACTAGGAGGCCTTCAGCCTCCCACTGCCAAGCAGCCTTGAGAGGCAACTTCACTGCTGGTGTGAAACTTAAAATAGAGGGAGGGAAGAAGGGGCAGAGAGACCAGGGCTCCCTCCATGACAAGAGGGCTCCACAGCACCCTGGACAGCAGATCTTCCTCCACTCCCTCCAGTCCTTTGCTTACAATCAGTTATAACTGATTGTATCGATTTGGTGACCCAGTTACAGTGGCTGGATCCACATAACATCTGAAACTAAAATAAGGTTGCATAATTTGTAACTCCTTTTCTTGTATGAACCCGGACAAGGAAGCAGTGATTCAGTTAATAGCTATTAGCATGCTGAGCTGCCTGTGTTCCATTTCCCTTCCCCAGCCAGGACCCATGTGGCTTTCAGCAAACACAGGATTCAAAATTAAAACTCTGGCATGGGAAGATCGTTTCAGGGAAGAGCCATGGTGTCTGAGAGGACAGTCTGGCATCACGGAGATCCTAATTCTCCAGTCAGATCTTGGGCCAGCGTGAAAAAGTCTCCCATCTGAAGGCTGAAAGAACCTCTCTTCTGCCAGGACACAGGGAGGAATGGAGCGCTGTCTCTAATGCCAGCCCTCCATCCTTCTGAGATCTGAAGGGAGCTTGCCCACTCCTCGTTCAAAGAGCAAGCATGTCATAAACTCAAGCCAGGAGGGGAGCTCCCTGGTTGGTGCCTCTGCAATCAAGGCAGTGGCCACCTCGGGCAGAAGCCAGCAAGAGGACTCAGCCAGAACGGTGGACATGGAGTTCCTTGAATCCCGAGGGTGTCAAAGCAGGAAGACTCCTCTAGCAATCAGCCAGCCGCTCTCCTTTGGGGCTCTGAAGCTTGGAAAGTTCAGCCTGGAAAAGTGAAGATGCAGCAGAATCCTCCCAGAGTCAGCAGAACAGGAGAAAGTTGCTCTTTGCGGCCAAAGATGTCCCTTTCTCCTCTGGACAACGGCCTCTAGGCCAGAGGTGGTGGCCCAGGCAGACCTTTCCAAGCATCCCTCTGGCTTCTCCCGCTCGCTCGGTTTGCTGCCTCCTCCAGTTCCCAAGCTTTTTCTCTCATGGCTTTGCGTTCCTTGGTCTCCTGTCCAAGTGAGAAAATCCCAAGGCAGAAGATAGAAGAAGGCCAAGTCGGGTCACATTTGCCTGGACTGTAGATGAGCACTAATGGGCTTACCTGCTCCCTGTACAGAGCAGGGCTGATCATTTGATAATCACTAATCACTGTTAGAAGAAGGCAGGAATGTCCATGGAGATTCTCAGTCATGCAGGTCATGGGTGCCCCAAAAGTGCTTTTTTCAAAACTTCCTGCTTTTTCTTTGAAGACGTTTAGCTTCTCATCCAAGAAGCTTCTTCAGTTCCTCCATTCCCCACCATCCAGTCAGAGCTGGAAAAGTTTCTTAGACGAGAAGTGAAACGTCTTCAAAGAAAAACCAGAAGGACTTGAAAAAAGCACTTTTGGGACAGGAAGGCAGGAAGCAGCTGAGGCTTAACGGAGATGCTTAGGAGAGCCTCCAGACTCCTGGTCATGCCAAAGACAGATATCAGGTCCTCCTTCTCGACCAGCTTAATTTCCTCACTTCAGTGAAAACACCAAAGGTCCATTCCATCTCTATAGGGCAGCAAGGAGAGGCTATGGGGTGGAATGGAAGATTCAGAGAAGTTCCAGCAAAGTTCCACATAGGCCGAAGCATCTGCAGCTTCATGTCTTTGAGCGCAGCTGCTTCCCACTTGGCTCAGGCCTTGACTGTTTCTGGCTCATTGGAGCCTGCAGGCAATTCCCACTGAAGCCACCCGAGTATTTTTAGCTCCAAACAGAAAGAGCAAAAGTGTCCTCATGTTGGCCAAGATCACCTCTCCAAACTGGGATTTTAAGACCCAAAGGTCCTTTTTCAAGAGGCAACTGGACTTTCTTGGAAGACATTTTGCTTCTCATCCAAGAAGCTTCTTCAGTTCTGAGAAGAGAAGAAGAACATCTTCAAGGAAAAACAAAGTCCAGTTGCCTCTTGAAAAAGCACTTTTGTGGTAACCATGGCCTGAATGACTGAGATTCTCCATAGACTTAGTGGTGCTTTCAAGACCTCTCCTCACGTGGCCAGAGCACCATTGGGATGGTGTTGAGCTCCAAGCTCAACACCAAGGTAATCTTGCAGAAATGCAATGGCAGGTGTGTGATTCCCCCCATGGGTTTTCCATGTGCCTCGTCAGCAGAGCCCTGTGCGGGCTGCCTGGTTTGTGCTTGCAGACCAAAGACCAATGTGATGGCAGAAGCTGTGAAAAGAGGCAAATGGAGCCGCTGGTAGTGGCCAGAGAATCTTGGGACAATGTCCAGCCTTACCTTTGCAACCCAGCAGACTCCCAAAGGGGGCTTGCTCTGAGAAGAAACACGATCCCATTCTGCCTCTTCTGGGGAGGGGGTGTTCAGTGCAGCCACAGGCTTCCCCCAATGACCAAATTCCAGTTGCTCTTTTGAATGGAAAAGGGTGTGCAGGGAGAGATTTCCACTGTGGAAGGATTGCCCAGCAGGAAGAGGCAAAAGCTTTGGAGCCACACCGTTTGCGGCTGCCTTCCTGAGTCAAACAGCTCATGGTGGCTCATGGCGCTGGCCCAGACTCTCTTAATGGGTAGGGGCATGCAGTCTGTAGCTGGGTAGCACTGAGCAAGGAGTATGCCTGACCTGTGCTGGTTACTCAGGGCCTTTAGTGTCTTTGGCTGTGTTGTGGTCCGCCAGCAGCTGCAGAGCTGGCAGCGGAGTCGGACAGTGAGGAGGCTGGGGAGGACAATGGGCCAGTCCTGGAGGCTGGGGAAGGCTCGGATGAGGGCTCTGCGTTGGAGGCAGAGATGAGGCCAGGGCCATCTGGGAGCGATGTGCAGACTCCGGAGTCTCCAGAGGCGGATAGCAGAGAGGCAGAGGAACAGGAGGAGCCAGCTCCTAGTGCACGCATGCGAAGAACTGCCAGAAGGCAAGAGCAGCTAAAGCAAAAAGGATGACTTGGGAGTAAAGCCAGGATATGATTGGCCCCTCCCAGGAGGCTTAAAAGAGCAGCAACGAACATTGTTACATTTGTTTCTTGTAGGCATTTCTTGCTTCTGAACTTTTGCCAAGAAAAGCCTTTGGCAGGGTGCCAAAGGAGACAAAGGTTGGTGATAAGGCCGAAGGACTGTTTATGAAGAATTTGTTTTGGACTTAATTTGGACTAAGCTGAGAATGAAGTAATTCTCAGTTGTTCTAATAAAATATGTTTGTTTAGGACTGATTGTGTCTGGTAATAACTACTTGGGCCTTGGTCACAACAGACTGGCACTGAAGGAACTGGAGGAGAGCTTGAGCATCGCCCTGTGGTAAACCGGACGGTCTTTGTCCTGCTCAGGTGGCACACATGGTGGCCTCTTCTGCTTCGGGACTGTGCCCCATCTTTCTGAATAAAAGAGCTTTTCCCCCACAGCCTTGGCTAGCAGGAAGGAAATGGTGGAAGCCTTCACACGTGGACAGAGCATCTCTGTCTCCTCCATCCTACCAATCATAGTGATTTCATGTCCAGATAGCCATAATGAAACCTTTCTGAGAAATCCAATGTCTGAGCATTTTTAATCCAATTTTCTTCAATGTGATAACTTCCTTTTCCAGTGAAATAAAGATGCTGGGGTCCCAGGACAAGTGGCGCTTCCACCAGCAGCTCACTTCCAGGAATGTCCACCTGCTAAAGGATGCTGGAGTCCCCCTGAAGCCCTCGAAAGGTATGAGAGCATGCAGGGTCAGTAGGTGCGCCCCATAGCTCCCCGTGGCTGGAGGCCAGTGCGTGGTGGAGCAGAGGGGTGCATTCATGCCTTCTTTGGCCCATTTTTCAACCATGCGGTGCAGCCAAAGAGAAGCGGCTCATGTTGCTTTTCCCCAGAGCAAGCCAAGGAGCAAAGGCAGGGCATTGCAGGTGCCACTGGGCAGTTGTCCCATTTCTCTTTGCCCGGCTTTAAGCATTTCTTCTACTAAACTGCAAGGCTGGAAGGGCAGAGAGGGGCACAGATCTGCAGGTGGCCCACTGGCATTGTCACCTTGAGCTGGAGTTGCTGGTCCACCTCCCAAATGACAAATGATTGTCCTGCTATCATGTGCTAATTTTAGCCTTGCAGTGGGAACAAACAGCACTGCAATCTTTTTTGGAATTCACCTGAACTGCTGCAAATGCTCCTGTCTTTCTTCAGAGTCCCCTGTGGTTTGGGAGTGATTTTCTCTTATTACTTCTTCCCTCCCTGGAGAACTGAAAGATTAGGAGGGCGTGCTGAACTGAACTGAAAGATTAGAGGGTCCGGGGGAGGGAGGGGAGTGTTGAATTCCAAGCAGATAGTTGTGCTTTTTGCCATCCCAGCCCTAGCCATTCCCAAGGGCCCAGTCACCACCTGCCCACTGAGCAGGATGGGGAAGTCTGTCCTTCCTTTGTTTTCGCTAAAGGCGTTTCTGCAGATCTTAAGCAGGGATGGGGCTGTTAACCTCAAGACTATCTCAGAAAGTTGCCTTGCACTTCTCTTCCTAGGGGGATCCTCTCTGAAGGTGGGTCTGACTCGCTTCTCCCGCCACAGTTTAGAAAGGCCGTTGCACCTTCACACATTTGCTGCGTCACAATACCCTTATAGCATGCAGAATTAGCCAATGTTTCGGCACAATAATTTTAATCTGCCAAAGCACTGGCCCACCCATGCAAAAGGCTAAACCGGGGGTCAGCAATCTGTGGCTCCGGAGCCACATGTGGCTCTTTGGGACCTCTGCTGTGGCTCCCTGTCGGGTTATCCCACCACTGGCTGCCCCGCCCCTCACCCTCCCCTCCCCTTCCAGTCACTCCTGAGAAGGTAAGGGCAACGACAGGGGAGGGAGAAGCGGCTGGGGCAGAGACAAAGATACAGAAAGAGGGGAGACAGAAAGAGACAGAGAGAGATACGTGGTGGGGGAGGGGGGAGAGAGATCAAAAGGGTTTTGTGGTTCCCGGTGTATCGATTCTCTGCCCTAATGACCGGCTGGGTAGGTGTGGCTAGGGGGGGTGTCAGGTGACTGGTGGATGTGAGTGACGTTGAGTTGGCCATGCCCACCCAGGTTTTGTGGCTCCCGGTGTTTTCTTTTCTGTGGGAAATGGGTCCAAATGGCTCTGAGTGTTTAAGGTTGCAGACCCCTGGGCTAAACCATCCCAAAACGAAACAGGCTGAAAATCAGCTCCCTTCAGATATCTGGAATATGCCGTGCTATTATATTTTGAAAGCGTCTGGAAGCGGAAACCTCTGAAAATTTTACTCCCCAGGAGTGACAAGGCAGAGTCTTCTAGCTTTGTATGTTAGTATTTCTCTTTGTTTCAATTACAGACTTCAAGCTGAGCAGTATATAATCTGAAGGAGCCAATGCGTAATGGGTGAACACAGCACTACATCAGAAAGCGATCTAGTGAAGGAAGTAGCGGACTCGGTTTTGGCAGTGAAAAGGGAACCCGGCCACTGCTCAGACGGTCCGTCCACCATGGGGTCAAAAGAAACGTGTGGAAAGCCCGTGGAAAGGGAGGAAAAGCCTTCCAGCCCGGTCTAGTCAAGAAAGTCTTCCATTCGCTCCGCGGAGGACGCTTGGGCTCCTTCGTCAGGCGAGAGCCCGGGGATCCCGCACTCGTCCTGGGAGATGAACCAAGAGCTTCGCCACAGCCTCGCTGGTATCCCGCAAATGCGCCTTCCTTGTCTTCCGGGCGGAAAGGAGGCGGGCGCCCAAACTGCGGGGGGCTTCGGGAAGCTTTGCCCTCGATCCCCTTCGGGCCGGGCAAGAAGGGGCGCTCTGGAATTGCCCCTGCTCCTTGGCTTGCCGTCGGCGCCGTCGAGGCTGAGCCCCGCAAAGAAGCCAGGAGTCGGCTCCCGGAAGGAGGCTGCAAGACCTGCAGACAAGCGTCGACCGTCGGGGCTGTCCTTCGCGTGGGTGGGCAGCGCCCTCCCCGCTGGAGGCGGGGAGAAGTGAGCCAAGCGTCTCGGGCTCTGGCAAGGCCGATTTGGCCGAAGTCCGGACGCCTCGGTTCGGCACTGTTGCTGCCGCCGCCGCCGCCGCCTAACCCTGCGCGGCAGAATAGCAGCAGGACATGCCCGCACGTCTCCCCGGACTGGAGAGCCCCGCGAGCCCCCGGATTCGCAGCCCCGTGAATCTCGCCGTCCACCCGCTTCGACCTCAGACCCTTTGGCTTCATGAGGATGCCCCGGGCCCACGGGGTGAGATTACCACTCCTGTTCCTGCAGGGCGCTCTCCTCGGGTGAGTGGAGATGGGGGGTGGGGGTTTCCTGTCTCGGCCGGGGGGCGGGTTTCTTGGAGGTCAGACTGGGATGCTGCACGTGCGTCGCGGGCTTTCCTTCCTGAGGCTGGGACCGGTTAAGTCTCCTCCTCGCCCAAGCCTTCGCCTTTCTTTCCCCGAGCAACCGGGAAGTTCCGATGTACTCGCAGGGAAAGCCCGCGCGCGGCGGGGTCCGACTCACTCTGGAGCTGCCCCGCAACGGCGCAGAAGAGTTTCCCGAGGCGAAGGAGCCGTTCCGAAAGAGGGGGGGACTGCCCGACCTAGGAAGCGGCTTTCCTCTCCTCGGCTGTTTTTCCCGGGGCACCTTCGCCCTCCCCTCCCGGCTTCGCGCCTGGCCGTGAACGTTGGTGGCCTTTGCTCTTAAATTGGTTTCTTGCTTTTCTTCAGAAAGTGCCATTTGATGAAACAGGCTGTGCGCGGTTCACGTGAGCCTTTTTTCCAGGTTGAATTGATGAATGGGCGCCAAGGTTTGGCCCCCAAAGAGTGAGGAGCCGCCATCCTTTTCTAGCCCACACAAGCTCCAGGGGTGCCCACTTTCAGCTTTCAGCTTCTGTGGGCGAGAGCTCCTTAGGGCCACCTGGACTCTGACCCAGCTGGGTTTGCTGGGTTCTGGGAAGATCTGTGACTTTTATATTTGGGGTTCCCCTCAGAATTTCCAGATAGTCTTTGCTCCTCTTTCCAGGGCTGCTCTTGTTTTTGGAAAACTTTTCGACTGTTTCCCTGGTCTTTGTATTTTAATAGGCAACATTTTCTTTTCAGAGGTTAAAGTAAATTGTCCAGGAGCAAGTTAGTCTTACAAGAAATGTCTTAGGTCTCCTAAAACTGCTAGGAGAAAACCAAATAAGAATTTATGGATGGCTGCAGGTGGGGGGGGGAGGGTTGGGTTGGGGGGGAGAGAAAAATGGCATGTGCACTTTCTTCGTCTCAGAGGCTGAGGATAGATCTGTATGTAAAATGGACCTGGGGGAGCTTTGAGGTGCTCCTTTGCCTGGGTAATGGGGTGAAGGAAGACATGACATCCCTGCAACTCCATAGGGAAAAGGGGGCTCCTTGGGCTGTGAAGAGCTCCATCGATGCCATGTAAGCTTTTCAAGGGCCTTGTGGAATGGCAAAAGAGTGTCAGGACTGCAGCTCTTGGGGCAACAGAAGAAAGCTGACACAATTTCATTGGCAGTCTTGATTGGTTTCTGCAGTCTGTTGAGTGGCAGTTTGGTTGAAGTGTTTTGACTAGCCAAGCTCTGCCCTCTGAATTCTGGGCAAGTTTCTTGAGAGGGAATCTTGTCGTTGTTTCTCCATGAAGGCCGAAACGAGTGTTTCCATGCCACACAGATGCTGGGCCCTGTGGTGAGCAGCCCACAAGGCATCACCCCATGGTCCAGGATCCTCCTCACCTGCTTTTTGGCACGCCATCATTTATTTGCTCCGCTCAGGCCAAATGATTCCACAATCAAATGTAGTGCCGTCTTGGGGTCAGTATTTATGACCCCAAATCAATGATGAAATCCACATTTTTTTACTACCGGTTCTGTGGGCATGGCTTGGTGGGCATGGCAGGGGAAGGATATTGCAAAATCTCCATTCCCACCCCACTCCAGGGGAAGGATACTGCAAAATCCCCATTTCCTCTCCATTCCTGGGAGAAGGATACTGCAAAATCTCCATTCCCACCCCACTCTGGGGCCAGCCAGAGGTGTTATTTGCTGGTTCTCTGAACTGCTCAAAATTTCCGCTACCGGTTCTCCAGAACCTGTCAGAACCTGCTGAATTTCATTCCTGCCCCAAATCCTCAGCTCTGGGGGAATGGGACAGGGAAGAAATGTTGTATCTGTACCTGCTCCCCATCTGGGGTTGTTTCCTAGCAGGTGATCTCTACTGAAAACCAACATCCCTCCTTGTGCTGCAGAAGGAGAAGGCCACCCCAACTGGGACTTAACGTTCTAGATTTGCATGACACTCTAAAATACATTAACCAGGTCACAGGTGGCTTTCTGTTTGGTGTGTGTCCCATGAAGAAGGTGTGTGCATGTGGAACAACTGTCAGACTGACACCTGCTCTATTCTCTTCCCCACCACCCCCAGATTTGTGGCCGGGAAAGAAGTCAAATCGGCCATGCAGAGCCTCCCCCAGCCAATGTCTCCCTCCGATTTCCTAGACAAGCTGATGGGCCGGAGGTCGGGCTACGATGCTCGGATTAGGCCCAACTTCAAAGGTAATGTATGAGCTGCTGCAAGACAACCTGGATCCCTCTGGGCAGCAGTGAAATGAGACCCTGCCCTGAGACAGAGAGATCTTTCCCACCCCCTCTTCAGCCTGTGAAGGGCTTGCAGCACCTAGAAGCAGCTTCCCAAGAGCTGGCAGGGCCAGTGGCGCCTCAGTTGAGGGTGAAGCTTCCTGGCTGTCCTGCTTCCCTCTGAAAAGGGAGAGAGAGGCTGGGTTGCTGCAGAAAGCACCTTCCAGGGAAGCTCCCCAGGCTCCTCCTGGAGGGAAGCACCCTTTCCAAGAGCCGCTCAGCCTTTGTGCCACCTTCCTGTTTTCCTTCACCTCTTAACAAAGATGCTCCAAAAACATGATGACCCAGGAATGGAAGAGCGGTCCCACCATTGCAACCCTCCTCCTCCCTGGGATCAACTGGAGAGGATGCTGGGGGTGGCTGAGAAGGTAGTTGTGCTTCATAGTGTGGTTGTGGGTCAACTGCTTGGCAAGTAGAAGGCTCTGTGCTTTGTTCTTGTTGACTCACCCGAGAGGAAGGTCCCAGGGAGCTGCCGCACACCTTTGCCTGAGATCTTGAGGAGACATAGATATGAAGGTGTTTATGTGACAGACTTATGAGGGGCAGGAGTCTCTGCATTCAGAAGACCACCAGCCTGATTTTCCATCAAACTGTTTTATGGGTTCTCCACTTCAAGAAAATCACATTAAAAAAGGCAACACAGGGGAAATGTAATCAGGGTGTAGGAAACATGGATGACATTGTGAAATTGGACAGAGAGAAGTTGGTTTTCTCAATCACTGAAAATTAGAACTGGGAAACACACACACACACCCTTATAAGCTGAATGGGAGCAGATGTATGGCAGATCAAAAGAGAGCATTTGTTCCTTCAATACATCATGGAGCTGTGAAATTTATTTCCACAAAATGGGGTGATGGCCATTGACTTCATACGGGGGATAAATTAACAGATGGCTGTTGAAAGAGATTGGGTGAATTCATGGAGGACAGGACTGCTCTACTGGAAGCTCTTGCTTTTGAAGACCTCATGTCCAGTCTGGGTTGGGGAGCTGAGATTACAACTGCAAGGGTGGCGAATGTCTTCTGCTTGGAAAAGCCATTTGCTTCTTCCCTGGACTGTGACGGTCCTTGATCTGATCCAGCCAAATGGTTCTTACATTCTTATCTGAGTGGGACCCATCATCAGACTTCAGTAGCTTTATAACATGCCAGCCATGAGTCCTCTTTTTTTTTTTTTTTTTTTTTTTTATTATTAGATTTCTATACCGCCCTACTCCCGAAGGACTCAGGGCGGTGCACAGCCAAACAATAAAAACACATACAATACAAAATTTAAAAAATAGAATAAAATCAAATTAAATAATTTTGGCCCCGACAAATTTAAAACCCCAAACTTTTAAAACCAATTTAAAATTGAATATATAAATACTAAAAAATATTTAAAATTTTAAAAATCTTTTATAAAAGAGGGGGAAAATTAGGCCAGGCCGGCCTGGTGAAATAGTAAGGTCTTTAAGGCGCGGCGGAAGGTGCGCAGATCCGGGATCCTCCGTATCTCTGGGGGGAGCTCGTTCCAGATAGTAGGTGCCCCCACAGAGAAGGCTCTCCCCCTGGGGGCCGCCAGTCGGCATTGTTTGGCTGACGGCACCCGGAGGAGCCCCTCTCTATGGGAGCGTACCGGCCGGTGGGAGGCTATTGGTGGTAGTAGGCGGTCCCGCAAGTACCCGGGTCCTAAGCCATGGAGCGCTTTAAAGGTGGTAACCAAAACCTTGAAGCGCACCCGGAAGACCACCGGGAGCCAGTGCAGCTCGCGCAGGAGAGGTGTTACATGGGAACGCCATGTCGCTCCCATTACCACCCGCGCGGCCGCACTCTGCGCCAGTTGGAGCCTCCGGGTGCTCCTCAAGGGGAGCCCCATGTAGAGAGCGTTGCAATAGTCCAGGCGGGAGGTGACAAGGGCATGAGTGACCGTGCATAAAGAGTCCCGATCCAGAAAGGGACGCAACTGGCGAATCAGGCGAACCTGATGAAAAATCCTCCCGGTCACGGCCGTCAAGTGCTCTTCTAAAGACAGCCGTGAGTCCAGGAGGACGCCCAAGTTGCGAGCCCTCTCCGTGGGGGCCAATGATTCGCCCCCAATAGTCAGTGATGGCGTCAACTGACTATATCGGGACGTCGGAAACCACAGCCACTCTGTCTTGGATGGGTTGAGCCTGAGCCTGTTCCTCCCCATCCAGATCCGTACGGCCTCCAGGCACCGGGACATCACTTCAAGGGCATCGTTGGGGTGATCCGGGGTGGAGATGTACAGCTGGGTGTCGTCAGCGTACTGATGGTACTCCACCCCGAAACCACGGATGATCTCGCCCAGCGGCTTCACATAAATGTTGAACAGGAGAGGCGAGAGGACCGACCCTTGCGGCACCCCACATATGAGGGGCCTCGGGGTCGACCTCTGTCCCCCTGTCAACACAGACTGCGACCGGTCAGAGAGAAAGGAGGAGAACCACCGCAACACAGTGCCTCCCACCCCCAACTCTTCCAACCGGTGCAGCATGATACCATGGTCGATGGTATCAAAAGCCGCTGAGAGATCTAACAGGACCAGGACAGAGGAGCACCCCCTGTCCCGAGCCCTCCAGAGATCATCAACCAACGCGACCAATGCCGTTTCCGTGCTGTACCCGGGCCTGAAGCCCGACTGGAACGGATCCAGATACGTCGTTTCATCCAGGTGCTGGGGGAGCTGTTGCGCGACCACACTCTCAACAACCTTCGCAACAAAGCGAAGATTGGAGACCGGACGATAATTTCCCAACATTGCCGGGTCCAGGGAAGGCTTCTTGAGGAGAGGCCTCACCACCGCCTCTTTCAAGGCGGCGGGAAAGTCACCCTCACTCAGCGAAGCGTTTATAATCCCCTGGAGCCAGCCTCGTGTCACTTCCCGGGAAGCCAGTACTAACCAGGAAGGACACGGGTCCAATAAACAAGTGGTCGCGTTCAGTCTACCCAGAATCCTGTCCACGTCCTCAGGGGTCACAGGATCAAACCCATCCCAGATAACATTCTCAAGACCTGCCCCTGTCTCTCCCCCTGAGACTACCCAGTCGGAGTCCAAATCTTCCCGAATCTGAGTGATTTTGTCATACAGATACTGAACAAAATCCTCGGCTCTACCCTCCAAGGGGTCCTCCCGCGCTTCCTGGTGGAGCAGGGAGCGGGTCACCCTAAAGAGGGCGGCCGGGCGATTATCTGATGACGCAATAAGAGCAGCAAAATAACTACATTTCGCTGCTTTTATCGCCACTAAGTAATTCCTAATGTGGGATCTTACTAGTGTCCGGTCAGATTCAAGAAGACTGGCCCTCCAACTACTCTCTAGGCGTCTTTTCCGGCGCTTCAACTCCCTCAGCTCCTCGGTAAACCAAGGAGCCAATTGAGATCGGCGCCGGGTCAGAGGCCGCAAAGGCACGACCCGATCCAGAGCACCAGCAGCCGCCCTATCCCAGGCGGCCACCAGGTCTCCAGTCGAGGCGTGTGCCAGAACCTCAGGAAATGGCCCAAGCTCCGTCTGGAATCTGTCAGGTTCCATCAGGCGCCTGGGGCGGAACCATCTGACCGGCTCCGCCTCCCTGCGGCGGGGTGCAGCGGTTTGAAAGTCGAGACGAAGGAGAGAGTGATCTGACCATGACAAGGGTTCAGTAACTATATCCCCTATATCAAGATCCCTCAACCACTGTCCAGAGACAAAAACCAGATCCAGCGTGTTTCCCCCTGTGTGGGTAGGGCCATGAATTAACTGGGTCAGGTCCATAGCTGTCATGGAAGCCATGAACTCCCGAGCCATCTCTGACGTCTCACCCACGGACGGCAGGTTGAAATCCCCCATAACCATAAGCTTAGGGGTATCAACCGCCACCGCGGCGATGACGTTGAGTAGCTCGGGCAGGGCTGTTGCCACGTGGCAGGGAGCCAGGTACGTGATCAGCAAACCCATCTGAACCCCATGACCCCATTTCACAAAAAGGGATTCACAGCTGGCCGTCTGAGGAACAGTGGCCTCCCTCGGTCTCAGACCTTCTTTAATGATAACCGCTACCCCCCCGCCCCTCCCCTGTGACCTCGGCTGATGGAATGCTTGGAAACCTGGCGGGCACATTTCAACGAGGGGAACCCCCCCCTCCTGGCCCAACCAGGTCTCCGTAATACCTGCCAGGTCCGCACCCCCCTCCTGAACAAGATCACAGATGAGGGGGGCTTTATTTACTACGGACCTGGCATTGCACAGCATCAGCCGAAGGCCTGGGTCCTGAGGGTCTATGCAACCTGAGGAGCGAGTAGAGCCTTGGGGGCCGGAGCACGCCACCGCTCGTAGACAGCGAGTGCGCACTCCCCTAACACGATATGGCCCCCTGCTCCCGCCATATCTACCCCTCCCACCTACAGTACTGATGTTCAAAAAACTATCCGGACTATCTTTTAATTTCCTCACAGGCCCACCCGTCAATGTGACATGCAACATCTTCATCAACAGCTTTGGTTCAGTCACAGAAACGACTATGGTAAGGCTTAGCCCACCCTTCTCACCCTTCTCTCTGAACCCAGCCGAACACTGCAGCACCTTTGGTCTCTAGAAGCTGCAGGTTTGGGAGGGGCCCGGTCGACAGGTGCCAGCTCTCCCTGACTACTCTGGCCTCGGAGGACTGTTTCAGGATAGCAGTTGGTGACCAGGGGTGCCGGAGGAGCAAGAGGGACAGAAGAGCTGAAGAGCAGCCCTGTGCTGGGCCCTTGCAACTGCCACTTCCAAGCCCCTCTCTGCCCCCTCCACCAGGCACCTCTCCTTTGCTGCAGTTCTTGTCCTAGCTGCCAACAGGCCGGCCTCCTCTCACCTTGGCTCCACCCATGACAGCTTCTGTTGGCTCTTTCAGGATTATCGGGTCAATGTCTTTCTGCGGCAACACTGGAATGACCCCCGCTTGACTTATTGGGAATACCCCGATGACTCTCTCGATTTGGACCCCTCCATGCTGGACTCCATCTGGAAGCCAGATCTGTTCTTTGCCAATGAGAAGGGAGCCAACTTCCATGAGGTCACTACAGACAACAAGCTTCTGCGCATTTTCAGAAATGGGGGTGTGCTGTATAGCATTAGGTATCCGTTTCAACAACATCTTGTTCAGCCTAACTACTCACAAAATATGGCTCAGCATCAGGGGTGAAATATAAAATTTTACCCTACCGGTTCTGTGGGCGTGGCTTGGTGGGTGTGGCAGGGGAAGGATACTGCAAAATCTCTATTCCCTCCCCACTCCTGGGGGAAGGATATTGCAAGATCTCCATTCCTTCCCTACTCCTGGGGGAAGGATATTGCAAAATACCCATTCCCTCCCCACTCCTGGGGCCAGCCAGAGGTGGCATTTGCTGGTTCTCCAAACTACTCAAAAATTCCTCTACTGGTTCTCCTGTCAGAATCTGCTGGATTTCACCCCTGCTCAGCATGGTCCTGTTTGACTGTCCTATTCTTTCTCTTCCCCATAGGCTGACTCTTATCCTCTCCTGCCCAATGGATCTCAAGAACTTCCCTATGGACATTCAGACATGCACCATGCAGCTGGAGAGCTGTAGGTAGTTTTATGTAACTGTAGCATCAACAGAGTCCTTGGTGCTATACATCAGAGCCACTGTTCCCGAGTTATACTCACTTGATGGGCAATGGGAATTAGTCCTAGGTACAAGGAGTAGTATGGTGGTTTACACAGTATGATTAGATATAGCGGTTGGGTTTGCACAATATGCTGAGCTTCATTAACAGTAATCTTGGATCATTGTTATGGCTTAACCATTCTGTGGGGCAGTCGGCATATAATTCAGTGCATTGCACAAACTCAGAACCTGGGTTGAAGCTATAGCTAGATGGGGGTAGCCAAAAAGTTCAATAAGGAGGGATCTGGAAGGCCCAATAGAAAGATGGAGCTGGAAGCCGTGTTGCCTGGGCACGTCAGACAACCTGAGCAATGGAACCCCAGGTGGACATCATCCCTCTACATTAGAGGAGCAATGAAAGGTGGAGAGGGGGGGAAGAGAAGGGCTGGCTCTATGCGGAGTGGTGGGTGGCTCCGCTCTACCTCTTCTCCGGGTTCCTTGTGCTGCCTGTCTCTGCTTGCCTTGCAGTTGGTTACACTATGAATGACCTGATCTTTGAGTGGGAGAAGGAGCAGGAGGCTGTGCAGGTGGCTGAAGGCTTGACGCTCCCTCAGTTTATTCTGCGGGATGAGAAAGATCTGGGCTATTGCACCAAATCCTACAACACAGGTGACCAAATCTGTCTGGTGGGAGGAGGCTCAGCTCTTCTCCCAGAGCTAAAAAGGCCCCGTTTGCAGACTGCCTCGAACACTACTGGCCTTCATCCGTCCATCCATCCATCCATCCATCCATCCATCCATCCACTGTCTGACTCTATCACAACTCTAGGCAAGCATACAGTATAAAACAATCTGATGTGAAGAGGGCAAAAAGGAAACACACACAAAAAAGTAGAAAACAGCTTCTGCCAAACCAAACACCCCATATGAAGTCCAAGGCTTGGGGAGAGAACCAGCTTTTAATGAAGTCAGACCATGTGGGGTCAGAGGGTCTCACTCCATTCTCTGCCGAGCACAGCCTGGGAAAGCCATTAGGCTTCATGGAGGACAATTGCCACCACATCCTCTTGGGATTGTGATCCGGGTCAGGGGAGTTTATCCCCAATCAGACTGCGGATACAGGTGGCCTGTTGCAAGCTTACCTGGCATCCTGTAATAGCAACGGGAGCCCCCCAGACCCAATTCTGTGGCCTCAGGGAGGAACCCAGAGAACTAAACAGGTCTTACCCAGCAACTCTGCTACTCCCACCTTTCGCTTCTGACTATCTCCACCTGCTGTCATGGCTTGGATAAAATTAGTATCCTCTTCCCCTGCCCCCCTCTGATCCTAGACCACATCCTCTATCTTCTCCCCAGTGGTGAAATCCAATTTTTTTATTACCAGTTCTGTGGGCGTGGCTTGGTGGGTGTGGTGTGGTGTGGCTTGGATGGTGTGGCTTGATGGGCATGGCAGAGGAAGGATACTGCAAAATCTCCATTCCCACCCCACTCCAGGGGAAGGATACTGCAAAATCTCCATTCCCACCCCACTCTGGGGACCAGCCAGAGGTGGTATTTGCCGATTCTCCGAATTACTCAAAATTTCTACTACTGGTTCTCCAGAACCTGTCAGAACCTGCTGGATTTCACCCCTGCTTCTCCCCCTCAAAAGTCACAATAACTTCCCCAGCAGCTCTGCCACAGGGTACGTTTCTTTGATGCATCAGCCATCCCACCTCTCGCACTCCTCCATTGCCAAGCATCACCATTGGAGCCTCTCCTTTGCTTTTCAAGGTGCCCCTCTGGAAAAGGGGTCCACAGGTGACAGGCTCTGCTGTGGCTCACCCCTTTCTCTTCCTTCTCTCCAGGGCAGTTCACCTGCATCGAAGTGAAGTTCCACCTGGAGAGGCAGATGGGCTACTATCTGATCCAGATGTACATCCCAAGCCTGCTGATTGTCATCCTTTCTTGGGTCTCCTTTTGGATCAACATGGATGCTGCACCAGCCCGGGTGGGGCTCGGCATTACCACTGTGCTGACAATGACCACCCAGAGTGCAGGGTCTCGGGCATCCTTGCCTAAGGTCAGGGCCCAGGGCAGGGGATCCTGGAGCACCTTCCCAGCACATGAGTCTCTGGGTGGGCAGGAAGTATGTTTGCTTTCCAAGGGCTTCCCAGCATTCCCACCTAGAGGTGGGACAGAGAGGCCATATCGGAGCCCTCCTATGCTCAGTTGGCCCCTTTATGCTGCTTCCAGCTGTTCCCTCAAACCACAGCATGAAATTACACCAAGAGAAGATCCTAAATATCTCCATGCACCATCCCTGAGCTAAAGGAAGGAGCATTATTTTCCTCACACATGTGATTCTTTGGTAAACTTCCTTTTGTAAAAGCAGAGACAACCTTCCCTATCCCACTACGTTGGCCTACGTGGGAGCCAGGATAGGTAGGCACATGCCACATACCCAATGGCTACCACGGAGGGCCAGGGGTCTCTGATGAACCCTCTGTGCATCTTCAAAAATCTGTTACAAAGCCCAGGAATGACCACTTGAAATCAACCCTCTTCTTTGTGCTACATGCGCTGCACTGCCTCTTATACAGCAAATGAGGCAGGAACAACACAGTGCCTCAGTATGCCTCTTAAGCCCAGCAGCACCAAGGGGGTGTTTCGAACTAGGTAAAATGGATGTAGGTAAGGTTTAGATGGCCAGCATTGCAGGCCTAACAGGGAATCTTTCCCATGACTATTTCTGTCTTTGGCTCACCAAAAGGAGGAGAAAAACGTCCTTCCGAGATTTCCAGCCCCATCTGGATCTGAGCATTCGTGAAGCTGAGCTTGCAAAGAGAAGTCCCGTTTCTTCCTTCTCTCTTGCTGGGGGAGCTCCCTCCCCATCTCTTCTAGCATCTGCCTCCCATCTGTTCAGACTATTTATATTTCCATAGGAAAAAGCCACTGTTAAACTACACCTTTGGCAGGTGGCCAGGGGGTCTTATTGAGGAAAATCAGATGCCAGCTGGTGCGAGGGGGGAGGGGACTCGGCCTCTGAATGTGAGTGTGCGCTCCTAGGAGGCAAACAACAAATGCCAGGAAGGCTTCGCCTTGGCCTGGCCCTTCTTTTTATCCAGAAGCAGCTGAAGTCCCTGCAGCCATCATTGGCTTCATTTGGGGACAGAATAACCAAATAACAGAGTTGGAAGGGGCTTCTGATCCGACTCCCTGCTCAAGCTGGAGATCCGAGACCATTCTAGACTAATGGCTATCAAAGCTGAGTGGTCCTTGGTGCTCTCTGAGCGGGGTTGTTTTCTTGCAGACATTTCATTACCCAAACTAGGTAGCATCATCAATCTTTCTTAAAACCCTCCAGTGATGGAACACCCCCAATTTCCATTCTCCCTGTCAGGAAATTCCTCCTTAGTTCTGGTTGGCTCTCTCGTTGATAAGTTTCCATCTGTTACTTCTTGTCCTGCCCTCAGATGCTTTGGAAAATAAGTTGAACCCTTCTTCTATGTGACAGATATTGGAAGATGCTGTCATGTCGCCCCAGTCCTTCTCCTTGTTACACTAGACCTACCCAGTTCCTGCCATTGTTCTTCCTATTTTAGCCTCCAGTCCCTTAATCATCTTTGACGCTGTTCTCTGCATTCTGTCCAGAATATCTGACCAGCATTCCAAGTGCAGTGCAGTATAAAGCAGGACTAGTACTTTATGTGATCTTGATACCATCCCTGTGTTAATGCCGACCTAGGACCGCATTGGATTTTTTTGCAGCTGCAGCACACTCTGGCTCACATTTAAGAGGTTGTCCACTAGGACTCACTCCAAGGTCCCTCCCACAGTTACTGCTGTGGCGTTAGGTATCACCTATTCTATTTTGACTTTTCTTGCCTAAATGTAAGACTTCACTTTTCTCACCACTGGACCTTGTGCCTATCTTTTGGGGTGTTGCCTATTACTGCCAGCTGGGTCAGTACAAATTTAAAACAGAACAGAATAACAGAGTTGGAAGGACCTTGAAGGTCTTCTAGTCCAACCCCTTGCTCAGGCAGGAAATGCTAAACCATTTCAGACAAATGGTTTGGACATCTCTTCTTAAAAACTTCCTGTGTTGGAGCATTCACACCTTCTGGAGGCAAGTTGTTCCACTGATTAATTGTTCTGTTAGGAAATGTCTTAGTTCTAGATTGTACCTCTCCTTGATTAGTTTCCATTCATTGCTTCTTGTCCTGCCTTCAGGTGCTTTGGAGAATAGCTCAACTCCCTCTTCTTTGTGGGCAATGCCTGAGAAATTGGAACACTGTTATCATGTCACCCCTAGTCCTTCTTTTCATAAGACTAGACATGCCCAGTTCCAGCAATTGTTCTTTATATGTTTTATTCTCGAGTCCCCTAACCATCTTTGTTGCTCTTCTCTGCACTCTTTCCAGAGTCTCAACATCTTTTTTATATCATGGCAGCCAAAACTGGATGCAGTATTCCAAGTATAGTCTTACCAAGGCATTAAAAAGTGGTATTAATACTTCATGTGATCTTGAGTCTATCCCTCTGCTAATGCAGCCTAGAACTGTGTTGGCTTTTTTGGCAGCTGCTGGCTCATATTCAAGTGATCATCCACTAGGATTCCAAGATCCCTCTCACAGTTACTACTATTGAGTCAGGTGCCACCTATACTATACCTGTGTATTTGGATTTTCTTGCCTAAACGTAGAACCTTACTTTTTTCACCACTGAATTTTATTTTGTTGGTTAGCACCAAATGTTCAAGTCTGTCAAGATCAGGGGAGAAATCTACTTACCTTCCTTACCAGTTCGGAAGTGCACATGCTGTGCACATGCGCTCACTTCACTTGCGTGCAGGCACATCACATGCACGCACAGACTCTCTGTGCATGTGCAAAACCGTCTGCACATGCACAGAAGGTAAAGAACACATTTATTTCCTGGTTAAAACCAGGAAGTAACAACACCCAGGCGAGTGGGCGGAGCTTTGCTCCGCCATCGTTACCGGATCGCCAAACCACCCGGCACGATCACTACTGGATCGCCAGATCCAGTCCGAACCAGGAGGATTTCACCCCTGGTCAAGATCCTTCTGTACCTTAAGCCTATCTTCTGGAGTGTTGGCTATTCCTGCCAGCTTGGTGTCGTCTGCAAATTTGATGAGCTCCCCCTAAAGAGTTTGTGAAGACGTTGAAGAGTGCTGGGCCTAAGACAAAACCTTGGGGTACCCCACTGCATGCTTCCCTCCACATAGATGCAATTCCATTGAGGAACCACAATGGTGAAGAAATGGCACTGTCCCCAACTCTGGGGTGCTGAACTTGGAGACGGGGTGGTGGGGGTGTGTGCCTGGTCTTTGCAAGACAAGACAAAGCCCTAAAAAACATTCACCACAGGAGACCCACCACACTCCTGGCATCTTGGTGCCTGCCCGGCATTAGGGAGGGATCATACCTTGCTGTGCCAAATGAGAAGTGCTTTAGAAAGTCTTTGGTGCTTTCTTGGGGGGCTGAAACAGAAGCAAGGCTGCCCCCCCCAAAAATAGATAGTCGGAACTATTGGAAGCAGTGCTGAAGTTGGGAAGGGGGTTGCTTAGGCAATACCCAAGAAGGCCTGGGGAGTCACTTGCCCATGCCCCTCTCCTCGGCAGGTCTCCTACGTCAAAGCCATTGATATCTGGATGGCTGTCTGCCTGCTCTTCGTCTTCGCCGCCCTGCTGGAATATGCGGCAGTCAACTTTGTCTCGCGCCAGCATAAGGAGCTCCTGCGTCTGCGGCGGAGCCAACGGCGGCAGAGGATGGTGAGCAAGAGTTGGGCAGGGGGGCTTCTGGGGGGAGACAATAGGCCCCGTGCTCCCCATATGCCCCTGAGATTGGTTGAAAGGGGAGGGGAGAAGCACCTACCAAGCCAAGCCCTCCTCCCTTGGGTGACTTCTGGTTAGCCAGTCAGAAACAGCTGCTGCTTTGGACAGCATCTTTTTAAAACAAGTGGCTCCTAAAGGATGCCCTCTTTTGTGCTGGCTTTGGTTTTGTTCTTCCCTTGTTTTATTTATTTATTTATTTATTGGTTCAATTTATATGCCACCCTTTTCTGGAGACTCACGGCGGCTTACAATGCGTTAAGCAATAGCCTTCATACTTTTGTATATACCTGCTTAGTATATACAAGCGGCATCACTTCAGGGCAGGCCCTCCACTGACGCCATCTGGGAAGGCAAAGGGGTCCGTGCCAGTTCATCTGCGCTTCTTCCCCTTGGCAGCAGTTGTGCCTTTGCAGCCTTCGCCAGGAGGGAGCTGCCCTCTGGTGCTTGATCAAACAGCTGCAGGCCCCAGTTTCAAGCAGAGCCCTTGGCCAGCCTCTTCCCTCAGGCCCCGTTTTACATCCTCGAAAGAAGGTGGCAATAGAGAGTGCTGAGCTGAGCATCCCCGGGCAGAGCCTCAATCCACGGAAGAGAAGGTGGGGGCTGGCATTCAGAGGCTGGTGGGGGGACACGGAAGTGCTCAAGACCACAGCCTCGAAAGCTGGCATCGGAAAGGTACCAGCAGCGGAGGCTTTGCTGCTCTGGCTTCAGCACTTGGGACTCAGGTGCAACCTGGAAACCAGATAAACCCAGTGGCATCTCACATTCCCCCGTATGATGCTGCCCTTCTCAGTTCCACTCTGGAGGGGAGATGTGCAGGCAGCCTGGGCCAATCCCCCTCCCTGCTGGGGGATGCTGCCCAGTGGTGAAATGTAAAATTTGTTACTACTGGTTCTGTGGGCGTGGCTTGGTGGGGGTTAATATGACTGAGTGGGCATGGGCAAATTTTTTTTTTTAACTTTTAAAACCATTTTTTCTACAACCTCTTCACCTGAAGAGGTTGTAAAAAAATGCTTTTAAAAGCCTCTGATGATCCTAGCTGAGTTGCATGATCATCAGGGGGTTTTTTTCTATTAAAAACATTTTTTCTACAACCTCTTTGGCCGAAGAGGTTGTAGAAAAAATGCTTTTAAAAGTTAAAAAAACAGCCTCTGATGATCACGTGGCTCATCTGGGCACGGGGGGGCAACAATTTTTGCTACTGGTTCTCCAAACCACCTTCCACCATCGCTACTGGATTGGGTGATCCGGTCCGAACCGGGAGCATTACACCCCTGATGCCGCCCCCTCCCAACACTTCCCCGCCAGGCAGCAAGGATACAGCAGAAGGTGGTGGTTTGTGGTTTGTGCATCCAGGAAAAAAGGGGGGAGCATGCGAGAAAAATGCTGCCTGTGAGGACATCTGATGATGCTAGGAATTGTGAGCTACTTGCAGAGGAAATAATTTGGCCTGGAACATGGACCTGGCAACATGCAGCCAGGAATGTGTCCCTGCAGTGCAGAGACAAAGCTAAAGGGGTAAGGGAACGGCCATGAAGGAGAGGAAAAAAAGTCGCCACCAGGGCAAATGTGAGATCAGGGGGACTGGAGCAGGAGTGAAATCCAGCAGGTTCTGACAGGTTCTGGAGAACCGGTAGCAGAAATTTTGAGCAGTTTGGAGAACCAGCAAATATCACCTCTGGCTGGCCCCAGAGTGAAGTGGGAATGGGGATTTTGCAGTATCCTTCCCCCAGGAATGGGGAGGGAATGGGGATTTTGCAGTATCCTTCCCCCAGGAGTGGGGTGGGAATTTTTTTTTTTTTGCTTTAATTTATATGCAGCCCTTCTCTGGAGACTCAGGGCGGCTTACAATGCGTTAAGCAATAGCCTTCATACTTGCATATAAATATACAAAAGTCAGCTTATTGCCCCCACAATCTGGGTCCTCATTTTACCTACCTTTGAAAGGATGGAAGGCTGCGTCAACCTTGAGCCTGATGAGATTTGAACATGCAGTAATTGCAAGCAGCAGATGTTAATAACGGTGCTTTAGTCCACTGTACTATCAAGGCTCCAAGAATGGGGATTTTGTAGTATCCTTCCCCCAAGAGTGGGGAGGGAATGGGGATTTTGCAGTATCCTTCCCCTGCCATGCCCACCAAGCCATGCCCACAGAACTGGTAGTAAAAAAATTTGGATTTCATCACTGGACTGGAGCCCAGGCCAGGAAAATAACTCGAGAAAATGTCCCACTTGCCTTCCCCAGTCACAAGAGGCAAGACGAGGGGAGGGAAAGCAAGTTCATCTGGCAAGATTCCATGGCTTCAGCCATGCTAACAAATGTAGTCCTGAACCGTATGACATTGGCGTCTTAGCCTGGCCAACAGCCGACAACCCCCCTTACTCTTCCCTCCCCCTCCCCAGGAAGAAGAGATGGTGCGCGAGAGCCGCTTCTACTTCCAGGGCTATGGACTGGGGCATTGTCTGCAGCACATGAAAAGTGGGGCAGCCATGGAAAGCCCCATCTACAGCCCACCCGTGCCAGCCTCCCTCCTGCGAGAAGGAGAAATACTCCGGAGGCGCTACGTGGAGCGGGCCAAGCGCATCGACACCATCTCCCGAGCTGTCTTCCCCTTCACTTTCCTGGTCTTCAACATTTTCTACTGGGTGGTCTACAAAGTGCTTCACCAAGCAGCCCCCTGAGGTCTGAGCAGGACCTTGCCTTGCTGGTGGCTTCCTTGTGAGCTTCCGGGCTGGAGAACACACAAATATCCATTCCTTTCCCAAATGCCGTGCGGAGAAATTTGGCAAATTCTGCATGATGCTCAGGCATGCAAAAGGAAAGTATGGGAAATGTGCCACTGCTGAGCATGATGGAATTTGGGGTGGCTGTATTTCATCAGGAGGACCGCCGTGGGGCTGTTTTTCTTTTCTAGATTTTTGCTGCTCCCCTAAGGTCCAGGAAGCCTTGGAAGAATTAAAGAAGTGACAGGTAAAAAGAGAAGCTGTAAGTCACCCAGTCCGTCTCCCTGCCCAGTGCAGGCATCTGCTAAGCTTTCCCTTACAGGTGTTCAGCCCCTATTCGAAAACCTCCTGCAAGGGGAGCACATCCCTGCAAGATTTTCACACTGCTTTGCAGCAGTTCCCAAGAGGAAATCCCTCCTGAGACTGAGCCGAAATCTCCACAGTGTCAAGGGAGAAGACGTCTCCCTCTGACACAAGCAGCTTTTGTGGTCTGCTCAAGCCAAAGATGGTCGGCTGCTCTAAGTGCTTCTGGCAGGGCTCCAGCTCCAAACCCCAATTGCCCTGGGAGTGACCCTCTGAAGCCCCCCGCTGCCCTTTTCCAGTTTGCAAAGCAGCATAGGGTCCAATACAGGGGTGAAATCCAGCAGGTTCTACAGGTTCTGGAGAACCAGTAGCGGAAATTTTGAGCAGTTCGGAGAACCGGCAAATACCACCTCTGGCTGGCCACAGAGTGGGGAGGGAATGGAGATTTTACAATATTCTTCCCCCAGGAGTGGGGAGGGAATGGAGATTTTGCAGTATCCTTCCCCTGCCATGCCCACCAAGCCACGCCCACAGAACCGGTAGTAAAAAAAATTGGATTTCACCACTGGTCCAATAGAACAATTGCCTCCTGTGGTCTGGACACCGCTGTTCTCAATGCAGCCGAAGATTACGTCAACTTTTGAGCAAAGGGCTTCACCCCTGTTCAGCCTGCTCTCTGTATGTCCTCCTCACATGCCAATTCAGCCCGACACCCAGAGTCATGACAATTTTCAGGAACGGGATTTCAGGCAGCACATTTGCAGATCTTCAATTTTGGATTGGTCCAGCATTCAGATCTGTCACAGACATGTTGAATTGCCCCGTGGCCCTCCAAGGTTTTATTCAACACCCTTACCTCGATCTCATCCCTTCCAGGCCGTCCTCTGGGCCCCTTAAAGAAGAGACCGCGAATGGTCTGGCCAAGGATGGAGCCCCGAGGGCCCCTTCCCTATTTGACAGTGCAAAGTCGTTGATCCATTGACCATGGTTGCTCGATCAGTTGCAAGCCCTCAGACTAGCCCACACCTCTAACTCTAACCAGGGCAGGTCCACAAACCCAGCCCCTCTTTTGCCAGCCCCTTTTAGAGCTACAGACATCCCTCACCCATAGATCCTCCCAAACCCACTGCAGGAGAGCATTGCCCAGCGGGGCCGTCTAGCTTCCCTCTTCCGGAGCTGTGCCATCAGCTTTCTCGCCCTCTCAGGCCCCTGGGAGAGTCCCTTGGCAGCAGCCTTGCATGCTTATGTATTATTACATCAGTGAAACTTGGCAGATAACAATTGAAAACATTTAAGGCAGGTAATTAACAGAATACAACTCAGAGATGAAACAGCTCAGGAATAATAGTAGAGACTGGCTAGAATATCCTCTGAAACAGTTCAGTTTTCAGCACTTTTCTGAAATGGCTCAGGGAAGGGGCCTGGACTTAGAACCCTCCCAGAAGCGTTTGGGACAAGCACTGGGAGCTGCTTCTCCGTGCGTGGCTGGGCTAATTGTGGTGCGAACATGCAGTTGGCAGGCTATCCCAGTGCCAGGAAATCTAGGGCTGCTCGGGGTTAAGGGAGAAATCCACAAGCCTGAGGGATGTATGGCTTATATGCTAAGGGGTGGGAACCACGTCATGAAATTTATTGATGGAAAATGTTTGTTTGGCCACCCGCTCACAACACAACTCTCAGCAGTTCATAGTCGCTGCTTACTGGATTCGGAGCTGCTCAAGTTCCAATGGAAGCAGAGTTACGTGCTGTGTGGAGCGGTTATTTTAAAAGTGCCCTTTTCCTACCAGTTCCTCCCTTGAGGCCACTATGGGTTTACTCATAGTGAGAGAGAGTCCTCTGTCTTCTTGCCCAGAAGCCCTTCGGGTTCCTCCCTTTCTCAGCCTGGCTGCTCCCTGGCATGCCGTGGTTCAGCTGCAAATGGCCCTACAGAGCAGGAGCAGCTTGGTGGGCTGCAAAGAAAGAGCAGGAGTGGAAGTGCCCCCTCCCCCAATGCTTGGACTTTAAGATCCAATCCTGGGGCTGAGGCAGCCTCCACCATGTAGGATGAAGCTCCTTGGCGGATCTTAAAGAAGCTGTTAAAATAGAGATTAAGGTCAGGAGCCATGGTAATCTTCACCATTCCAGCCCTCGCCTTCCTGGTGAGGAAACTGCACTTTACCTAAGAAATCAACCTTATACCTGGAGAAGACATGTTGAAACTCCTGAAGTGTGAGTTGAACAACATCTGGCAGTGAGGAGGGAGGGAGGGAGGGAGGGAGGGAAGGAAGGAAGGAAGGAAGGAAGGAAGGAAGGAAGGAAGGAAGGAAGGCCCCTTTGAAAGGCCAAAGAAGATGGGGGGGCACTGGTTGCACTGGAGCTGAAACAGATGCCACAGGAGCAGCCCAGGCCAGCAGCCTCTTAGTCCACTCCTGGGGCCCTGAAGTTCAATAGGGCTGGGGGTGGGGGCCAGCCTGAACTCTGTCTGGTGGCCCCTTCCTTCCCCATCTCCCCACCTCACTGCGGTGCCTCTACCTTGAGCTGCACCACTTTCTTCTTCCCTGCTACTTCCCAGTTTGCTGATTGGACATGTATCTTCCCACTTGTGAGCGTGGTTTTCCCAGGAGTGGAACATCCGGCAGCTGAGAGCAACTTCCCATCTATTACCCTGAAAAAGCTGTAGCTTATCTGCCTGCAGGGTTTGCTGAGTAGAAACGCTTCCCTGACTGCAGGGACCAAATGGGATTTTGAAAACAGGTCATTTCTAAACCACTCTGCTTTTCCTATAGAAATAAAGTGCTGCGGGGATTTTATTTCAAGTTGGTTTTTTTTTCAATTGGGAAAAGACTCCCACTGACAAAGTGGCAAGGAGTGCCTAGACCAGGAGCCAAATGTGAGCCCCTCATGGGCTGAAAACTGCTCCCAGCCTCAGGAGGATGGCATTTGGGGTTGCTGCTTCTGAAACTGGCTTCTGTAGGTGCAACCTCCTTGCATCTTCAAAGCTTCCTTGGTCGATTTCTGCCATGCAGGCTGGTGAGACTGTTGCTCCAGGCTGCGTGAGATACGCCAGGAAGGGGCCTGATGTGGCTCTGGGCTCCTGAAGGCAACATTTCCTTTCTGCAGCAGAGACCAGGTGACAGTGAATTCTCTCTCCCCAAACCTTGGGAAAATGGAGGCTGAACCGCCCTGCTGGTTCCTGGGAAAGGCAGCTCTGATTTTGTGGCTGGCCAGCCATGGGCCAAACACAGAAAGAGGCGCTGCTGGACAGAAGGCCAAGTGGCAGGACTGCTTGCCCAAGACTCCTCGTGACAGGAGGAAAAGGGTCTCCTTTGAAGATGCTGCTGCAAACAGCCCCTCCTACACCCCCTTCTACCAACACGGCTCTGCATTCTCCCTTCCTTGACACCCTGGAGATCAGGTCTGGAGGGCAGGAGGGTCCAGGCCTCCTCCTCCTGCTGGTCAGATGCCAGCTTTAGAGAATGGTTAATTGTCTTGGAGCCTTTCCCTCGGACAAGCAGCCCGCAGTACCAGGAAGGGCTGGCATGTCTGGTGACAGCTGGCACCAGAGCGAGATGGCCTTCACAGCTGAGCCCACTTCTCTGAAGCAAGTCTTAGTCCCCACTCCAGCATCAGAGAGGAGCTGCCCTGGTTCTTTTCTTGCCCTGCCAGGTTGCTCCTGAAATGTCCCTTCTGCCCATCTCTTGCTTCCCCCAAAGAAGGCCTGGTCTGCACAAGAATGTCTGGGCAAGATGAGCCGGGAGCAGCAAGCCCCGGGCCCTTCCTGCCCTCTCCCGTCCTAGAAGCTTTTTTCAGCTCCCAGGCCTACGTGGCAAGCAATCCTCAACTCCCACTGCAGCCACAACGATATTCAAGGAAAAAAACTCCTGGCACTATGAGGAGACACCAAAGGGGGTCCTTACCACTCCCAGGGTGGTTGTTGTGGGGAAAAGAGGAGGAGGAAGGTGTGCTGGATATGTTCACCACCTTGAATTCTTTATAAAAAAATAAAAAAGACAGGATACAAATAAATAAATAAATAGTGAATTGATGACCATCAGCTGCTGGTAGATTGGGTTCTTGCCACGCCCTCCTTTGCCTACCACTGGGCTTCTCCCATCTTTGGGGCCTCTCCTTCAGCTCCACCCACCAGCAGCTTTATCTGCCTCCACGTTCACCTGTCCCAGGAGACCCATCCCTCAGCTTATGGACCACCTCTCCCAGCAACTGCATAGCAATATTAAGCAGGCTGGGAGAGTCCTGGGTGCCCCACAATGGGTGGCCAATGCCTCAGCTGTTCCTTCCTCTCCTGTTAACTAAAGATCTCTACAAAGAAGAGCCAGAGCTATATAAGCTATGTAAATAACCAGAGCTGTCACCACCGCCACTGTTGTGGAACAAATACCTCTAGCCCCAACCTGGCAGAGGGCCCAGAAGATAGCACAGTTGATTATATCATGACCTGTTGAGGAATCCAGCAGGGTCCAAAGCAGGGGTGAAATCCAGCAGGTTCTGACAGGTTCTGTAGAAATGGTAGCGGAAATTTTGAGTAGTTCGGAGAACCGGCAAATACCACCTCTGGCTGGCCCCAGAGTGGGGAGGGAATGGAGATTTTGCAGTATCCTTCCCCCAGGGGTGGAGAGGGAATGGATATTTTGCAGTATCCTTCCCCCAGGAGTAGGGAGGGAATGTGGATTTTGCAGTATCCTTCCTCCTGGAGTAGGGTGGGAATGGGGATTCTGCAGTATCCTTCCCCCTGGAGTGGGGAGGGAGTGGAGATTTTGCAGTATTCTTCCTCTGCCACGCCCACCAAGCCACGCCCACAGAACCGGTAGTAAAAAAATTTGAATTTCACCACTGGCCCAAAAGGACCGGACCAGTGTCTCCACCCTCCATCCGTGTCTCACCACAAGAGTGACCATCTCCAACACTTCCCCTCAAAAAGAAGAGAGTGCCAGTGCAAGAGATGCTTTAAGATTCACCTCCAGAGTCAGACAGGCTCTAAGAAGCAGAAGCAGGCATGTTGCCAAATTTCAATATTTTTTTTTCTGATTTACATCCCTCTCCTCCAAAACAGCATAAATAGCACTTACGCTTCATTTTTCCCCCTGCAACATTCCTGTGAGCTACGCTGAGCTGAAACAAAGCGACTAGCAAAGTCACTCGGTGATTTGACCCAGAGCCTCCCTCTGCCCATCTTGTCCCCAATCCCACCCCACACTGGTTCTCAAAGGAGGGGATGGGCTTATTCTGCAGGGCGCCCAGAGGGCAGGAGAAAAAGTAATGGGTGAAAGCTTGTCGAAGAGAGACAACCTAGAAGGAAGGAGTAGTGAGGCCAGCTTGCCTCCTGGGTTTATGGATACTCCATCACTGGAGGTTTTCAAAAACAGGCCGGTCAGCCATTCGGCTGGGACGACACCAGAGGTCCCCTCCAGCTCTGATTCTGTGTTCAGACATGGCCTGGTAACCCTCTTTAACCCTGGGCTAGAGAAAGAGCTCGTTCCCTTCTCAGAAGGGGACTTGCTCCTGCATGCAAAGTGTCGAGAACAAAAGTTAAAGGAGTGGTGTTATGTCAGATCTCACCTGGCTTGTTTTCTGCATTTGAGAAAGCTGCATCTGCAAAGGAAAATGAACCCCACCCCACTTGGTCCTGCCCGCTCTGCACTGCTGCCCCCTGGTGGCCAGGAGAGGCAGCTCAGAAAGGCAGAGAATGCTAAAGCAAGGCCAGCGTCTGCTGGAAGTACCCAGGTCCTCCTCAAGTTCCTCTAGAAATTATAATTTAACAGATCAAAACTATCTGAGAATAAAAAGAAAAAAAAGGTGCAGAAAACAGGACAGGAGAGGAAAAAGAAAACTTCCCCCTTATCACAACAAATATAAACAATGTTTGTAACATAATCTTCTCTTAAAATACAGCAAATCCTCCCTTCCCATTCTCATCTCTTGATCATAAACAGAATCCTAATACATTATTCCTGGTAGAGCAAAAGTCCATTCAAGATTAGCAAACTACATATCTATTTTTTATAAATCTAGTAGGGAAACATTATCCAAATCACTCTTTGTTATTCATTATGTCCCTTTTAATTATTAACACATCAATCAGCATCATTTGAATATCTAATATAAACATGTTTTCCTTATCCTTATTAGATCATCATTTTTAAATCCACATTCAGTTCCATCTCGGTCTTATCCAGTACAGCCAATGTGCCTCTTCCGCAACATCATTTGTATTTCCATCTAGCTATAACATTCTTAAAATTAACTTCTGAGTCCATTGTTCACAAATATTCCTCGGTTTTCCTCCAGTTCTGCTCTCGTGCAGGCAGTCACAGATGGCTTTGGAACCCTGGGGGGGGACGCAGGGATGAAATCCAGCAGGTTCTGACAGGTTCCAGAGAACTGGTAGCAGAAATTTTGAGTCGTTCAGAGAACCGGCAAATACCACCTCTGGCTGGTCCCCACAGAGTGGGGTGGGAATGGAGATTTTGCAATATTCTTCTCCCAGGAGTGGGGTGGGAATGGAGATTTAGCAGTATCCTTCCCCTGCCACGCCCACCAAGCCACGCCCACAGAACCGGTAGTTAAAAAAAATGGGGGACTCCCCAGGGCTGCCTTTGACCTGCCAGCTGTAATTTGGGACTCGGGGCTTGAGGGCCCCCTGCTGGACCACGGAGGAAGCAGCCTGGAGCCAGGAAAGCAAGGCTAGGATCCCACGAAAGCCCAAGTGCAAAACGCTGCCCCCAAAGCAGACCCCGTGGCAGGGACTCGTGCGCCCCGGGTGTCACAGCCTTCAGCTTAGAAGAAGAGGAAGAGGCCGTTGGCATCTCCCGCGAAGTCTGACATCGCCCTGCTCTCCCGAGGTGGCTTGGCCGGGTCACTGGAGGTGATGTCGAAATTTGCATGGGAGGGGGGGGGATATTCTGAAGCATATCCAAGCACGTGGGCTGCGGTGCCTCCCCCGCCCGTGACCTCGGTCTCTGCGTGCCAGACCCCGAAGGACAGCTGAGGGCTCCCTGCCTGCTTGTGGGCTCCCACCCATCCGCTCTTCCCAGCTCACAACAGCGAGCTCTCCTCTCCTAAACCGGGCGGGCGGGCGGGCACCAGTTTGAAAGCAACCGGGGACCAGTTGGGAGGAGAGAGACCAGAGGCTCGCAGCCGCTCCGGACAGCCGCCCGGCCGGGACTGGGAGGAGCAGGCGGAGTGCGGGCCTCTCCCCCCCCCCCCGCTCTTCCCGCGCCCTCCGCTGTGGAGGCTCCGCCCTGGAACCCGGGCTTGTGTCGGCTGAAGGCGCCCTGGGGGCGGTGACCGAGCAGCGCTGCCCAATCCGGGCCGGCGCCGGAGGAAAGGGGTGGACCCGGAGGCGAAGGGAGGCAAAGGGGGGGGTCGCTGGCCGAACAGTCCGGAGAGGAAAGCGAAGGCGAGCGCAGCGGGAGCGGCGAGGTCCCGACCGATCCAGCAAGGAGCCGAGGCCGCGGGGCAGAGGCGGATCCCTCCGCAGAGACCTCCTGGCCAGACTCAAAGGCCTGTCCCCGAGCGCCGGCGAAGCTGCCCCCGCCACCTCTCCGCGCCGCTCGCTTCGGCCTCCTGGCCGGGACCGGAATGTCGACTTCCTCCCTGAAGGAGCACCGCTCGCCGGTGGGGCTGGACTGTTGCAGCTGCTGCCTGGACCTGGCCAACGGGCCCCTCGGCTACAACAGCAACCTGAGCCCCCTCTTCCAGCTGCGCGAGCAACTAGCGTGCGAGAGCCTCGGGGCCGCGTCCGAGCTGAGGCGCCTCATGCGGCAGGACTCCCTGGAGCCGGTGGTGCGCGACCCCCGCTACCTCCTCAGCCGCGGGATCTGCAACCGGAACATCGACCAGACGCTGCTCTCCATCCTGCTCTTCTTCCACAGGTAAGGGGGGGGGGCGCCCGCGGGACGGCTGCCGGAGAGGGGATTCCCGGGGAAGCGGCAAGGAGGGGGGGCGCTGTTTGCCTAGGGAAGGCGGACCGATCGCAAATGGGTTGTGGGGGAGAGCCGTGCAGACCTCTGCCTCCTTTCTGGCGGCTTCCTCGCTGGGACCGGGACCGGGACCCTTCCCGGCTCAGGACATCTCCCTACTCCCTTGCCCTGAAAATGCAGCAGAGCCGTCCTGGGTGAGGGGAGGGCACAGGGCCGGCATTGCCCGGGCTCTGGGCCTACCATCCGTGGGCAGCCACAGGCGCTGAGAAGAGGCCGGTTTCCCCATCTCAAGGGGAAGAAATGGCCTGATGATCCCAGGGGCTACCTGCCCCCACCCACAGCAGCTTAAGTGGCCATCCAAGCCAGTGGAGTCTGGCAGGTGCCTGAGAGGACTTTGCCCTGGGAACACTCGTGGCTGACCAAAGACAGTCCCGCCTTCGGTGTCATTTCAGAGGAGTGGGCAGGGTCTCTTTCCCAGGAAAAAGAGCATCTCTGTAGGTCCTGTGTTGACTGCCTGCTGCAGGGGAGACAAGCCTCCTCGTGACAGGGTGCGCCCGGTGGGCTGGGCGAGGCTCTCTCCTTCTGGCCTTGGAAGAGGCTCCAGTCTGGGTGCTGGCAAGAGCAGATGCTTGCTCTGGGGTAAAGGAAACAGCAGAGGACAGGCTCCGGTCAGGCTATCCCTCTGCCTCAAGCACCCCCACCAATTGGGAGTCAGCCTGCCTCAACCCCCAGGGCAGCTGAGGCTTATCAGGTGTTTCCTCTGAGAGCTGATATATTGTGTGTCCCCCCGCCACATTGATGGCATGGGTCAGCCAGGGATTGTGCTGGCAGGCGGGCACAGGGAGTGCGGGAGCCTGGCACGATCGAAGTCCTGGGATGAGCATGTCGGTCAGCGGTTGTGCTTGTTCGTGTGAGGGCCACTCACATCAGCTGCGCAAGTGAGCAGGGGCTCTCCTGGTTCCTCTGCTTCACCTGAGAAGATTCTGGCAACTTTTCCTCCCAAATGTGCAACCAAAGGGATTGCGACCTGGGCAGGAAAACATGCCCCCCCCCTTTTGCTCTTTCTAGGGCATGCAAGGGAGAAGGTCCATGCTGCAAGGCCACGAAGGGGAAAGGGCTGCCAATTCTGAAGAGACCCAGCTCTCTCCTCAGGCCAGAAGTGCAGCACCTGGTTTCATTGATTGTATCATCAAGCTTGGCTGCCTGAAGTCCCTGCTCAGCCTTCTGGGCCACCTCCCAGAGTCTCGCCCTGCACCAAGCAGTGCTTAGGGAAATTTGGCCAGAGCAGATGGCTCCGTTTCAGAGGCTTAGAACTTGTCCTCTGCTGGTTTGGTGGCAACCCCTGACTGGGCTCCTCTGGCACCTCAGCTACCGCTGAGGACAACAACTACTAGTCATATTAGCAGCTTCGAGCTTTGAAGAGATGTTACTGGGGATGAATTTGATCAAAGGGAGATGGGGAGTTGGAGATGGCCAGAGGCTTTGCAGTCAGGGGTGTGCAGGAAGAGCAAACTCTGGGTGGAAGTTCCGTGGCTGATGGTTGCGATAGAGTTGGAAAGGACAGTCACTTGCTCGCTTCAGGAGGGAGGGATGTGTTGGGAGCATTGAGTTTTCCTATCCTGTTTTCTTGGTCAGAGACTATGGGGATGGCAGACGTCCAGATGTGAGATGGGCTGATGTGGTGCAGGTGTTAGCACAATGGGCATAGCAACTTTTGGGGAAGGCAACAGAGGCCTTAACTGCTCAAGGCAATTGGACTTCTACATGGGGAAATACGTGGTGGTGACAGACCATCTGTGTTGCTTCTTCTGCTGGGCATCCAAACTGGAAGACACATCTCCCAGGTCCCCTCTCCATCCTGCTGGCTGGACTGTGCTGGCGATGAGCACCACAACCAGCAGCCCCCCATTATTCCAAAGGGACAGGGCTCTGCAGGGTCCCCTCAGCTGAATGAAGAGCGCTTCATTATGGCACCTACAAAGCAGCTGGCAGGTTTAACTGGAACAGTTAACCCACAAGGAATGAATGGGACCAGCAGTGCCAAAGAAGTGGTTCCACTCAGCTGGTGAGCCATTAGGGTCTCCGCCCAGGAGCTGGTCTCGTGTTCATCACCTATTCACCCCTAAAGGCTCCGAGATGGGGGCTCACTGAAATGGGAATGCTGATTCCATATGGAGCCCAAAGACGCCCACATGAATTTCAGGGGGAAGCAAAAACAGCAAGAGCTTTATGCCTTTAGATATGTGCATGGAAGCATAGAGCCATTTGTGGATGCGAGAGGCCTTGGGCACAGAGAGTGGAAACTTGAGCTTAAAAGTCAAGCAGAAGTAGAAGTGAATGCTGGGCACTTCCTAGGGAAGAAGTTGGGATGGCCTAGGATTTGGGGAGGAGAGAGAGGTCAGCCAAAAGGTAGCACAGAAAAGTAGTTCATACAAAGATTGGCTTGTTGCAAGGGGCGGGGGGGGCATTCTCCTCAGACCCTTTTCCTGGGCTTGGCACATGTTTCCAACAATAGTGACCCACAACTCGTAATGCTGCTACTGCTCTGTCCCCAAGGAAGTTGGCAACCTCTAGGCCTGCCAGCTGCCTGGGCAGGGGACCATTTCTCTTTGCTCCCCAGAAGCCCCTCCTGGGGAGCAAATAATGCTCTCCTTATTTCACAGCCAGTTTAGTGGGGCAGCAGATAGAGTGGGCAAGGGGGGGGGCAGCTGCTAAGGGCTGCCACAAACTCTGCATTGTGATATGATCCAGGATGAGCAACTTATCAAAACGTGGGGCGCTCTTTTGCATAAGCCAGTTATGGGCCCCAAAGAGTGGCTGAAAGTCAGGGAATGCTGGCTGATCCGATTGAGAGAATGGATTCGCATTCACATCATATCCTAAGCCAGATCATCTTTTCTGATTGGCAAGCTATGATTTGTCGCTTAGTGTGCATTACGAGGGTCACCAACATGCATTTCTGTATGTGAATGCAGAAAACAGTGAGGCTGCTGGAGCAGAGAAGCAGACCCCAGTCCCCTCTCTTCTGGGGCCTCTTTCCTCCCCAGCCTTTGCATTTTCCCTTCAAGAACTCTCATGAAGGGGCTGCTGGCTTCCTCCAGGGATGCCCACCTGAAGCTGCACAGCTCTTCCAGGCACCAGGAAGGAAGATGCCTGGGGTCTGCAAAACCCACCAGCCAAAATGTGCTGGTGCTGACACATCCATGTGTATTCAAGTGGTACCAATAAAAACAGCACGTGTGCTGCTTTGACTCTGCATAGTGTGCAGGTTCCCATGTAGACAACAACACCTGGGAAGACCAGGTTTTCAAGAGCCCCGATTTGAAAACAAACCTTTAAGATTACAACTTTGCTGACAACACAGTGGAGCTCAATCAGCAGGTCCTGTTCAGCCGTTTAGCAATGGGGGATGTTAAACGCTTCCTGGGCGACATAGGTGTTCCCTCTGTGCCCCTCTGAGCTCTTTTTGCCCTTTCAGAGTCTCATTTTCCATCCTTGGAAGGAATAGGGACCTACCTGAGACAGGGACTCCCCCACTCCACCTCCCACTGAGGGAATAGCTTCCTTTTAGGCAACCTAGTTGTAGGGTCCTCGACAAAGATGATGGGACTGCTGCCCCCTTAATAGCCTGAGCAGTGTGGGGGCGGAAGGGAATCCCTTCTGGTTCCCAGGCTATGGAGCGAGTGAGCACAAGGCAGCCATGTGCTGCATGCCCCGCCCAGGCCATGTGCTGGCGTGCCAGTAAGCCTAGAACTGGGAGTTCTGCCAAGGCCTCCATCAAAGGGAGTGGCCGCCAAGCAGCTGGAAATGGAGCCTGCCAACAAGTCCTCACTCTGAGACAAGCAGAGAAAGACAGCCTGGTTTGATAGAGGTTGGCACAGGCACTGTTTCCCCAGGAAAGCCACCTCACCCTCCCATCTCCCTGGAGCTGCTGTCTTCCCCAGCCACTGGCTGGATCCTGAGCAGCATTCCCCTTTACTGCCAGAGGGCATCCAGCACAGATGCCCACCACGGAGGGGATCTGCCCTGCAGAGAACTCTGTGCACATCGCCAAGCACAGGCCTTGCTCTGTTCAGCTGCCCCCACAAGTCCTCTTGCTACCTGCAGGGAAGACCCCCTTTTGGGGAGCAGCACTAGTGGAAAAGGGAACTGGGAAAGACGCAACGGTCCCGATCCCAGCAGGAGAGTTCAGAGCACTCTGGCAGGGCAAAGCCTCTCTCGCAGTGCCAAGGAAAAGGGCGAGCGCAGATCCGAGGCAAGAGTGGCCTGCCGAGGGGGCTCCCTTCCCCTTTCCACCTGCCCACTGCTGCTTCCTGGGCCAGAGGGAGGCCGTGAGTGAGAGGACAAGGTTTTGGAGCCCCCCAGAGCCAGGGGGAACGCTCTCTTCCTATAGGGAGAGGCGGGAGGGCGCGCACAGGGAGCGGCCGCTAGAGGTCCCCCTCACGCGGTCAGAGAGCCGCTGCTTGGCTCACCTCCAGCCTCGCCAAGTCGCAGCAACAACAACATGTTTGGGTGGCTTCTTACATAACTGCCAACCTCGACCTAGTTCCGCGCTGCGCTTGGGCAATACTTTCCGTCTCTGGCTCGGCCTCCATTTTTGCAACACCTTCACTAGTAGCCAAGGCGGGTTAAAGCGGGGCAGTGGTTGCCAGGGATTTGCAAGAGGTCGAACGTGGGAATCCGGGGGATGAGGAGGCGGCAAGTTGCCCTGCGGATAAACGGGGCTTCAGTTTGCTGGAGGCATTGTCCCGTATGTCTCCTGCAGCGCCGGAACTTGCCTCCGAGTCCCCAGCGCGAGGAGGGATCGGATGAAGCTCTCCTGCGAAGGAAGCTATCCGCTTTCACGACCGGCGTCCTGGACAAAGGACCAGCGGGTCCCGGTCTGGAGCTTCCGCTAACGTCGCGGGGAGCCCAGTGCCAGCAGGGTCTTCAACCTGGTGCCCTTCAGATGCTTTGACCCCACTTCCGCAATTTGTAGCCGCCCCCACTACGCCTTCGGCCCCGGGACTGCAGCTCCCTCGCGGCTGATGCAGCTGGAAAGAGCTGCGCGTCTCGCCTGAGGCTCGCAAACGCGGGGCGCGGCTCGACCGGCTAGATGGCACCGACACCTCCGGGCGCAGCTGCGCGCGGTCCGGCAGGGGGCGTGGCCTCATTTGCATAGCACGCTGAGACCATGTGACGTCTCGAGAGCTTCCCTATATAAGGCGGGCGGGCGCCGAAATAGCCCAGCTCTCTCCTGTGGCGGCGGTGTGTTCCTTTTTGTGTCGGGCTCTCCGTGCGTTCGGCCCAGCCATGAGTACAGGCGTGTACCCGCTCCCGATGGAGGTGGCTGTCTACCAGCTGCACAACTTCTCCATCTCTTTCTTCTCCTCCTTACTGGGGGGAGACGTGGTCTCGGTCAAGCTAGACAACAGGTAGAGGAGCCGGCGGGCTGGGGAGAGGGGGAGCCGGGCAGGCCCGCCTGTCTCGGATACTTACGGCGACGCTGTTCTCTTGTTTCTTGCAGCGCGTCCGGGGCCAGCGTGGTCGCCATCGACAACAAGATCGAGCAGGCCATGGTGAGTGTCTCGGTGGGAGGCGAGGACGCGCCTTGGCCCTCCGCCCGCCGCAAACGGGCTGCGCTGCGGCACTTGCTGGCGGAGAGGAGGCGAGGGAGCGCCCGCTCCCTTCGCTCTGCCCCGAAAGAAGCTGCCGGATGAAGGGCGGCAGTTCCGCAGGGAGAGTTCAACGGAGCAGATGCCTTTCAGTTTCCGGGGGTTAATGTTAGGGCTAGCGAGAGGAGACGGCTCTCCCTTTTTCCCGGAGGGCGGCAGACGCGCCACCGCGTTGAACTGCGGCTCTCGCGGGCGGGTGCGCGCTCTGATGCAAGAACCCAGGCGCCTTCGCGAGGACTTAAGCCGAGAAAGCTGCCGGCCGCTCGGGCCTTTGTCTGGCGGCGGCGCCGCTGCGGTGGGCGGCAGTTCTGTTTACTCACCGGGACTTTGTTCCTCTTTGCTCTTTCCAGGATCTGGTCAAGAATCACCTGATGTACGCGGTGCGGGAGGAGGTGGAGGTACTCAAGGAGCAGATCAAGGAGCTGGCGGAGAAGAACTCCCGCCTGGAGCGGGAGAACAACTTGCTGAAGAACCTGGCCAGCCCCGAGCAGCTGCAGAAGTTCCGCTCCCATCTGCCCCTGGAGGCTCCAGCGGCCCCCGAGAAGAAGAGCCAAGGGGCAGCTGCCCCAGCCCAACACAGGGCGGGCTCTGCGGTGTAAGGTGGCTCTGTCCATGGGGTGGGCAGAGCCACGGAACTGTTTCAACTTGATCTCCAAGCGCACGTGGTTTCCTTGCATCTCCTTTGGAGGACTCCAGAGGGGGCCTGATGGGGCCCTTCACCTGCGGCCCCTTCCATGGGTTGGCTAGAGACTCTCCTGAGAAAAAGGAGCAAGGCTGCATTGGAGTTGCTATGGGCATACGGCTGCTCCGCCTGCAGGAGACCCGGGTTTGCCTCCCCACCAGCACCCCTAGAGAAGAGACTGTGCTAAAGGTGTGGGCAAAGGTTTAGAAGAATCCAATTGGAGATTTTCTTCAAGCAGCTCAGAGAAAAGGCAGCCCCCACATCTCCTGGGATAGGAACAGGAGCAGCTGGTGTGCTGGCAAGGCTTCACCCTTGCATCTCACTAGCCCTCACGCCAAGATCCAGACTTCTGTGCTGCACCCACCTGTTTCAGACTTGGACAAGTGGGGAGCTGCCAAGATGCAGACTAGAATGATGACTGTAGGCCAGAGGGGAGGGGCTTCTCCTGCTTTGGTTTGTCCGCTGACTTTTGTATACTGACAACAGCCTCCCCTGTGGGGAGGACTTTATCGATGTTCCCTGCAGCCCCTGGATCTGTTGATGGGGACCAAAGAGGAGGTGGCTAAGGGGCTCTCACACACCCCCTGGGGGGGAAGCTTGCTTATGTAGTGCACTCTGAGGATGGGTGCATAGTGAGATAATGCAATAAATTTTGTTGTACACACCTGTCTAATCGGTCGTCTTTCCCAAGGGGGGGGAATGCAGAAATATATAGTGGACACTGGCAGTGGGACCAAGCATAGGAGGGCTGTGGATTGGAGCAACAGAAGCATCCCTTGGGAAAGGCATCCCAGTTTCTCCATCTCTCCCCCCACCAAGCTTTGTATGGCTGGGAAGAAACCGGGGTAGTGGTGGGGGACAACACAGACGGTTTGTCCAATGACTAGGAGAATAGATGGCTGGTTCAGAGCAGCCACCATTCAGCATTAATACAAAAAGCTATGGAAATGGAAATAGCTATGATTAATGTGATTGTACTTTGTTCGACCCAATTTTGGCTTGTTCAGTGGAATCCTAAATTAGCCACAGGGCTGAATATGCGCCACTACAAAGCTGCTGCAACCAGCCACCTGCCATTTTGGATTATTGGGTGAGGTGGGACCCTGACAGTGGCCGGATCATCATTGTCCCAAGCTGAGTTGCCCCCTCACTCCCTGCAAAAACAGATAATGGGACTCCCCAGGACAATCAAAGATGCCCCTGATCTTGGTCACCTAGCTGTGTTGAAGGGTAATTGAGCTTGAGGGGCAGAGGCCAGCGTCCTGCAGGCTCAAGGGTTGGGGTGCTTACATACAGCCCCCCACCACTGCCGTGAAAACAGCCAGCCAGCCAGGTTGCTGTAGAGCACATGGATGCTTCTATGTAGAGCTTTGCCAGCTGCAAAAACACTTCTCACAAAAGACCGGCTGTGAACACCAGCTGCACCTCGCTTTGCATGGCTGGTGATCACCGTGAGCCACTTCCCACTGGAGAGGTGAGTTCAAGAGAGGCAGGGGTCCTAATGGCCAGTTTCAACCCCCCCCCTTCCCTCTTTCATCAACAGCCTGCACCTTCAAGCAGGCTTGCCTGGTGGTTTGCAAAGCTCAGGTCATCCCAGCATTTGGTTTTGATAGGGAAGATCTGAAGGGCGCTTCCCTCGGCGCCCAGTAAAGACATTGGACGGCTTGTTCGACCACCCTTGGAGCAAGATCCGCAGCTGTGTGCGGTGTAAGGCAGCCCCTGCACTAAGGACGGCTAAATCGGGGCGCTAAGTTGGGGAAACGGTGCCCTGGGAAGCCGGGCGTGTCGATGCATCATCAAATGCTTTTTGCTACAAAGTGTGACCCGGAGCAGTGAATGGCGGCTGGGGGGAAACGAGCTGGGATACAGAGGCTGATCGCCTTCACGCCCTGGGAACTAGCGGCCTGCCCTCGATCTTCACCTCGTCCCCGACAAACGGTCCTTCTCGAGCTGCTCCAGTCTGGCCCCTTCGCGCCCGGCCTCCGTTCCTCGCTGCTCCGCTTCCCCACGCATCCGCCGGGCCCGTGGGCTGGGGCTGTCCCAGGGCGCGCCGCGTGTTTGTTTATCGGCTCCATGGAGCCAAGCGGGGGCGCGCCTTCCGCAGCGCTGGGGAACTGGGCGAACGGCGCCCCTCACCCGCTGGCGGCTTGTTTTGCAAACGAAAGGCCCGTCACCGCAGCAACCAGCTGGCAAGAGGCTGCCTGGGCCAATGGGCGCCCCGGTAGAACGCAGGTGATCTGACGTTGCCGCCCAGCTTCCTTGGGGTGGGGGCTGAGCTGCCCTGCCGGCTGTTGTCCCGCCCCTCCTCTCGGTCTATGCTGGGGCAGCTTCTGTGATGCGTTCGGGGAAGACGCGTCCTGATGCAGGGGCCGGACAAAGCTCGCTTCCCCCACGCACGGAGGGAACGGACGTCTTCTGACGGTTGCAGCTGCTTCCGGCTGCTGGGGAATCCTGGGAGATATGATCCCAGCCCCGCCCAGGCGCATCATTTGAGGAAAGCACAGCTGGAGCTCGAATAGGATTGCTTAGAATTGCTTGCAATGACCCCGTTTGGTAACCCGGGTGGTATTTAAAGAGGATACTTAGGAGCGGACCGGTCCCTTCTCTTAGGCTGCAGTACCCAAAGCCCTTTAGCCTGGCTTTGCATGCAGCGCGGAAGGAAGTGAAAAAGCTACGGTGGGTCTGCCTGGAGCCCCGTGCTGGAGAAGGTCAGAATGCCTCCCCGGGGGCCCGCCTGCCCATCCTGCCTCCAACAGGACAATGTATACTGCACAATTCAGAGAAACGGATGAGCCTTTGCCAGAAGTGGTCGATAAAATTGATTGATTCACCTGTGGCTGCAGGACAGACACAGCCTGGTTAGGTTCCAGAGCCCCCTGGGCTCCAGTTTGGGGGGGAGCACTTTTCTGGGGTGATCTGATCCAAGTGACCCTTGGGAATACTGTCATATTAAAAGCTATTCCACTGCATAACAATGGTTAAGAATGAAGAGACAAAACCTCTCCCTACCTCTCCACCCCCCCTCTCTCTCACACACACACCAGATTCAGCAGGAAGAGGTAGCTACCAGTGGGGGTTGCTCCCGGTTCGGTCCGGTTCTCTAGAACCGGTAGTAAAACCAGTGGGAGGCTCCACCCACCTGCCACATCGTCATCATGGGTGATCTGCGCAGAAGCATGTGCACTCCTGTTGTGAACCGGTAGTAAAGGTAAGTGGAACCCACCCCTGGTAGCTACCATAGTATCCATATACCCATCTAACCTGGTCCCTCCCCCCTCCCAAGACTCAGGTTAGAAATGCTGAAAGTCTGAGCTTCATTTGCTGGTACTTCTAGTCCCCAAAGCTGGCCATAAAGAGGGGACCCTGAGCCAATCCCCTTTAGGTTTAGTGGGGCTGGGTGAGAGAAGCTTCTGAAGGCAGGCAGGGTGGGTTGTCTGCAGGCTTCTGGGAACAGGTTGCTGATTAACCAGGCGCTCTTCCCAGCGAGCCAAGTGCCAGCCAGAGGAGAACTTTCCCGGGCCCCTGGGTGGCCCCTAGCATCCAGCCAAAAGCTTTGGGCTTTTGGCAGTTTTGAGGCGAGGAATGTTCTTCCTCCCTCAAGCAGGCAGCCTCCCCCGGAGCTTTTCCCCTGCCAATAGTATGCAGAAAAGGGTTGGTGGAATCCGCGGAAGCAAAAGCTGCTTGGCCGTCTGTCCCTGGTCACCCAGTCAGAAACTCTCCTGCAGAGGAAGGCATGGAAAATCTTTGTCACACATTTCAATCCCTGCCCCTCCCCATGTCCAGATGAAAGAAACCAGTGGGGTGCACAATAGCCGGGCACTGATGCTCAGCAGTGAGGACATGGCAGAAGGACAAAGGGCCCGAGGGGGCAGCAGCTGCTGAACAGGGGCGGGCTGGATCTACGGGAAGCAAGGTGGTCATTCAAAGCAGAGTCCAGCTGCAGTAAGGGAGCATTCAGAACTTGTGGGTTTGGGCAGCCCAGGGCTTTGCACAAGGGGAAGGAAATGGATCACAGAGCTAGTGCCTGGGCCCACGTAACCCCCCAGGATCACAACTGGTCTAACCCATGGCTGGCCTCTGCCCTGATCTCCGTCTCCGTTATTTATGACAAGGCAGACATGCCATTGGATGAGCTCCCAGCCACCAACTTTTTGCACCTCCAAATCAATGTAGAGAATGAACAGCTGCTGGGCCCTGGCTCTCTTTCCCCATCCCCACCCACCCCTTTGCTGCCGATCACTGGGCCAGAACGCTGTTTGGACTTTGGCCTGGTCCCTGTCAGGTGCCTCTCAACAATCTAATAATAATAATAATGTGTTCCATCACTTGAGGTTTTTAAGTGATTGGACATCCATTTGTGGTATGGTGTCTCCTGCTAGGCAGAGGGTTGGACTAGAAGACCTCCGAGGTCCCTTCCCTTCTCCGAGGTGAATGCAGAGATGCCTTTCAGAGCCTCCAGGAGGGGGCTTGAACTGCAGAGACGAAGACAGCCCCTGACTGGGAACTAGAGAGAGGCCTGACCCGCAGCTCTTAATCAGAGACAGGAAATGCCCTGTGCACAAGTCCTGAGCTGGTGATGGAAAGATTTGCACCTTCCAACAGTTTTCTGGTGGGTGGCAGACCAGGCTCACTTGTCTGGATGGCAACATCAGAATGGCTGCTTGCATTCCTACAAGTCTGCTTGCAGCCGGGATCTCACGGAGTGCTGAGTGATTAGCCTAGGCCTGGCCTGGAGAGGGGGCAGACGGGACACAGACTGCCCTGCCCTGTCGCAACCCAGCCTTATTCCTGGTTCTTAACTGATCCATGAGGTTTAGCTTTCTAAAGTTTCTGCTGGAAGGAGCAGGAGGTCAGTTCTGCTCAAGGGGTCAAGGGGAGATCTTCAACCACGGCAGTGCCCAAGAGCACCACCTGCCTCCCAAAGCAGGAGCCTTCTGGAAGGAAAGCCTTGATCTGGGCCAGATCTCCCCGCACCGGATCCCAGTCAGCGCAGGGGGGGAAAGATGGCTGCAAAAAGGCTCCTGCCCCAGAATGTTGGTGACCTACATCTGCCTCCCCAAACCAGCCCCCCCTCCAAATGGCAGCACAAGCAGTACAGTTATGTAAGCAAAAATCAGATGTGCCTTCCTGTGTAAACATGGCTGAGCCTGTTTTGCTTACTGGGAAAGAAGCACCCTGGATGGAGCATGCAGGGCGTCCCATTGGCCGAGGCTCTGCCTTTTTTTCTGCACAGGCATCCTTGGGGGGCTTTGGGCCGGTTTGGAGCTCCCTCAACCAAACCAGCAGTTTAGGTGCAGGAAGAGCAGCTTCTCTGCCAAGATTATATCTGGTTCTCCAGGAAGGGGTTGCCAGAAGAACTGGGGGAAGGGGCTGCAACAAGAAGATGCCTGTCGGTCAAAAGGAAGGAAGCCCCCCCCCAATCTCCCTGATCCAAACTGCTCCCTTCCCTTCAACCGCCTCAGGCTTTGCTCCTGCAAGCTCAGCATTGTGCAGGTTTCCAGGAAGAAAGACGAGCGTTTCCCGACATGTTTATGCTCCATTTTGGTTTTATGGTCTTTGCTGGCCCTTTGCTTAGGCCCAAATGCAGCCAAGTGAAGCAGGGACAATTTGGAGCTGCTCCAGCCCTGCGTCTGGGTCCTCCCTCTGGAACCTCTCCCTGCCT